TGGCCCATTCGCTTTATGACGTACTTGATGGCCATGCAGCAGCGAATGAAAAGGCCTATGACCAGAATAGCCGTTAAAATGATCAAGAATATTGGAATTAGGTAAACCAAAGCACCCATTGTATGTTTATGTTTAAGAAAAGAAACTTCACTGATCGTCTGGAGACCACAAACCCGAATGAAAGGCTCTCTGGCAACTAAAAATTGGTTGGTGCTTGTTAAGGCCAGAACTTTGAAACAGATGTCAATTTCAAGCCAGTGAAAATTTTGTCTTGATATCAATATGAAGCTATCACATTTGCCTCAATGATACTAGCATGTGGCTTAACCAAAGCTGCCTGCAAAAAATGTTCCACACTCTTTGGACGAAGATGAAAAATAAATATGTTTTGTTTTGTCTAGATAAATAAATAACGAACAAGAACGACACAGCTGCTTTTCCCGTAATCTTGTGCACTATTTGTTGAATTAAAAATAAAAACAATTCTGATGTTTCTGCAGCCTGCTTTTAGGCTTTTAGGAAATGGGAATTATTCTTTCAAAGCAAACGAAAGGTGAAAATCTTAGCTAATACAAGTTCTGATACAAGAGAACTCTTTTAATGAAATCAAACAATTGTTTTAAAAGTAAGACAAGTACACAATAACCACAAAAAATCAAAGTCAAACATATAGCTTTTACAAATACATATATATTAGGATATTTTCTATCAACAAAAATAAAAAAAAATGCGGCTTTAGACAAACAAAACACACAGGAAAATTAAAACACAGGAATTTGTTACACAGGAACTTAAGACAAGGGGAACTTAGTACACGGGAAACTTAAAACATAGGAATTTGATACACAGGAACTTGGTACACAAAAACTTGATACACAGTAGCTTAAACACAAGACAGGAACGAATCTGAGGACTAGGACTTCTCCAGTTTGGTCTTGAGATACTAACTTGCTTCGATAACGCCCTTGTCTGCCAGCCGTTGATTCCTTTTGCGGATCGCCGAGCGGATTATGAGCACCAGGACGGCGCAGAGGACCACAACGAATATGGAGCACAGGACGATCGTGGAGATCTCCAGATCCTTCTCACCCGGTACATGCGGCATCGTTTCGAGAGCGGACGGGATATACAACTATTTTAATTAATATTAACTAACTAACAGATTCGATTTGGCAGACAGTCTTCTTTGGGGTTGGTTCGACGAAAGTTTTGAGCTACGCCGATGCGTTCCTCGTGTTCATTGCGCAGACGTTGGACGATGAGTGCGACCTGGAGGAGACTCCTCACCGACTTTTGTAAGAGTCCACAGACTACAGGTGACCCAGCCCGAAGGCAGTGGGTTGAAATACCGATAAGATTAGAGCCCCATCGTTCAGTGACGCGCCGTCCCGTTTAATCGGCTTAAAGACGCCATATAGTCCTGATACCGGAGCCAAAAGCTAGCATAGAATCGGGGGGAACCATAAAAGTTCTCAAGTGGACATTGTATTTACAGCTTAAAACCTGCGTCAATAGTCCGCATCAGTCAAAAGAAAAATTAGGTTTCGATTTCCATCCGAAATTTATAACTTGTGGGGGATCCTCATCAGCTCGTGGCGATGTGAGCGATTACCCTTAACAATATTCCCACAAATCTGCAATCCGTACAGACGTCAGCAGTAATCAAATAATTTAATTACACCTTATCGAATTCAGCCACTAGCCGGGGTAAACAAATAAAAGACGAGAAGGAAAAACACCGGCCAATATGGGTCTTTCTTCTGGCAATAACGACTTTTCAAAAGAACAGAAGGAAATAAAAACCTGTCTGTCTGAAGTACTCAGCCAACAGTAGCCCATTGTTTACAACTAGTCGAGGAATGTGTCACATATACTGCAACAGTAAAAAAAAAGTATATATGAACTGCTTCAAGTACAGTCATCCTTAAGGTGCTTGAACTTAGAGGAGAAGTTTCCTTCAATAACTTTGAACGAAGTTTCTTATTTCAAAGAGAATCACTAATTTAAATTATTTGAAATATTCAATTGAATTTTGTTAATCTGTTAGATTGCAAGAAAGGGTCTCATTTTAAATATTTTTCTTCTGCTCTTTTATTTTAAGACCAGGACATTTTTTCGTCTCTTGAGGCCGCTTGCTCTTATCTCTCCCTTTTCTTGTCCTGCAATGTACAAGCAATCACGAACGAGATAGTTTCTTTTTAGCTGAACTCTAAAATAGTTTGTAGTTCTCTTTGAAAAGATGTGGCATGAAAACACAAAGCTCTTTTCATATAGCTTGTTCAATTCCAAACAAAATAAATAATATAAATAATTGTTTGCGGTGAGGTAATTGAAAAACCTCTTCGAATTCGGGATTTTCCCCCTGTACCTTGTTCCAAACTATTTTCGGAGCATCTTATCAACGCCATATCGCCTAATTTGAACACCAGTAAATATAATTTAATATCATACCGGTTAAAAGAAGAAGAAACCACTGGGGCTTGACGTCAAACGTTTGCACACATTGCCGAGAATGGTAACAATTGATGGAATAAATACATTAATGATTTGTAAATTAAGGCGATAATCAGGAACGAGAGGCGCCGAATGCAAATGGCGACTTTGATTTCGGGTACTTAAGCACGCCGTGATTAGATTCCGATAGACCTGACTGTCTGAAGTGATTATTCCCAGAATCGCAGATTAGAACCCCGATTATCATACTGTGATGGTTATTTAACAACTTGCTCTCACCATCTCTGATCACAGTAGCGCTGGCCATCCGAAGCTGACGGGCTCGACGGACCCGCATCAGAATCAGGATCAAAACCACAACAAAGAACACCATCATAATGGGGAACCACACATCAAAGTAGATGTAAACCATTTTTATAATGTTTTTCTTTTTCGTGGGTGAGCGAAGCGATCGGTTTAGAGTTCAGGTGAATACTGCAGAACGCACATTTCGTATGCCCTGGATACAATTGTCAGTTTTCTTATCTGTATAAAATAAATAAATCACTCTGTTATCGAAGAAACGCTACCGAAAATGAGTCACTAGGCAACATTTAAATTACTAATATTAGCAGGGAGTAAAGTATAACTCAATTTATGGTGAAATTTTGGCAATAAATGGGAATTCCCTGGGCAGATAAAGACCAAATATAGGAAAAGGAATTTTTAAATATTAGGAAAATGTATATGTATAAATATATATGAAAAGTTTACCCAATTTATGGTGAAAAATGTCTGAATAAATAAGAATACTAATTTTAATAAGAAACACTGTAGATAAGACCTTTGTTTTAATATTTGGTTACTTATTTAATGTATGAGAAAAACTTAAAGTAAAAACATTAAGTTATGATAGATAACGTTTTTTCAAAATATAGAAACTTTATAGAAATATGTATTAAATTGATGTCTAAATGGTAAACAATGCTTCCTGATGAAAACTAACAAAAAAACACCTACATAAATCTATAGATAACTTTATATATTATAAACTTAGGTGGATGTGTGCAAGGTATACCAGATTTTAATATAGATAACTAGTAAATTAGATAATTATGAAAATGCGGGTTGGAAAAATTCTGTGAAAACTATACAGAAGGGAACCATAGATAACCCCTTTGTATGTAAATACTCGACTGCTATCCACAAAGTAAACTCCAAGGGATTTTGGGGTAAAAAACCTGTGCAGAAAGCAACCAAACTGATAAGATAAAATGTAAAATGTGATAACTGTCAAATAAACTTAATTAGATAATTGGACTTTTGTCACATGCTGATAAAAATAATTAAGTAAATGCGTGAGCCTAATTGATTTTGTTTACGAATCAGAGGAGAAGCAGAAACAATAAAAATTGCCAAGAAGCTTGACGAAAAGCTCTCTGGCTTTCTCTCCGATTTGCGTACATAAATATTAATCACTACTTAGCACGAATATACAAAAATATAAGTGTAATCTCACGCACACTGAAACGAATTTGCTCTTTTTTAGTCAGAAAAACTCCTCCCTTTGTATTGTTTATTTGCTGCTGGGGTGGAGAAATGACTCATCGCGGGGGTTTTTTTCAAATTAGATGTGTTTACATATCTATTGTCTGTACTCACTGGAAAGAATGGCGCCCTGGCGCCTGCTGGTGCAACAATATCCGCAGCAACTCATGACCAGAAAGGTCAACACGAAAAAGAAGAAAATACTCCAGAAATCCATGGCGAAGTCGTCCAAATCGTCCAGATTAAAGACGTCCACTGCACAGGGAATTTGGTGAAATGTTAATTATTACAATTAAAGCCCACAACGGTTATTAAACAAGAAAGCAATACTCACGTTTGTCTAAAGATTATTGGTTTACCCGCTTGTTAGATATTGAAACCCGAAAATTCCACTTGTTGCAGTTTGTTGCAACCGAAAACTGAGTTCTAAAACAAAGCGAACTTAGTCTACCTCCAAAAGCACACGTGGTACCTGGAAGTTCTTCACTTCACTGGTCAGTCGGGACGCCTAATTGAAGCCCGATCAAACTTAGCTACTATATCTTATCAGTGGTTAATCTGCTAATAATAAGCAATTTTATTGAAGCACGACAGAACAGTGTTGCTAAATTCAATAATAAGTGATGGTTTTTCAGCACTGCTTAGGGATGTGCATATTGTTATTGGTCTATGCTATCGAAATGGATATCGATATTTTACCGCTCTGGCAACTCCGTCAATAAACGGCGATCAATCTGTCTGGCAGACAGTGATGCCAAGTTATGACAACCCATACCAGCTAGATTCAAGCCAAAATAAACTACATAAGCTTGAAAAAGGAAATGCTGGAAAACAAGCTATAACCAAGGATTTTGACTTAAATATTTACAGTATTTAAAAACACGATGTTTCAAAGAGCGAAAATATTAATTTTTCTCGGAAAATAATTCCCGCTAGCCGCTAGTTTACAGTTTTGTCGCCTGTTGCTTGTGAAAACTGCCAGATGTAGCGGGGAAATAGCTTAATTGGCAACGCTGCTGACAGATTCTGCCGCCAAGATTTGACATCACTAGGACGCCACCGCCGAGAAGATAAAAAACGAAAAACAAACGCTATTGGCATTGAGTTAATTTAATAGAATAAGCAAACGATGGAAGAGACTCACGACTTCCAGTTCGTGCTGCCGCTGAACGCCACGGACCTGGTCAACAGCTGCGGCGATCAGTACTACGTGAAGGAGATCTTGGGCAACGCTGATATTCCCCAAAAGCTGTTGGAATGCAAGCGGAGGGCCCGCCTGCGAGACCCGTTCTACATCTTCGAACACTTCGATACCTATTACTCAATTATCGAGGCCTCCGGCAGCAGTGACTCCTCCATTCGCAACCTTATGAGGGCCTTCGATCTGCTCTATTTGACCGTGGACAACCTGGGCCAGGATCTGCAGCCGCTGCTCACCGCCAGCGAGCCGATGAGCAACCAGCAACGCAACAGATACCTGAACCTGACCAAGATGACGCTCTACCTACAGGTGAACATCGTACGGAAGATCGACAACGGCTTCCAGCAGGCCCAGCGCGAGGGCCAGCTCAATGCCCAGAAGAAGCGCGGAAAGCAGGCGGAGCAATCCCTGGAGAACTTCCCCGACTGGGACGTCAAGCGCGGCAAGTTCCTTGTCCAGCTGTTCAACGTGATGCAGTGTCCGCTCGAGAAGCTATGGAGTCCGCCCGTCGCCGAGGAGGACTTTGTTTCAATGGTCTGTGACATTTGCTATCGGACATTGGAGCTGCTGCCGGTGCGCAACGACAACCGGCACGTTTTCGACACGATCTTCCAGATCCTGGGCACAGCCATCAAGCGCTTCAATCATGCCATGACCTTTCCGGTCCGCATACTGCAAATCCTGCGCGGCACCGAACACGCAGCCGTCTCTGTGGCCAATGGAATCCTCCTTCTGCACGAGGAGTACAGCATTTCATCGGTCTTCTCGATCCTTCTCAAGGGCATTGTGGATGCCCTAATGCTGGACAGCTCCGATTCGGCAGTGTCCAAGCACTTTGCCAACTTCCTAACAGAGTTCTCGAACATAGCGCCCTCGCTGATCATACCCCATCTGGCGAAGCTGGCTGAGGATCTGCTGGACTGCCAGTCGCACACGCTGCGGAACTGTGTGCTGCAAATCATTGGGGACACGGTGGTCAGCGAACTGACATCGGAGGGCCTCAGCCAGGAGCTGAAGGAGGTGCGCAACGAGTTCCTTGAGCACCTCTTGGCCCACATTTGTGACGTATCGGCGCACGTTCGCTCCAAGGTGCTTAGCATCTGGCATCACTTGAAGGTGCAGCACGCCATACCGCTTAACTTCATCATCAACGTGCTGAGCGAGGCCATTGGGCGGCTGGAGGACAAGAGCTCGCTGGTGCGGCGTGCCGCCATGCAGCTGATCAAGTCCGCGCTCGAGAGCAACCCCTACTCCAGCAAACTGTCTCTCGATGAGCTTCGGGCCAAGCATGCAAAGGAGGTCGAGGCCATGGAGAAGCTTGACGAGGTGCTCCAGGAGGAGCGCCAGCAGCAGGAGCAGTTGAATGAGGAGTGGGGCACCCTGGCTCCCGATCTGCTGCCCTTCATCGAGGAGAACCTCACAGAGTACCCTGACATGCAGTTCGACAAGGAGGAGACTGACGAGGCCCTGCTGCAGAAGATCATTCCCATGATGCGGGAGAAGAACTACAAGGATGTAATTGTGCTGGTGCGCAAGGTGGATTATTTGGCCGGCAACCAGGCTCTAAGCGCCCAACTCAAGCACGATGAGCACTGCGTGTACGTTCTGGCCCTACTAAAGACATATCACCTGGTGGCCGCCGGCTTGAAGCAGAGCAACGAAGAGATGCTACAGCAGATCGCAACCGTGCAGTTCCTCAAGGACAGCATCGACTTTGCGGTGCTGATGACATCGGCTTTCCCCAAGCTCCATGACCTCCTCATGTCCAAGACAAACACGGACGTATTCGAGGCAGTGGATCTGTTTACCACCGGCTACATGTTCGGGATCCACGGCACTGAGTCGGGGATGCAGCGGATGCTGCAGCTCGTGTGGTCCTCGGACAAGGAAAAGCGCGACGCCGTTTCCAATGCTTACAAGCGAGTGCTTTTCACCACTGACCAAACGGGCCGCATTCACGCCATCCGGGTGGTACAGAACTTGTCCAAATTCCTCTCGGAAATCGAGTATGGCCACTACACGGCCATGGAATCGGTGATGGCCGAGTGGATTGTGGCTGGAGATATCGATGCCTTGGTCATTCAGGTGCTCTTCGAGCGTTTTACCCTCAAGCTGGAGGGAACCAGCCCCGCAGAGTCGCGTCTGGCCCTGCAACTTCTTATCATGGCCTCCGACTCGAAGGCCGCCATTGCGTCGGCCAACACTGCCATTATCGAGGACATTGCCGTCGGGGCAAGGGTGCGCCGCGATCCACGTATCTTTACTGGCTGCCTTCAGTTGCTGGTCAACTCCATCAATTCCAACAGCAATGCCAAGATCTACAAGCGGCACGACAGCGACTCGGAGTTCGTGGCGAAGATCACCCACCTCTTCCTGGACTTCTTCTTCCACCAGAAGCTGTCGGACTTTGACGGTCTGGCCATGAGTGTGTTCGAGTACTTCTACAAGATGTGCCAGGCACCGGATGTGATCTCCCAGCAGCTGGTGAAGACGCTGATCAAGCGGTTCAACGAGAGCTGGCTGATCAATGCGGAAGATGTGTCGGCTGTGACCCCCTCACAGGCAGCAGTGGCGGATAAGGAGAACGACTTGTGCTCGCAGCCGCCAACGGAGATACCCTGCTCGCAGACCCAGCCCTTGACGCAGACTCAGCGCTTCACGCAGAGCTCAACTCTCCAGCGGGGCAAGATGATGATGCCCGTTTACTTGGTCTCCCGCTTTGTGTTCTGCATTGGGTACATGACCATCAAGGAGATGATCTTCCTGGATATGGACATCTACAACAACATGAAGTACCGCGAGGAGCTGACGGCGCAGGAGGAGCGGAACAATCGAAACAAGCCGCCTCCGCCAGTTAACAACAGGAAAACTCTCAACGTCTCCGCCATGGAGGTGCGCAAGCGGTTGTCCGGAGTGACGGCGGAGCCGCAGCAAGAGCCAGACGAGGATCTGGTCGGGGCCACGGCCGAAGACAACATCGCCGAGGAGATCCACAGCATTGGCGAGGACATGCTGCTGTACAACCCCAAGGCCCTGCTGTCCAAGCTGTCCCGATTCGTCAAGACCGTCTGCCAGAAGCCCGGCGAGTTCCGCGATGCCAAGCTGCAGCAGGCAGCTACCTTGACGCTGGCCCGCCTGATGACGGTGTCGTCGCGCTTCTGCGAGACCAACATGAGCTTCTTAATGAACATCCTCAGCTTGACCAAGAACATCCGCATCAAGTGCAACACTGTGGTGGGCCTGTCGGACCTCACCTTCCGCTTCCCGAACATCATCGAGCCCTGGACGGGACACTTCTACGCCCAGCTGCACGAGTCAAACACTGAGCTGCGGCTGACGGCCGTCAAGATGTTGTCGCACCTCATCCTCAACGAGATGATACGCGTAAAGGGTCAGATCGCAGACATGGCACTCTGCATCGTGGACGAGAACGAGGAGATCCGCAACATCACCAAGCAGTTCTTCAAGGAGATTGCCAACAAGTCCAACATTCTGTACAACGTCCTGCCGGACATTATCTCGCGGCTGGGCGACATTAACCTGAATCTGGACGAGGACAAATACCGCACAACCATGTCCTACATTCTGGGACTCATCCAGAAGGACCGTCAGATCGAGACTCTCGTTGAGAAGCTCTGTCTCCGCTTCCCGGTGACGCGTGTGGAGCGCCAGTGGCGCGACATCGGCTACTGCCTCAGCCTGCTCAGTTACAATGAGCGGTCGGTGAACAAGCTCATCGACAACTTGCACCACTTCAAGGATAAGGTTCAGGTGGATGAGGTCTATCAGTCCTTCAAGCTGATCATCAGCAACACAAACAAACTGGCCAAGCCGGAGCTTAAGGCCGTCGTCACCGAGTTCGAGAACCGGCTCAACGAGTGCCTGCAAGTCAACCCGAATCCGAATTCATCGACGGAGCCCGGTACCTCGGAGGTTGAGTCTCAACGAGCTCGCGGGGCCAAGTCAAAGAGGGGTCGAAAGCCGCCAGCCGGCAAGAAGCCGCCACCGTCAAGAAGACGCGGACGACGCCAACAGGACACAAGCTCTGAGGAGTCGTCTAGCAGCGACGATTAGTCTCATTTCCAAATATTTCCAAACTTTTTATATTTCCTTAAATCTAAAATGTAAAAATGAAATGTATCCTGTACTTCAGGGATAGCCCAAAATGCTTTTGTAAAGCAAACGATAAGCGAATCAATTGAAATCTCCCTTAGGCTTACATATTTATACATAAAACGCAATGAATTACAATAAATGTAAAATTTTTAACAAACTAAAAGGATGGTAGATGCATTCGGAAATATATATGGTATGTATAGGAAAATCTCCAGAAAAAACAACGGGCTGAAAAATTGAGAGTTCTCTAAAATTGTTTTTTCAACACAGTTACATTTTTTTTCTTCATGTTTTTTATATATTATTATGATGAATCTTCAACATATTCTAAATATTTTGTCAATGTTTCACATCGACATGACAAAATTAACGAAATTATGCGTAGTTGAACGGAGGTTGTTTGGTGTTCTATGAATCAAAAAGTTTAAATCCTCTCCTGAAAAGTTCCATTTTGAAAGTCGGCGTACACGGTAACTCAAAATATACTGAACGAATCGTTTTGAAATTTTTTAACCAATTCTACACTACTCTCGTCGGTTTTTTTTTTTTTTAATTTATAAACTTATAATATTTTTATTTAAGAAAGTAACTTAATTTTGGACAGTTGAGATGTACACCGCAGACCAACTTTTTTGGAGGGAACTCGGGAGATTTCCTATTACTCCTATACCTCTAAATAATTATGAATACAATATTTAACACAAAATCGTTTAAGTGTTGTGTTATTATATGGTATTTAATTGAATAAGCTAACTTTAGAGGTTTTGCCACAGAAAATGTTTGAAAAATGGCCTGTTTTGCACCTAATTAACCATATATCTTTTATCACGTTTTGCTGAATTCAGTGCAATGTATTTAGATATACAGATACGATCTAAGTGCACACAACATGAAGAACAACTTGAGATTGTTCCCCGCCTCCTATATTTGTCCCTTAGTGGGAGACCACAGATAAGGTCCTCGCCGCTTAAGGTATGGAGGTGTTCGTAAAAACATTTACGCTAAGAGGTGATTCTCATGTCACCTATTTAAACCGAAGATGTCTCTAAATAAAATCAGGTTCTTACAAAAACTTAACAAAGGAACGACTTCTTATTTTCAGGATTTCGAAAAAGCGACTTCAGCGAATTCCTTTTTTCTAATTGTCTTGAAAACGAACAATTGCCCAAAATCAGGATTAGCACCAATTATAGTCCAAACATCGGATTCGACATCAGAGAATTCTCCATCTATACTTTAATATCTTTCATCCCATTAAGTACCCACTCAAGATCGATTTTAGAAAACTATACCTCACTGTGCATATATATTTCAACGATGGCAATTTTCCGATTCGTAACATTAACAAAGACTATGACTAAGGCTGAAATTCGTTTCGGCATTTACAAATTCAGAGACCGAGTCTGGGGTACGGCTCGACTCTCGACTACGGGCTAGTCGCTGACGCGGGCATAGATCACGGCCGTGCGCGATGGGGCATAGACCTCGATGAAGTTGCTTCGGCCGGCATAGCCCTCTGGGTTGGAGCGGTGATTGCAGTTGGCATCGATGCGGTTGTGTCCACCAAAGAGCGGATCATCAGAGGAGAGCACCGCCTGGTATGTACCGGCCCAGTTGGTGCCCACGCGATACCCGGTGAAACTCCGCTGGGGATGGAAGTTGAAGACGAACACCAGGCCAGCTCGCTCAAAGGCTATGATCTTGTCGCCCTCGTGCTTCCAGCTGACGTAGGCGGGTCCGGAATGCAGCCAGCCGTAGCGCTCCTCCAGCTCGTTCATGGCCCGATCGAACTCGTTGAGGTACTTGTACTTCAGAAGCTCGTCGTCGACCAGGTTCCACTGACGGCGGGCATAATGATAGGAGTCATTGTTGCCGACGCGCGGAAAATCGAGCCACTCCGGGTGACCGAACTCGTTGCCCATGAAGTTCAGGTAGGCCTCGCCGCCCAGCGAGTGCGTTATCAGCCGGATCATCTTGTGCAGCGACAGTCCTCGGTCGATGATCAGCGAGGAATCCGACAGCGTTGACATGTGCGTGTACATCTCCTTGTCCATGAGCCAGAAGGCAATCGTCTTGTCACCCACCAAAGCCTGGTCGTGAGACTCAGCGTACGCCACCGTGTTCTCCATCCAGCGGCGGTTGGTCAACGTGTGCACCACGTTGCCCATGTTCCACTCGTCGTCGCTCTGCTCCTTCAGCAGCTCAATCCACTTGTCCGGAATGGCCATGCCTAGGCGGTAATCGAAGCCAATGCCGCCCTCCGAAACGGGGCGGCACAAGGTGGGCATACCGGACACATCCTATAAAGAAGCAAAGATATTTTATTGTCCGAGCTAGCTCCACCATCAACTCACCTCCGCAATGGTAATGGTCTCCGGATCCAAGGTGTGCAGCAAATGATTGGCCAGGCCCAGGTAGTTGAGGGCATCCGTGTCCACGTTCAGGCCAAAGTATTCGTTGTAGTCGCCACTGAATCCCTCGCCAATGCCCCTCGAATGGTACAGCATGGAGGTGACGCCATCGAACCGATAGCCGTCAAAGTTGTACTCATCGTGCCACCAACGCAGGTTGGACAGAAGGAAACGCAACACCTCGTACTCCACGTAGTTGAAGAGACGACTGTCCCACAGAGAGTGCTCGCCGCGGGCTCCATCGTGGAAGAAGCAGCTGTTGGTGCCGTCGAACTGGTTCAGGCCGTCCTGCACGTTCTTAGATGCGTGCGAATGGACCACGTCCAGGAGCACATACAGGCCATGGGAGTGGGCCACATCGATCATACGCTTCAGCTGCTCGGGGTTACCATAGCGACTGGAGGCAGCATAGAAACTGGTCACCTGGTAGCCAAAACTGGCGTAGTAGGCATGCTCCATAATGGCCATCACCTGGATGCAGTTGTACCCTTGACGCTTGATGCGCGGCACGATACGGTCGGCGAACTCATCATAGCTACCCACACGAGGCTCCTGGGAGGCTATGCCCACGTGACACTCGTATATCCTTAGCGACTTTGGCTTGGCCGGCCGAGGATGCTGGCGCTGGTAGCGCTCGTAGGATGGGGGCTCCCACACGTACTGCTTGTAGTTGACGCCCTGATTGGCCGACTTGGGTGGCTGAACCACGTACTTGGCCCATGGCGACAGACGGTCCAGCAACTGGCCGGAATGGTTGCGAATGATCACCTTAATTTCGCTCAAGTGCTTGATCGCTGGACTGCCGTCCGCGTTGGGGGGCAGGTGAAGCTCCCACTTGCCGAAGTCGAGCTTCTTGAAGGGATGCGACTCCCAGTGCCAATTGTCTGCGGGTAATCAAGGATTTAATTGGCAGGCTGTCTTCAAATAGAAGGAAAACTTACTAAAATCTCCAGTGAGGTACACATCCCTGGCTCCAGGTGCCCATTCACGGGCAATCACCGAATTGTCGGGTTGAAAATGGAGGCCATAGTACTTGTAGCCCTGTGAGAACTGCTCCAGTCCACCCTCGCCCTGGTTAATCCTGTTTAGCCAGTCCTGCAGTACGCCGTGTCTGTGTGCGAAAAACTGTATTATTTACGATTTCTAAAATACGACGCATTTTTATTTGGGATAATATAATAAAATTAAATCCTAGGATAATTAGGTGATGGTATCATTCTTGAACCCTCATGAAACAAGTAAACTGAATTATTATCAAGCAAACAAAGCTCAAAATAATGATTTTTTGGTCCATAAAACCCCCATTAATTTGTCGAAAAAGTATATTGGTTTTCTTGACGCCTGTACTTCAACTGAAAGTGAAAAAAACGGTACAATGCAACACAATAAAGTTGTTATACCCTTTTCTTTTTCAGTTTTTACTTAAAAGATTCTCTGTATGTTTAAAAAATTTTAAAAATATAATAGCTTTTAACTAATTTTCTTTTTATTTTTACTTCAAAAAACTGACATTTTATAGCTTCGATCCCAGCTGTAGTAGTCAGATTTTTATACCCTTGCAGGGTATTATAATTTCAGTCAGAAGTTTACAACGCAGTGAAGGAGACGTTTCCGACCCCATAAACTATATATATTCTTGATCAGCATCAAAAGGGGAATCTTTGTAGATATGTCGGGAAGAAATCGATTTTTTTTGACATTTTTGCAAAATTTTATAAGGGGTTACATCATTAAAATTTTTGATTTTGATAAAAAATTGAATTTTCAAAATTTTTAAATGAAGTATGCAGATTTATTAACTGTAGAAAATCTTGCACAGAACAGTTTTCTGATTTAAAATTAATGCTCTTTTGGCCGAGCTATGATATTTTTAATTTAAAAAAATCAAGACTTTTTAAATATAAAACATCCGATTTTATAATACAAAATAATATTTTTCTAAGTCAAGGAATCATTTTCGACCCCATAAACCGCATATATTCTTGATCAGCATCAACAGGGGAATCTTTCTAGACATGCCCGGAAGAAGTCGATTTTTTGGCCATTTTTGCGAAATTTGATAAGGGTTACATCATTAAAATTATCAAAAATGGCCAAAAAATTTGATTTCTTAAAATTTTAAATTTGGTATGCAGTTTTTTTTTAATTAATAAAAACTTACACAAAACTGCTTTCCGAATCGAAATTAATGCATTTTTGGCTTAGTTATGATATATTTTAATTGTTACCTGCAAGGGTATACAAACTTTGGCTGGCGAGAGTTAGCTTTCTTGTTAAAACATAAATTTAGAAACTGTTAGCAATATTCATATCTCTGAGAATCTGAAACTAAACTGCCAAAGAAAGCCAAAATTTGTATGTACTTTTTATTAATTTTCGGGGCTTGTCTTAAATCATAACTTCACAGTAGAATTTTACAATATTATTTTTACAGGCACATCTCAAATATAACTTTGAATCCAGGCTGAAGGTTAAAGGATAAACATATTGAAAGTGTAAATATCGGTTACGATTAAGGGATATTAAAAAGGTGATACGAATATTATAAGGAATAGAGCTGATTAATTTTTTACATATTACATATGATATTGACTACAATTAAAGTTTCATAAATAAAAGAATTTTATATATGGTAGAAATATATTTTCTGTAATTTCTTGACTTAAATTGAAAGTTATATATGAACTTATTACCTATTATTGATATATCCTATTCTTGAGATGTACATAGGTATTTAGTCCGACAGACGAATATCAAAATTAGATTGCCTCTGTTGGGGCTGGTCAAGTACAGATGTGATCTAAATCTATGCCTTACAGATACCAGCAGTGTATAGATTTTATTTGTGTAAAAAATACGTAAGGTTCCTGCCTTGACTTTTTGAACTATAAGCTATTAGAGATAAGCTCATCTGCGATGAGTATCTGTCGCCAATCCATCAAAAAATGTCAGAAAGAGATTAAGGTGTTTGATAACTACTTTGCTTGGTGATCCCGGTCTAAAAAATGATTATTCAGGTCGATAAACAAGAAATTAGCAATTTGAAATCCTTTAAAAATGAGCATCGAAAAAGCCCAAGACGCAGAAAGAAAACCAAAACAAATTCGATGAAAACGGAAGAGCCACAAAGTGCTTAAATTTGCATCGAAGATGCAAAAATAGCCACCGCGTTGACGCACCGCTGACACGATTCGGGCCAACACGGAAAAGGCCACCAAGGCCAAGATCATCCGTGCTCCAAACACGCCGGCAGCACGCAGCAGATACATAAAGAACACGCTTTATAAAATTAGTTTAACAAACACCAGTACGGTGCACACACACACAAATTAAAACACACACTGAGGGCGGCAAACACCGACGACCTTCATTCGACATTGCGAACGCAGTTTTTCCAACCGCAAACTGCATGTCACCGGGGGCCAGAGGCTGATATGGTTTGGTTATGCAGCCGGAGCTGGAGGCCGAGCCAAGTCCGCTTATCACTCGCACCGAGCCGGCATAGCAACCTTGGGGTTACGCGAAGCGGCGTTTTTGGGGCACCGGTGTTGCTACTCACCTGCGCCGGATCTCATGCTCATGGGATCGCAGGTAGCCGTCGGTTTCAAACAGCTTCTCGATGTCCTTAACCTCCGCCATGTCGGAACGGGAGGGGAGCAGCGTCAGAAGATCACGGACCAAAGAACGAAGCGAAGACGCTGCCTGTCCACTGGGAACTGTGACGCCCCATCAGCTGCAGTCCAACTCAAAAGTTCCCGACGCGGACATGAGCTTTCGGAACAGCTGTTTTGCAGCTTTTCCTTGCCGGGCTCATTCGCGCATGTAAACAACGGGCGCCGCCGATGCATGGTTTCGTCGCCAAATATTGCGTACTCGCACTGATGGCTCCAAGATACAGTTGTATGTGTGCAAATATATAGTACGTATACGCCGAATTGCCGCTGATTGCTGATTGCCGATCGCCAGTGAGCCGGTGGAGCCGGCATCCAAGCGTTATGTGCAAAACATCATGATTTAGGGTCGTCGTTGTCAAGTTCATTAAAGCAGCAGCGTTTACAGATGCCTGATTTTGAATGTCGAAGGGTTACGAGCGGGAATGTTCTGTCACGTTGTCTTGGGAATCATTGTAATTTAAATTATTATTCACCTATGTACATACTTGATAGGGTGATAAGCTTCATGATTATTAAGCATATAAAAAATTATTTAAACCGTGATTCCGAATTCACATTATAAAACCAGAATTCTAATTGATCGATTTAACTATTTATGAAAATGGTGGAAAATACCAACGGAAATCTCCGAACACAGAACCGGAATATAATTTTCCGATAGTTTTCGAAGCTCTGAACTTAAATCCAGTCTCAGATGATTAAGATATTCCATATTAAAGTGCAAAAAATACGGTTTTTTGTACTTTTAAAATGCTGTAAGTTCAATACAATTTATCATAAAGTACTGTTCTTGACCTTAAAGTCATTTGAGTCACAGATCTAAATACTTAATTTAACGTGTAAATCAAATTTAAATGTTGATCAAATTTTTACTAAAACCGGATTAGAGTTCAGCGCAGCAAAACCTATACTTTACTGTAATAAAGTAATATATTATGTTTTTCTAATATGTAGCAGTTTGCTATTTTCCCAACAGCTACGGCATTATCGACAAAGGCGATAGTTTATATATCTCTCAGGGCTTGGTTTCTTGAATATTGTATTGTAGTTCTTGAATGTATAGACGCAAATAAAACCATACCATATAAATTTACAACACCTTAGAACATAAAAGGTCGTCAAGTACAAAGATAAAAGCTATAAATGATTTGTTCAGCTATTTGCCATTTCACAAACCATAAACAAGGGAGCAGCTAACCCATTAAAACTCAGGTGCATTACAAATAACCCTATTAGTTTTATTTGGCCAGCCCCTTGCTGAACCTTGGAACCTTTGCAATTATTTCTTAGAACTCTAGTGCTTATTAAAATGCCAAACAAGATAGCAGGTGCAAGGCTAGTAGAAGTTGTGCTCAAATATTTTATACTGAACTGGACGTGAAAAAATATATTTTCAAAAGGAAAAAGTCCGCGAACCTTGCAAGAAGGCCCTTGTCGGTAGGCCTTTTTACTCCCATATTTATGCCTATATATTTAGCGGATTTAAAGCAGAGCGCTGGAAACACTCTCAATGGTGTCGAAGGCAGCATTGATATCCGTCTGCTCCAGCAGGCGGTTGACTGCGATGCGAATACTGGGACGCACTGGCTGATGCTCCCTATCCTTCAAATAGGCAGCCTGCACAACGGCCACGCCTTGAGCTATGCACTGGGAGAATAAAAAGGGAATTAGCCGGGGTTTCTAATTGAATAAAATTACTAAGAATTACCTTATCGGCCAACTCGGTCAGCAACTGCAGCTCCTTGTCGTAGTTTTCAGCTGGCGTAGCCAAGTAAAGATGCTTTACCGGGGATAACTCGTTGCCGCGAATGGTAAGCTTGCTGAACCGCGAAAACTTCTGGTGCAGCGTCTTGGCCTTGTCCTGCAACTGTTGGAATATCTGCGGCTCTTGCTCGAAACGATCCAGTGCCGAGATGGCCGCTTGGGTCAGCATGGGCGGCAACGAGGCCGAAAATATGTAACCCAGACCGGAGAGACGCTGGTGTTCGGCTATGAAATGAGAGCCCACGCAGAAGCCACCAATTGTGGCCATCGAACCCTCCATTCCGGCCGAGATCAGATCGATTTCATCGCGCTGGAGTTGAGCCCAATAGATAAGATAAGAGTTTGATGCTTCCTAAAAACTGTTCGCCACTTACATCCACATTAAAGTGCTCCGTAACTCCGCGACCGCCCTTGCCCAAAGTCCCGAAGGAGATGCTCTCGTCGATGAACAATCGCAGCTTGTACTTCTGGCGCAGGGAAACCAGCTCGGGGAGTGGGCAAATTTCGCCAGTGTTCATGTAGATGCCCTCGGCGACGAGGAAACGCCGGGTCTTTAGCGCCTTCTTGGGATTCTTCTGGTCTCGCTTCTCCTGCTCAATCAGCAGGCGCTCCAGATCCTCGACATCATTGTGCTTGAAGAAGGCGATGGTGCTGCGTGAGGCATCCAGACCCTTTTGGATGGCAAAATTCACAGCCTCATCTCTGTGAAATATAGAAGAGGCGTTAGAAGATACATTTCAAAGGAAATGATAACTACGACGTACACAAAGACAATGTCGCCACGCTTGGCGTAGGCGGGAATGGCGCTGGCCACCGTCGAGAAGCCATAGGAGTACACAATAGCCTCCTCCAGGCCCATGAACTTGGCTATGCGGTCCTCCAGGTCCAGGTGGACGTCCATGGTGCCGTAGAAGCCCCGTGGTCCGCACGAGCCCACGCCATACTTGCGCAGCGTCTTGCAGGACTCCTCCAGAATGTCCTGGTCCTCGAGGAAGCCCAGATAGTTGTGGGAGCCCAGGTTCAAGCAGTCGTTTCCATCAACCGTGATACGCTTGCCCACCTTGGACTGAACGATGCGGGTGCGGAGCAGCGGATGATTGGGATCGGTGTCCGCCACCAGGGGCTCTGGTGTGTAGTCGGCGATTATTTGGTCCTCCTCCTCCTTGGTCAGCCGACGACGGCGACTGTTGCCAGCGCCACGCCTGTGCAGCAGCAACCAAATCACGGCTATGAGCAACAGGGTCTCCAGAACAAGGGCATAGGTAGGAGTCTGAAAAACGGAAAACAATTAGTTAAAACTCTTGTTTATGGAGAAGCATTAACTCACATTGCGAAAGATGCTGCCGATCTCGTTGAAAAGCTGAATGGCGACCATTTTGTACTGGATTGTGGGTTCCGTGCCCTTATTTTCTGTGGAAAAATCAATGGAAACCACCGTTAGCGCCTCCAATGAATGCGTCATGCAGACGACGCTTTCTTATCACAATTGGATGTATGTACATATGTATGTAATTACATAGCAATTCAAGTTAAATATGATATGAAATTCTTGGGAATTATTTATGCATATTCCTTCACCATGTTTTCTAGGTTCTTCGTTAAATAAAAACTCTACATAATTAGATTATTTGTGAATATTTGTGAGAAAGTCTTACCCGGCCAATATGTTGAAATTGATTAATTTACTCTTCTGTTTGTTCCAATTACCACACACCTTCAGTTTTATTCTTTTTTATTACTGAGGCGTGCTCGTTCTCAGCCGATAAAACAGCTGATGTACTAAATGTACTAAAAAATACCGAATTCCAAGTCTTGGTATTCTACATTATTTGTTTTTTTTTTTTTAAGTGGACGTTAAATTTAAAAGTTTCTTCCTATTTTAAGATTTTTATTCGATCTTTATTTTGATCGTCAAATTCATATTTTTGTTATTATTTAAAAAACAAAACAAAATATTTTACTTGGTTTTTTATTTTTATTTAGGTTGCAATTGTATCATTAAGAATCGAACCATCCATTTATGGTAGCTTTAAGATATAGTCGTCCGATTTTCAAAAAATGAAAAAAAATGTTGAAATAGTAAAAAATGGCCAAATCTAAAATAATGAAAAACAACCAAGTTATAATTATTTTTCTAAAAATTTGTCAATCATTTGTATGGCAGCTATATAATATAGTCGTCCGATCGTTTCGACATATATAGCAGTGAGAGTATTCAAAAGACTACATATATGCAAAGTTTCATTCAGAGGGACTAGTTTGAGTGGGACATGGCTATATCGACTCGGCTGTTGATGCTGATCAAGGATATATATACTTTATATATATACATATATACTTTCACTGCGTTGCAAACTTCTAACTGAAATTATAATACCCTGCAAGGGGGAAATCCTGTTTATCAAAAATCTACATCCCCTCGAATGAAACGATTTATCTTCTAAAAAATGGCAGAGCAAATTTGTGTTCTTTTAACTCTAGAAAGTACCCACTTTCTTTTCCGAAAACAGTATATAGACCTAGATCCACCAGAGTCTGTTAATCCGTACGTACTGTTCCTCAACGAACACAGTATAAAAACACAAATTACTTTAGATGTTTGTTTGTTTTTCAATGTATAGATTTATTTGTTAATGCTTCTCTAATGTTTGCCTTCCAATTGTTTGCGTTTGTAAATAATAAAACAATTAATCATAATTACACGTTAAAACAAATTGTACTGCCTAGATACGCGTAATGCCGAATGATAGACCAAGTTTCAAGTTATTGCTTCGTCGATAGAAAATGCATAAAATAGAAAGATTACAATCGTCCGCCAGTGGGTGTGGATGCAGTTTCAATTTGTAAAGAAATTGCTCGGCTTCATTGCTGTCGTATGCAGTTTGTTTTGGTGACTTTGTGGTGTTTTGGATTGGATTGGATTGGCCTAAAACTGGCTAAACTAAGTTAATTTTGTTTTTACGTTTTTTTTTGTTAATCTTTAAAAACTATTTTATGAAGTTTAGTTCAGATTTTTTGTGGTTTGCTCCTCTTTCCTGGAGGATGTTCGGCCGCTGGCTGGTGGAACTGGGGACTCCTCTACTTCTTGTCGCCGGGATTGGACTGTGTGGAGTATGAATATTGAGACCAATAATGATTGGTGGCACCGCCATCATTATTGCCAGCAGCGCCGCCTCCCACATGGACGCCGGCTCCACCACTGACATTACTGGCCGCTGCTCCCGAGCCCTGCTGCTGCTGCCAAGGGAAGGAAATTTAGCTCGTTTCCTGCAGAGAGTTGAAATTACTGCCATCTCTTACCTGCCACCAGGACATCCACTGCTGTTGCTGCTGCTGCTGCGGATCGGCGGCGCCCTGCCAGGCCTGTTGTTGTTGGGTGCCATAGCCTGCTGCGGGCACAATTTCATTACAAGAATTCGGAACGCAAGGGAATGCAAGCACTTACCAGCCATTTGATTATATCCCCCCCAGTATTGTTGTTGCTGGCCCGCGGTCTGCTGCTGATGCTGCTGTTGGTACTGTTGTGACTGCTGCTGCTGCTGTGTCTGCCAGACACCAGTCTGTTGATGCTGCGGCGCCTGCTGCTGGTGCTGCGTGTAGGTGCTCCACTTGCCGCTGAGAGAGGCCTAGAGGGACGACAGCGATTAGTTCACATTTCGAAAAAGTTGTTTCCCTCATTTATTACCTTGCCTCCGCCGGGTGCTCCACCCGCCTGCTGCTGCTGCTTGTACTGATCGTAGCCACCACCTGCAGCCGAGTTATTTCCGTACTTGGGCAGCGATTGGCCAGCTGACCGCTCATAGCCACCGCGACTATCTTCTTTGGTGTCGCGGTGGCCAGGCCGAAAATCCCGTTGTTGGTGAGTTCCGCCACCCGAGCGATAGCTGCTGCTCTGGCTACTGCCCCGATTCCTATCATTGCTGCCCATCCGACTGCGATCATTGCCGCGATCTCGATCGCGATAGTCTCGCGAGCTTCCGTACGCCCGATCGTCATACCCGCTTCTGTTGCGGTTGTTCTGCATCCAGTTTTGCTGGCCACCGCCACCGCTGCTTCCGGAGTAACCGCGATTGCGATTGTCGTATCCTCGATTACCGCCACCTCCACTGCCTCCGCCATAGCCGCGATCATCGTAACCGCTCCTGCGACTGTTTTGCATCCAATTTTGCTGACCACCGCTGCTTCCGCTGTAGCTTCGCCGATTATCGTATCCCCGGCTGCCGCCTCCACCAGCACCACTGTTGCTGGAATAGCTTCCGCCGCCGCCGCCGCCGCCACCACGCCTGGCATCACTCCACCTGCTCTCGTGCCTCTGGCCGCCATAGTCACGTCGACGGTCATCGTTGTAGCGATTCCGGTTGCGATCATCCCGCCTATAGTTGTCCCGGCCACCGCGGGATCGCTTGTCCCTAGACCTATCCGCATCGATGGCTTTCTTGCCCTTCTCGTTGTACTTCTTGACCTCGCTCTTTGCCTCGTCTCCGGTCAGCTCCGTGTAGTTTATGTCATCAAACCAGCCAAACTCCAGCGAGGGCAATGTGAAATTGGCTGGAAGAAGAGTGCGCGTAGACATGGTCAATAGAGTCAGCAGAGCACAGACGAATCTTCACATATTAGACATTATATAGAGAGTAGAAGATCGGGGCAGGCAACTGGGAACGTGGTTTGGAAACAATTATAATCATTAGTAAAGTCTAAGGACTTCAATAATGCATAGGTATTCAGATTTAATTTAATTATAAATGATGTTAGCGCTTCCCAGTTGCCATAAATGGTGACTCTTGGACTCTATAGATACAATATTTCAATGAATAATGAAAATAATAATCATAAAATTATGAGATATTATTTAAAGGGCTTACAGTTACAATTACGTACAGATACATACATAAAGTGCAGCTGCTTACAAACTAAATATACTTTACAGAACGTTTTCTAGATTATTTATCTTTCTTTTTTGTTACATTGAATGCCTCCTTATTTTTAGGTAGGTAGAATAGAAAATAAGTTAAACGATCGTACAATATTCTGGTTTTTTTTGTTCAATTTGCAATATTTCGTTGCTTTTGTTTTGTGTGGTGGACAATATTTACCTCGTAAGTTATTAATTGTTGACTCTTTAACTGTAAAAGCATTTCCCTTTTCCTCTTTTTCGGCGATGCGACGTTTTAACTCATCTTCGCCTGGTATGCAAACAACCGCAATGCGCTTAAAGTCGTTGAAACCCTTCATTTTACGTCGCTGGGCCGAGGCATAAACATTGGTCTACAAGAATACAGTTGATCGGTTGGTTGGTTGGTTGTTGGGTTGATTTTGTTGAGATATTTGTAGTCAGCCAGTTGTTGGTTGTTTGGTTGGGTTGTTTTGGTTGTTGTAGTTGGGGGGATAGTTGTCGGTGATCGGATATAGATAGCAAGCCATTTTGAGAAACACGTTGATGATTCGATTCGATTCGGTTCGGTTCGGATGAACATACTCCGCACGGGCTCTGGCGCTTACAAGCTAACACATACCTGTTCCACCTTGGTGGCAATCGTACCCCCAGGAAGGGGTGTGTGCACACCATCATCATAATACCTAGAGGCGCGTGGCCACAACTAAACAACAGTTGACTTAATACTTTTTTTTTGCACAAGGATGTAATATATAGTTATATGTATAGAATGAGTAAAAGAGTTGTCGTGGCTGGCTGTGCCGTTGGTTGTGGGCTGTGGGAAGCATCGCATAGCTCTCTCTGTAGATACACATACACATTATACATGAGATATATATTTGGCACTTAGAGAGAGATAGAGAGGTAGAGATAGTAGGTACTAATACGTAGTATATGTGATTAGATTGTCGATCGGATTGGTTTTTGTTTACTTACAGTGGCTTCCATGCCGCTCGCTCCTTTTCTTCCTCTCTTTCTCCGATGCCATTGCCATTGCCATTTCCATTTCCATTCCATTCCCTTACCCAACTTCTCTTACACAAACGCCCCCCACTTTCAACTGCCCCGTCAACTGTTGCATACCTGCTGCACCCTTAGCCTAAGCTAACACATACTTACTGCCTCAAACTTAAACACTTTAATTATCGGATCAACTTACATGCTAGGACATACCTGCCTGGCTTTTAAGCGAGTTGTTGGCGCCCCCCTTGGGGGCACTTGGGATCTCTACCGAGTGCGAGCAATGAGCAACAAATTAATGTAGTCTCAAATGTACGAAAAAAAAAATATATAAAAAAAATACATATGTAGAGCAACAGAGTTGCGCCATTATCCCGCGTAGGGATGATGGCCGGGCGAAAAAGTCATCATCATCAACGTAAAATTCTCGCTTGTTTCGTTTGGTTATCGTTCGTTCACAGTGTTATATTGTGTGTGTGTGTGTGTTTCGAGTTGTGTTTGGTGTGTTTTGTGGGTCATTTGTTTATGTTTTACCTGATCGAGTATGAAATTGCGACGCCGCTTCATGGCAATGTCTTCCAGAGCTGCCAGACTGTTCAAGCAAGTCTCATACACCTTATCCCAGCGTCCTTTGTGCACAGTTTTGCGAGAGGCACCATCAATCTGCAAGGATAGGCCAGGATTAGGGAATAGTTCTACTTCTACTACTGGCTAGCTATTTCAACATACCGTCATCTTGGCTATGAACGCATCGGGGCCAATCACCTCGTAGCGCTTGTCCACGTTCTCCGCCACATGCTTGAGGGCCCAGTGGGTCTTGCCAGAGCCCGGCAAGCCGACCAACAAAATGACCTCGCACTCTTTGCGCGAGCCAGCGCGTTGGGGGCCTGGCCTCAGCTGTTCGGTTGGCACCAGACCCAGCAGCACATAACCGTCCAATAGGGCAGCCGTCTCCCTTGGCTCGGGCACAACGTCCTCGTATTCATCTTCCTCGGTCTGCGATTGGGACTTGTCCTTGTCCTTCTCAGATTCTACCTTTTCGGAATCTTCATCGGTTTTGGGACGCTTGTTGGGTGAGGGACCATCCTCGTCCTCCTCGTCCTCGTTAGTAGCCGTCGGCTTCTGTTCCTCCGCTGGCTTCTCGTCGTTGACCTTCTCAGAGGTAGAATTGCCATTGGCAACAGTTTCGGCTTCGCCAGAGACTCCATCAGTTGCGGATGTTTCAACTGGAAAGAAAATATTTTTTTAAAATTAGGAATTTATTTACAAATCTTTAAAGTACACTTACCAGTTTCAGAGGATTCAGCAGCTTCCGCCTTAACAGTCTCAGCCTCAGCCTCAGTTTTGTCTTCGGCAGCTGTTTCAGCACTCTGCTTATCTGCCTTTTTGGCTGTCTCCGAGTTTTCGGCTTCTTCAGCCTGATCAGAGTTCGTCTTGCTATCTTCTTCATCCTTTTTCTCCAACTCATCATCGTCAGCGGTAGCCTCGTCCAGGACCTTCCACTTCTCTCCATCGTTGTCGTCCTTATCATCGTCCTTATCCTCTTCCTTGCGGGGCTTGCGGCGCTTGCGGGTCGGCCTCTCGGCATTCACAAGCAGCTGCTCGGCATCCGAGAAGTTTACAGAGTACTCGTAGCCCTTAGTCACAATGTGGGGAAAGAGAGCTTCCTCCTCGCCCAATATGCTTTTCTCGAACTCAAATGCTACACCCAGATCCTCGCCGTTCAGGGTGTACTTAATAGTGCATGGCTCACTCTCCAGGTCCAAGTAGCAACCAATTACGTCGTCCAGCTTGTAGGGCCTGCCGTAGTCCGAAAACTCACCTTGATTCGCCTTCCGACCGGTTTCGCAATAGCCAAAGGAATGCTCAGCCTCACCCAGCAACAGCGTGCTTTGTGGCTTGGAGAAGCCAACTCGAAAGCCTCGCACATGCGGTTCATCCCGAAAGTAGTGCGAGTTTTCCGATTGTAACTCCTCCGACAGGCGAACCTCGTAGCACACTTTGCCCTCTCGCACTCCGAAGTTAGAGCGAGCGCCGGACCAAATCAGTGAATAGATTTCGGCGGAGAGAGGTTTGGCCGAAGCGAAGGTTGTAGAATCGATACGAAGATGCAGGTCGGAATCCACTGGAAGTTAAAAATAATCCAAAAATATAGTACTCTTTGTTATATTCTTGCAAGGTATAATAATTTGAGTCAGAAGTTTGCAAGGCAGAGGAGACGATTCCGACCCTATAAAGTTTATTATATTCTTGATCAGAGCCAATCTAGCATTGTCCGTTTCTACGCAAACTAGTCCCTCAGTTTTAAAGCTATATAAATATTGTAGATATTCTTCTGACTATTCTCACTAATACGCATATATGACGGAACAGGCCGGATCGACAGACTATATGCCACAGGGAAAATCGAAAAATTTTAAAAACAAAAACTTATAACTTTGCTGTTTTTCAACATATTTTCTTCTAATGTGGGATATGATATTTGTATTATTATTTTCGAAATTCGGTTTTAATTTTAATTAAAAATATAAGTGAAATAGCAACGATCGGCAGATGTAGAAAAAATAAGTAAAGCTGTGAATATAAAACTATAACTTTAAACCCATAAAATTAAAACTAATATCTAATCTATCTATTTAAAAACGGCAAGAATATACATACAAACTTAGGCGTGCCGAAGATAGCTTCCTAATCCCCTTGCGGTATTAGCAAACATATTCAAATTTATTACATGAGTTATGTGAATACTTACACCAACTTAGCCCCACTTTGTTCTCTTCAATGGTCGGCTCGTCCTCGGGCACGAGGACGCCCACACTACTACGGTGCTTTGGGGAGCGAGAACCGATGCGGGAACGTGAGCGCGAACGACTGTGCGAACGCTTACGTCGCTCCTGAGGCTGCTCCTCCGACTTGGCGGCCGTGGCCTCTGCATCTTCAGTTGTCTTTTGGGCAGCGGCCTCGTCGTCAACGTCCATTTTCTGACTGTCGCCATTTTCCTGGGGCTCTTCAGCAGCCTTTTCAGCCGCATCTTCCTCGCTGTGCCTATCCGGCTTAGCTTCTGGCTCCTCTTCATCGGCCGCATCCTTGACTTCCTCCATCGGCTCGTCGTCATCTTGCTTTATTTCGGGTGCAACTGGAGCTTCGTCCTTCTCGACGGGTTCGCTCTTTTCCTCTATTTCTGTCTTTTCATTAGACTCTTCGGCCTGAGGCTGTGGCTCGTCATTTCCTGCCTCGGTATCCGATGTATCCTCCGCCTCCTGCTCTGGTTCGGCTTGAATTCTTGGCTCCGGTTCAGGCTCCGGCTGTGGTTCAGACTCAGACTGCGGTTCAGGCTCTGCTTCTGGTTCCAACTGCTCAGCCTGGGCCGGCTGTTCCTCCTCTTCCAGAGTGTCAAGCACTGGCTCAGCAGCGACCGGAGCAGCTGCTACGGGCGACGGTGAGCGGGACATTGAGCGCGTCCGACGCTGGCGTCGGCTTGGTGTGACAGGAGCGCCATCTGCAGGAGGGAAGCGGCGATCGGGGAATAAACAGACAGAACGCAAATGTAAGAACGAATTGCAGACAATGTAATAATTCGGCATTATATAAGGAAATCTTACAACTAATTCACGCTAAGCCACACGCACACATATGCACCCGAACAATCGCAGCGCAATCGAACGCGGCAAGCCGCACGCACACATATGCGAGCTCGGACACATGCAGACAAATGACGCATACACACAAACTCACCTCCATCGCCGGCTCCACCTTCCACATGGGCCCGCAGGCGCTCGATAAGCACGGCTTTAACTCCCTTGGTGTCCAGACCGCGCGACTGGAGCTCGTTGCGCAAGTCCACCACCTTCATCTTCTCCAGCTTCGCCACATCCATTTTTTCTGCTTCAGGTTTGGATTGGCGGCAGAAACACGCACACTCACTCACACCAATGCACCACAGAAAAGCTGGCGGTGCGAAAAAAGAACACGGGGAAAATACCAAAGGATGGAACGCAAAAGGCAGACCCAAATGTCTGAATGTTGGCTAGCACCGTGCACGCGCAAATTAACCGCAATTTTCACTTTTACATTCGCAATTTGTTGCGAATAAATAAATGGTTCCCGAAAATTATCCGAACGCGTTGAAGTGAAGTTGGCTGCGATAGAGCTGGGTCGAGCAATCGAATATATCGAATATTTTGTCTTGCTATCGACAGCAGTGTTACCAACACTGTTTGCGACCTAAAGCGGTGCATGTCTGGGATGATGAACCGCACCTACTTTTCAAACCCCATATCTGTTAAAGTAAAATCATTTAAAAATAAGTGCTTATATTATCGAAATATAAAAACATTTTTAAGCATACCGTTAATACATTTATAATTTTCTTGTTTTTTACTTGGACTTTGCTTTGAGAGCTTTATCTTTCATATTCGAAATTTTCACACAGCCAGCATCGACACTGTATATGAAAAAATCGAAACTTTCAGCAAAGAGACTCCGTGGCGCAACGGTAGCGCGTCTGACTCCAGATCAGAAGGTTGCGTGTTCAAATCACGTCGGGGTCAAATAAGAGGAATTAATTATATTCTATTTTACATAATTTTTTTGTTTAAATGTTATCTTTATTTTTTAGTACCAATTTAAATGTGTTAAAATAGTAATATTTAATTTTCTATTCTTAATGCGAGAAAAGAAGAACTACTTTAAAATTTTGAGGGTATCAAGGCATCCAAATACTTTAACTAAAATTTTGAATGATTTGGACCCATAACAATGTCTATAACATCTCACAATTGATAAAAAATTGTTTTGCATCGGCCGGGAATCGAACCCGGGCCGCCCGCGTGGCAGGCGAGCATTCTACCACTGAACCACCGATGCTTGTGAATAACAAATTTTAAGAAATTGTCTGTTATGAGTGTTTTAAGATTGCCAATTGTTAGATTGTTTTAAGATTGCCTATTGTTAGAAATTAAGATTAATTCTTTAAGTGTGTTCCAAAAATATTGAACTCTCCCCTGGCCAGGACTCCGTGGCGCAACGGTAGCGCGTCCGACTCCAGATCGGAAGGTTGCGTGTTCAAATCACGTCGGGGTCAATAAAATTTCTTTTTATAGTTTTAAAAACATTTCTGAAACATTTTTAGCGCTTTCTACAGATATTTTTATGTTTAGTTCTCACCAAATATAATGTTCCCAGTTTGAACTAAAAAATATCGATATTGTTAGTAAATTTTTTAAAATGTTTTTTACAAAAAAAAACAAAAAAAAAGGAATTTGCATCGGCCGGGAATCGAACCCGGGCCGCCCGCGTGGCAGGCGAGCATTCTACCACTGAACCACCGATGCTTGTGTCCTTCTTTTGTTCAATTCAGCATTAGTTTTATTGAGATTGGTTCCAGAAAACGATAACCTGTTGTGGGCTACTGAAAACAACAACCTGTTGCCATTGTGGCATTTTCCTGTCACTTGGCGCCCTCCCCCCATGTGGACTCCGTGGCGCAACGGTAGCGCGTCCGACTCCAGATCGGAAGGTTGCGTGTTCAAATCACGTCGGGGTCAGAACCAGGATATCTATTTTTTTATCCCAAATTGTATTTTATAAAAAATGCTCGTTTTCAACAAATATTTATAATAATTTATTGTATAGATAATAAGCAGCGATCCATTCTCTACAAGCAACAACGTTTGATCATTTAATTTTAACATTTAAAATCGCCGATAAAACTTGCAATTCGGCTGCGTCATTCTTCTGAAGCCATTTGAATATGTTTTGTAAATTTAATAGGTAAACATTTATAAATACAGATACAGTAAATTTATTCGATTACACTTTACGAACGGCGTTAATCATGTAAATTCCCTAAACGATTTGCCTTGATGTATTATCAGTTGTTCCCCTATAGCACAATGCATTACTCGATGTAAAAATTATGGTTCATGTGCCATACAATTGCATATAATATTTTGAACGTAAGACTACCCGACACCAAAATTCAATATAGACTCGCCTCTCTTAACTCTTTGCTATGTAATCGTACTCAGCTAACAGAATTTTTCAACAATTTTTACAGAAATCAACAAGGAAAATGGCTGCAATCATTGCACTAACTAAAGAAAAATCAATCCTAAAAACATATGTAACTAATGGTGGACCCTGTGTTTTGTTTCATTTTTGTTTCATTGTATATAAGTATGTAAGCGCCTCCAAAAATATTGTAGGGTTTAGTTGGTCTCAGATTTCAATTCCTTCCTCAGTGCCTATTTGCTATTGACTAAGTTGAGGAACTCCTCGCGGGTCTTGGGATCGTCTCGGAACACTCCAAGCATAGTTGAGGTAACAGTTTTGCTATTGATTTTTTGCACGCCTCGCATTACCATGCACATGTGTCTGGAATGGAACGGAACGGAGAAATGCCATTAGTGTTATGAGAATTTGGCAGCTCGGCGATCACAAGCATCGGTGGTTCAGTGGTAGAATGCTCGCCTGCCACGCGGGCGGCCCGGGTTCGATTCCCGGCCGATGCAAAACAACTTTTTTTTGTTTAGATTTTTTTGTAAAATTAAATTTTAATACTTACACTCCTTCAACAACAACAGCCACGCCAGCAGGTTGCACAGCCTGAGTTACGGCCACTGCAATCTGTTTCGTCAAGCGCTCCTGTACTTGTAGGCGACGCGAAAAGATTTCCACAATGCTATAGGAGGAATGCCATCCATTATAGTACCATTAATACAGCTATTCTTTAATCGTTCTTACCGTGCCAGCTTGCTGAGTCCTAAAATCTTGTTGCACGGCAAATAGCCGATCGAAACTTTGCCGTAGAACGGCACCAAATGATGCTCGCACATGGAAAACATTTCAATATCCTTGACGACCACCATTTCGTCGTGATCCTCATCGAACACGGCGCCGTTTAGAACGTCTGTAAAAGAATAAAAATAAATAATATATTTAAAAAAACAACTATTCTCATTGACCCCGACGTGATTTGAACACGCAACCTTCCGATCTGGAGTCGGACGCGCTACCGTTGCGCCACGGAGTCATTGCTTACCCACCCGCCCAATGCCCAACAACCACGAAGCCAGTGAAATGCCATGCCCAGTGATTTATGACGCGCGTAATTCGTGTTAGATTTATTTGCTGCATAACTGAATGTTAAGTTCAGCAAGTGGCTACTTGTGGGGGCGATGCGGATGCGGGTAGCTGTCAGAGCTTTCTCCGCACTCACTTTAAACGATGGGTTCTTGAGATTCACCGACAAGCTGCGTGGCTTAGAGTCGCACACCCACTCCGCCATTTCTCATCCACCCTCCACACGCCCACTCTCCCGGTTTTATTGTACAGCCTGGAAAGCTTCTGTGCGTTTCCTGGCAGCCAACAAAGCCAGTTACCACGTTTATGCGCTGTGAAATTCGTGTAATTAATTACATTTTGCCCTAACCCGAACATTAATTGAGAATTCAGCCATATTTCGTGAGCTCAGAATAATCAGAATCATATTATGAACAAAAAATTTGATTCGATGACAGGATGTATTCTAGGCATTTTGGTAGCTTGAATAGAATTTCATGTATTTGGAAATACCCTAAATTCATCACATAAACCTGGTTTGTGGCTCCCTCAATGTCAGATTGGCAACTACTCTCGACGTTGTCACGACTTTGGCGACTTTCGGTTCTTCGAATTCGGGTTAAACACAATCCAACCCATTCTATTTTCGAAGGCTATTCACTTTCGTTTAACTTATTTAGCTTTCAAATGGCCAGCACACTTGCGTTGTTTGTTGTTGATATTAAATTTACATGCGATTTTATTTGACAAACTGTAGAACCTGATTTTCATCTCGGCCAACCGGTTCGGTGCGCCTGTGGCCGTATTATTCGCGATTCTGTTTCTGTTATTTTCCCCCAAGCGACTCTCATTGATTACATGACAAGTTCAAATGTGACTGCTGTTTGCAGTTTGAGTTCGAAAGCAGGACAAATACTATTTTGTGGCCATTAAGGGCCAGAGATAAGAGTGGCTTAAGGGATTTCAGTTTCTGGGTGGATCGTATATTGAACCGAAAAGTATTCTTGAAATGAATCCATCGAATACTGTTATGTTTTTCACTCTGCGTTCACACACACTCAAACCACTCGAGTGGTAATTAGACTAATGCACTGCAGCGGACTTAGGAACCCCCGATAAAGTTGGAGTACGCCATGAATCACTGTCCGAGAAACTAGTTTCGCAGCGAGCTCACTGGGGAAACCCAGGATGAGCCACACACCAATCGCCCGATCACTGACCTGGTGCTAATTGATCGAAAAGAGATGTGCTTGTGTTAACTTAATAATGCTTACCCTCGAGACTCTGGTCGTAGCCCTTGGTGAAGTACAGCATGGCCTTGGCCGCCCGCTCCGGCGTCTTGATCAGTCCCTGGCGATCGGGATTCTCGCCCAGTCCGCCCAGGAGCAGACGGTACGAGCGCGCCATGTCCGGCAGCAGGGCTTCTCGCGTCGGCGGCTTGTGGTCCAGCTCCAGATCGTGGTGGAAAGTGCACTTCTCGTGACCTGTGAACAGGGGGGAATAGAGTCCATTAAAACCATTATCAACAGTGTGGCGATAGGAAGGCATTGCTCCCTCCGGTGGCAGTGTGTGGTTGAGACTCTGTCTAAATACTATCCCCCATCGGAGGCGCATCTCTGACCCCTGAACCAAAACAATACGCCACTGATACGCACGACTTGCTTATCACCAAAAAGAGTTTGTATGACTGCTCCTGGACCTGCTGGTACTCCTACTCCTACGCCTACACATATAGCCTGACCCCCACCACTACCTGGCGTTGTCGATGTACGCGGTGTCATTGGTGTTTTCGGTTGTGTACCATCGCTATCCGGACTGCTGCCGTTGGTCTTCAGGATGAGGCGGGGTCGCTGGTTGCCCGTGGGGACCACCTCCTCTGCTGGTGTACCCGGATTCGGAACCGATTCCTCCGGCTGCGCCTGGGCCCTGTCCGCCAGCGAGGAGGTGCCCGAGGTGCTACTTGTTGAGCACACGCTGTTGTTGCGCCCACGCGACAGGATGTGGGCCTGCGGGAAGTTGGTGTCGTCTATGGCGTCGTTCAGCTCGCTGGCGCTCATCTCGGACAACTGGCGAGTGAAGCTCATGACGGTATCGGCACTCAGGCTTGTTTGCCTCACGAATGGAACTTAATTTGACGGAGCACTGGCACACACAATCTTCTAACTTGGCTGGCCCCGGAGCTGTTTTCTGTTTTCTATATTTTTCGCTGATGTCTCGCTGATGTCAATTGGCGCGTGTGCTCCCGTGTGTTGTGTTGGCGCCTCGGTTGGCTCTGCTATTCTGACTGGCTGCTGGGGCCAGCAGTGGCAATAAGAACCACTTGAGCAGAGCTTTGAGCGGAGCAAAGCTCCAGCCAGCCCATCCCCCATGCCCGCTCTGCAAGCTCCCGCGGCGGTACCAAGCTGAGCTGAGCGCAGGCCCACAGTATCTGAGCGCTCGTACTTGTTGCTCTGTAAGGAAGCGTGGTGCTAAAGCTACAGCTATGGGCATACAAATAGGACAGACCTGGCTTTATCAGAGGAATGTAAACAATTAAGTTTGCTATTAGACAGAAGACTTAAGGTTAAACTTTTATATTCGGTATCCAGCATCAAAGACATACAACTTTCAAGACCTTTATGTTAGTATGATAAGGAACTTGTACCTTAATTAACTTTGTAAAATAAAAATTATACAAAACTCTTTCTTCCTTTGTGTACGATTTCGGATCCTTCTGCAGATTTAATTTGCATTAAACATTAAATCGAAATTGATTGCATACCAAGATAAAAAAAAATTTTAATTAATTTTTCAAGGATTCACAGGACTAACTGATGAAAAGAAAATGCTACCATTTCGCCCACGACTGTGCACTTGGTTCATTTGATTCCTTTTGGTCATCATGGATTGTTTGCTATATCCTTCAGTCCCGGCGCCCCAACTACTCGACATGGTGTCAGACGTCAAGGGCCATTTAGTTTCAACTTTCAACTCAAGCAGTCCGGCTCAAGTACAGCTGCGACTTTCAAAATTGTAACCACCATCTGTCGCTCTGCTCCACCAGCGGGTTTGGAATTTAAGGAAGTCCAGAAGTATGGCGCACCGACTGCAGATGCGAAGCGATGACTTCGACGTCATCGGCGCCGTACCGCGTGATCTGTCGGTGATAAAGAATTTCCTGAAACGCGATTGCGCTGTCAAGCGGCTGATCGATATCGAGGAGGAGTTCCTACAGCAGTGTGTGGAGCGGGGCGAGGACCCCACGGTGCCAAAGAAGAAGAGAGATAGCGACGCCCGGCGCGGTAGCTCACAGGGTTCCAATGTACCAGAGCCAAAGCCGGATCCTTGTGCGAGCAAAACACCACCTGATGCATCGGGGCCGGACTACTGTGATCCCTGTCGAAGGCTTAAAACATCAGTGGGACTCGAGGAGGTGAGTAAGCTTAAATGAACGCCCTTCTTTTTTGGGAACCTTGTTCAAATTATCTTAATTGATTTCAATTTCGCAGCTCACGATGCCGTCTACAACGAATCCTGCGTTCAACAAAGCTCTTCCGCGGTACTTTGACGAGGAGACCGTGATGGGCAACTCTCTGCCTGTCAAATTTCGCTTCCGACGCAAGTTCAATCCCTGTGACCAGGAGAAGCCCAACAACCTAATATGCACCACCACTCCGAGCACAAACGTCGTGGTGCTGACCAATAGCTGCGATGTAATGGCATGGCCCAGCCAGCGTGTGACGCAGATGAACCGTGTGCCTGTGACTATGCTGACGGGTGAGGCCGATCTTACCGAGTACATGTTGGAGGAAGAGACTATTATGTAAAAAGGAATAAACGCCAAAGGAGGGCAATGCTATAAAATAGCGTATAGATAGCATATACCCTATTCGGTCTTAATTTCTTTTATTTTTGGAGGGGGAGGCGAGAATCCCTACAGCATCTGACTTGTGAGGCTTCGAGTATAATTGACCGTCTCCCAGACGCTCGAATTTGTGTTTTTCCTGCATAAAATTTCGAATTTAATCAATTTATGCCACTCGGATTCTAAGAGATGCGCATGCCAATTGAAATGAATTTCAAACTGTACGGAAAAATGGGATTTAGAAGATTTGATTTGAAGAGTTGAAGGTAAAATTGGGATTGTTTTTTTAATCACATATCTGGCATATTATGAAGAATTTCTTATAAATACTACATACTATATTACACATGCACAGTTTGAGAATAGTGTTCCTTCAACCAGGACCTAATGGATAGTTTTAAAAATTGTTCATCTGCAAGATAATATATATATTTTATGTATACCTAGGTGCCGATTTTATAGGTACCATTATTTTATAAAAATAATACTTTATTAATTACAGATATTATTCGTATAAAATACATTTTTTGCCCAAATAACAATTATCCATTTCCTATATTAATTTCTCTAAAAGTCGGTTATTCTCCGGTTATTCCATCACAGTTTAGCAAGGAATAATTCAGTGGGAAATAGCTCGGGTTGGGTTAGTTTACATAAAGCCAAGACAGCTGCAGATGACATAGACATTGATCGTTCTAACTTAAACGACGCAGTCCAGTCACAGTAAAACCTCTCTAACAGACACCGCTCCTTGGTAAAGGGAAACCCTCATTGAAAATCTTTAGTGGAAAGACAAGGGACTTTCTTGAAATCAAATCTTGATTGGAAAAAAGCCACAGGATCAGCTGGCTCCAGCTAGTCTCTTCTCGGGAAGTCAACCTGTTGGAGAAGCCAATTAAGCCAACATTAACATTTTCCATAGGGCAGAGGCAGGTGTTCTCTCTGGTTCTCTGCCTCACTATTTCCGGCACACAATTACGCATTACGGAATCAGGAATGCCATTTAGCGATCGGGGATCGGGGACTCCAAGCTGGCAGGGTTGCCACCGGTGGCGTTTGCTGCCATTTGCTAGGAGAATTTTTTAAGTGGCTCAATTAGCAGCCAAAGGCACCAGTCGAGAGCCGTGAGTCTCCGCTCTCAGCGATCAGTCTTTTTTATTGACCGCAATCGCTCAAATGTGAAGTACTGCGGCGGCTCGGCGGCTTATTAGTCACCGTCGGACGACGGACTTCAGCTCAATATGAGGGGCGATCGAAGAAACTGAATCTGAAAACGGCAAAGCCCACGAATCGAAACCGTTTGGAGCGCCGTGTACTCGCAATTAAACACTTTTTAACCTTCACAAAAGTAGTTCAGGTCTGTGTGCCCGTGCCCTCCCCCTCCACGCCAATCATTGACCGCTGGCCAAATACCGGATCACTAGCCGAGGAGTTTATGGTCTTTGTCTTTCGCTCATGGCCCGCAGATTGCTCCGCTCCCGCTCCCGATGCCGAGTGCCGAGTGCCAAGCAAAATCTTTCAATGTCAATGTCAATATGCCCAGTCCAGTCCCGGCCATAGCTGGTAACTCTCCTAGCACTACATTTTTCTGGTAGACTATATCTACATATGTTCCTCTCCGATATCCGGCACTGTGTGTGGTTTGCATATGGCACAGAAATCGGAGCTCTCATTCTGCGGTTTATGTGCTAAGAATCGTCTGGGTTTTATGCGGCGCAGCATCGCCGGAAATCGGAGTCGACTCATTATGCGCATCTGATTAAATTTCAATTGCCGCCTCTAACTAATCTAGGTGTGATGCAATATCAGTCAGAGATTGCATCCAGCTGCATGGATGGGGAGCTAAATATAGATCAAGATCAGCTAATGGGTTTCCTAATGGTAGTCCTCAGGGAAACGAATACTAACTTTAGGGATTTATTCTAGGAAAATAATAATGTTAATGGAGTTTTAAATATCTTAAAACAGAATCAAATGAGATTATTAATTGTAATGCTAGGGGCTTAGCTTTTAAACTGGAAAATATATATACGAATTGATATATTGTAACTGCAATTAAAAAGGGAAAGATGTAGTCCGTTGCACTTGTAGAATATTAATACGATTATTGTAAGGGGGTTACCCAAAAGTAATCCCCTAATTTGAATATATACTTTCAATCCCCATCAAAGTCAGTGACGCATAAATCCCTAAAATTTCATAAACTGTTAGAGAAATGGTTAGTATCATGGGAATAAGTTTTAGCAAAATCAATTAAAATATGCAGTCAATATTTACAAATATCACTCATACGCCATGTGCATCTGAACAAAAATCAATGACTCAGGGAGCAGGAAAATTTTGCGAGTTGAACCAGGAGCGGGATAATTACTGTTACTATCAGAATGTCCCATTACAGATCAGGAAAACAGGCAGCCTGAGCTAGCACTTCACTTCCTTCCAGAGATACCCGGATCACTCACCGCTTCCGTTGCTGGCCAGCTCCATGTTGAGCATTTCCAGTTTCAGCTGCTGGCTGTTTTTGGAGACCGCGACTGCGGTAGACGGGACGTCGGCTGAGGCAGAGGCGGCTCCGCCTGTCGGGATCGTGGCGGCGGCTTCCACGGCAACGGAAGCAGCATCCGCGGGGGCGTCGCCATTTTGCGTGTTGCTGGTCTGGGGCTTCATTTTGATTTACCTAGTTTTTTTTTTATAAACCGACTTTTGGGTGAGAGGACTTTACGGTCTCTGGAGGATAGACGGATTACTTTCGATCGCGGTACGTACGACGGGGTATTGGCACTTGGCTTTGGCTGCGTTTGGCGCGCTCGCTCCGAATTTATCTGCCGACTAAACCGCCCGAGATTTAGTTGTAACCTTTTTATTATGAAAAATCGAAAGTTCTGCCGAGAGAGCGAGCGTTGCTCGACAGTTTTTTATATATATATTTTTTTTTTATTTTATCTCGCTCCGGCGGCGCTGCTAACTGTAACTCTGCTCTCCTCAGCTCGCTACGTTCCGCTGAGTGGCCAAAGCTTTCGGCTCGACAGCTCTCCGCCTCGCCTCGCTCTCTCGTTGCCTTAGCCCGAGGACTCCAGGAAGCCGAGAGGCACTTTTGTTTTGTTGTTTTTTTTTTTTTTTTGGTTCCTTGAAGCCACTTGTTTGTTGGCCGAAAGTTTCCGAATTCCCAAAATTACAAATTTTTGTGTTATTTCGAAAACCTGCTGGCAGAGTAAACATTCGAGCCATTAAGCAAACGTTGGCGCCTGGCCTAAGGCACCCCATCCCGGTGCAATAATTTCGCTTTGATAACCCGGCCGCGACTGCATCGTTAACGTGTCATTGGCAATTATGGTCCGTTGATAACGTTCGATCTGCAATAACAAATCCATTTTCAGGCCAAATCGTGCATGCGAGAATTTGTTCGGTCATCGCGGTTCATTTGCCGGCTGATTACGAGCCCCTGAAAATGAATTACGGCGGGACAGGCGACAGGAAGATATGAATAATTATGATTTCATTAGCATACGCCGTACCTAACCCGTAAATTACGAATTTACACAAATACTTCAAACACTTGATTAACAGCCGAACCGATCTAGGTATTTTAAAATGATATAAAAACCAAACTTTATATGAAAATGAATCTATAAAAAAATAAGCAGCTAAATGTACGGAACATTCGCTTCTGAGTTCGCTCTGAATTGTGGGATTTCTTCTTACTAGACACGAATATTCGTTAAGTATCAGTGTATTATAAAAATAGCTATCAAAAATAATAATTTAAAAGCAGCCCAGTCTAAGAGTTTCAGTCTAGGCCCTAGGTTTCTTCTATTTTTCGTAGATTTTTATAATTAAATTCAACATAGAAAGCTTTAAGTACCGGCTATCTCATGGTTGAGTCTTTTGAATTTTCTTGCGCTTTCCAATGAAAGTAAGAAAATAACTCAAGCTATCTAATTCATTCACTAATTTTTAACAGATTATTTAAAGACAACTATAAATGATGGCACAACTTGATAGTTAACAAATAATTCGTTGTGATTTCTTAGCTATCAAAAAAAAGTACGAATCGCCTGTTAAATTGTTGAAAACTTTCAAGAAGAAAATTATATTATAAAAACTTAGAAATTTATTATTCTTACACTCTGTTTCTAATACTTTGTGGCCAATCAACTTTTAAAGTTCAAGAAAAAAAGCAAGTAACAAAGTATAGTTACAAACACAAGTGCAAGAGCAAAGCTCGAGCTACGCTGCGCTTGCGCCCTTTCGCCGCCTTGAGCGGCCCCGTTAGTCATGCCTGCAAAATTATAAATAATATTAATTAGCCATTAATTGGACATTTACGTCCGATTTGCATGGCAGCCAACACAAAAAAAAAGAGATTTAACTTTTAAATTTTCCAGCTTCGACGCTGCGCGCTTCGCTTTTAATGGCATTCAATGTCATTAGCTGACGGCTCAACGACTTGAGTTATTCCCGGAAGGCGGTGGTCGGACAAAGAGCCGGTTGGCTGAGCGAGCGAGCCAGCACTTCCCACGTTTTACAACTCCTGCACCTCACCACCCACGCCCTGCTTGCCCTGCGCCTGCCGCTCCAGCTTCTCCTGCTCAATGTTCTCCAGCTGGGCGAGTGTCAGCAGGGAGATGCCCAGCTGGTCCTCGCGTGTGAAGGGCTGCGCCATGCGTCGCAGCCATCGTCGGGCCAGCTGCACGGCCTCCTCTGTGCTCAAATTGCAGAAGCTGTCCACCAGATGCTCCTGAATCCACTTCGGTAGACGCGAACGCTTGTCCTGCCGCGAGAACCTCTTGTCCGCAAAGATCATGATGCCGTAGTCCGTCTTACCGCGCAGCGCCCGGCCCACACATTGGGCCGCATGCCGCATGGCGTCGAAGGTCAGAAAGTCATTCTCACGTATCTGAAACTGATCGCGAAGGTAGTCGAGTCGTGCCTTGAGAATGCGCGACTGCGTGTACACGTAGGGGATGCCGAACATGAGCACCGCGCGACCATAATGATGGTCGAAATCCACACCCTCCGAGACCTTGCCACGCGCCACAGCCAGCAGCACTGCGCCGCGACCACAATCGCAGGCCTGCAAGTTGAAATGGGGGTATAAGTCAAGTTTGATTGCAATTTATGTACACTCTTGCAGAAGGGATCAAATATGTCATACAAGGGGGGGAGGGATATGCATGTAAACTGTCCAAATTTTTGAACTATTCGTAAATTTTTTAGGAAGTTGTCAAACAATTATTGTGAATCTTTGGAAAAATTTAAAAATTAATTAAGTTCAACAAATTTCATTCTGATTCTAATTTATAATAGTTAGTTCACTTCAAAATGTTTCATACTTTCGTGTGAATCGTGTCCTTAAAAAAAAAAGTAAAAAAGCAAATTTTAAAATAGGAGAAGTTTTTAAAATTTACACTTTTAAACCTTGGGTACATATCTGATTCAAAGAACTTAGAGTTCGAACAATATATTCTTGAAGTAATAAACTATTTTAACACAAATATGTCAACAAATTTTGGGTTATATGTATACCAGAACTTGTTTAAATATTCTGTTGTTCGAAAAGTAGCCAAGATCGGTAATTAAATGTGTTAACCAACGCTCTGCTAGAACTGCAATGCTCCGTTCTGAAAGAGTGCGACTAAAAGTGTGTGAATGCAAGCAAACTAGGCCAAGAGAGAAGCCCTAGCAGTCGCGAGTGCATGAATATCTCACCTTAACATAGTTCATCAAGGCGTAGCTGGTCTCGGCATTGTCCTGGGTTTCAATGAACAGCAGCTTGTAGCGCAGCAAGGTGTCGACAATGCCCTGATCATACCAGGAGGCCACCACAGATTCCAAGTACAGGTAGGATGTGAAGAAGCAAACGATTCCGTCAGGCACTGTCTTGGCCACCTCCACCAGCAGCTGGCCATAGTTTCGGATGACAGCGGTGTCCTCCCTCGTCTCGAACTTGGAGGAAATGGTCACCTGGTCGTTGCCCTTGGACACGATCTGTTCGGGAAATATTATTACACCAAACGCTGGCATTAATTGTGAAATATAGTAATTACCATGGGCAGTAGACACGGACGGGCCAGCGTCATGGTAAAACTGCTCATGACCACAGGATCAAAGTCGAGAATCTTCGGGTACATGTCCATGGGCGATAGTGTGCCCGAGGTGATGACAACCGTCTGAAAACGCGAAAACACCGGAGCCATGGCTATGGAAGAGTCCAGGCAGCTAAAGTGCAAAATCGGGTTCGATACTGTTGGCGTTTTGTCGTCGAAGGGCTCGATGATAATGGTAAAACCCTTCGTATAGGTGGACACCAAAGTGGCAAAGTGGGTGATCTAAGGGAGAGATGTATACATTTTTACTTCCCAATCAAGATATAAAAGTGCGGCAGGAAACCGACCAGAGTGAGAGCACCGAACTCTGTCAAATCAGTGATCTCCAGGGTGCGCAGCAAACTGGACAGACGCTCTGCACAGAACCGCAGGGGCTTACGTTCGATGCAAATCTTGGAGGAAATGTCCTTGAGGAATCCGGCAGGCGACTCCTGAACCACATGGTGAACGCGCAGTCTGGTCTTAATGTATTCTATAAAGCGTCGCAGAAAGCTGAGGAAGTGGTCAGCGTTGCGAATGTTTCCCGGCACCACCTCGGTCAGCACATCGTTTGGCAACACCGGATTGGCCAGTATCATGTCTGTGTCCCGCTGCACACTGGCATCCTTCAAGCCCTGAACCATGCGCTGGTACTCCTCATTCAGGCGATTCGTGTCCTCCTCCCGAATGCTGTAAACGCGAGAGAAGCCATTGAAATCGATTGAATGGGCTTGGGGATTAGGCACTTACTCTTGCACCAGTTTGGTTAGCTGATTTAAGGCATTTGTACTGCGCTCCACGGTTCGTCTGTTGATCTTGACACTCATCGAGTCTATGCACACGTTGTCGATGTTGTGCGCCTCATCGAAAACCACGCAAGACTCGCGGCTCATCTCCTTGGATACCACCTGGGCTATCTTCGGATCCAGCAGGTAGTGGTAGCTGTATACCACAATGTGAGCATGGGCAATCTGGAGGTGGACAACACTACACTATATAATCTGTTCCAGCGATTGGGCATCGAGGCTTACTGCATAGCGGGCCAGAAAGTAGGGGCACCAGTTCCTCGATCGCCCGTACTCCTTCAGATCATCGATGCTATACACGCCCACCGGCAGTGTGGACTCCTTGCCCTCCAAGCTGAATCCCTCAAAGTACTGGCCTGCAAATGAACATATTATAACATTAAATGGTGGACACCGAAAATCGGCAATACTCCCTTACAGATAGGCGTCTCGGTGTCCATCTCGTGCCGGTCGCGAATGTAGCTGGCTGTTAGGCCATAGCACTTGCCGTCCACCGCCTTTCCCTCGCGCTCCTTGCTCACCTCGGGGTGGATGCACATGTTCTTGCGGGAGCTGAGTACCAAGCCAGTCAGGGGTGGCGGCATCGGACAGTTGCGCTCGTAGTAGACCATCAGGTTCTGCAGCTCTGCAATTACTTTCTCGATCTCCGGCACTGTGCGCGAACAGTAGATCAGTTTGCGAACAGACTCCGGGTGCTCCAACATGTAGGCCACGATTAGGGAGAGCAGCGTAGCCGTCTTGCCGGTGCCCGAAGGCATCTCCAGCAGACAGTGGCCTTTGGCGTCCAGGCTTCGCTTCAGTTCCAGCATGTACGCATACTGCTCAGGGTAGATGTACTCGTACGGGAAGTAGACGAGCAGGCCGTCTACGCTGAGCCTGTTGGGAAGACATTAGCGAGGTCCTTTCATTGACCTGATCCTGGGACTCACTTCATTTTGCGTATATTTCGGGATATTTCGTGTTCCTTGCAATGTTGTTTCAAAACCAGAGTGACCGTGGGCAGGACCGCTAAAAAATACCACCCGGCTCTTTTAAATACCAGAAACGTTTTGAAGCTTTTCCAATAAGTTTTCCCGTGAAAAATATCAATATTTATCGATAGTATCGATATCGATATCATCGATAACAGGTTTTGTTTTTTAGAAAAAAGTCTTAACTTTGGCCCATAATTATTTATTCGCGTAAATCTACCTCCAAATCCGAAATGGACGATCTCAATCCCCTGGCCGGCACAGCCCATCTCCTGGAAGAGGTTGACAGTGAGTAGGCGCGACTGATTTAGCAAATTACACTGAAAGGAATGCTAAAACCGGCACTTTGCAGAGAAGCTAATGGTGCTGTTGCGGGATGGACGGACGCTGATTGGATACCTGCGCTCGGTGGACCAGTTCGCCAACCTGGTGCTCCAGCGCACCATCGAACGGATACATGTGGGCAACGAGTACGGCGACATTCCACGTGGAGTCTTCATCATTCGCGGCGAGAATGTGGTGCTGCTCGGCGAAATTGTAAGTGAAACAAGAGACCCTGCGTATTCAGCGAGATTCAGAAAGCCCTAATACGAATATCCTTCTTTGACAGGATCGCGAAAAGGAGCAAAAACTCCCGCTCAAAGAGATATCCGTGGACGAAATCCTGGATGCCCAGCGTCGCGAACAGGAGCAGCGGCAGGAGAAGCACCGCTTGGTGTCCAAAGCGCTGAAAGAGCGCGGACTGGCCGTTGACGCCAATATAATCAACGAGGACTTCTGTTAGGAGTAGTACTAGAGTACTGCCTTTCGCAGATAGATTAAGCTCACAGATTTTCGTCACTTTGTATATTTGTACTGCATTAAAAAACTATATATTAAAAACTATGTACATAAGTAGCTATGTAACCTGTTCAGCCAGTGCCTGACCGTGATGCCCCGCCGGAACCCGCACTTGCCTTGGTCCCGCTCTCTTCGAGTAGTATATATTTCTCCAGTATCTGATACATTTCCACCTTTGCCTTGATCTTGTGGACGCGCGACAGCTGGCGCAGATAAGCAGCTATGGACTTGCAGAAGAAGTCATCCTCCGTTTCCGGGGTATTCGAAGTGGCTATCTCTGCGGCAGATTGCTCTCGCTCCTGGCTCGTATTGGCCACGCAGACTACGTAGTCGTTTTCGTCCACTTGGCTGGGGTCGATTGTTTCCGCAGGCGGCACGACGCTGGCCTTGGCAGTGGCATCTTGCGAATGGAGGGTGACCACTGTACTGCAAAGGGCCTTATTGTCGCCCTCCGGATCGAACTCCTCGAAGCTCTCGTGATCGTTCTCCTCTTGGCCATCGTCCGCCTCCACGAGCACTGAATAGGTCTCAGAATGCGTCGTCTGCACCTCCAACTTGGCCTGGTAGGACTGGTCCTCGCCTTCCTCATATTCCGGCGAGCCACGGTCCTCGATCAAAGTGTCGTTGTCCAGGGGGAGGCGAATGCGCCGCCGACGCATGTCTACCTTGAGCCAACCTGCGGGCTTCTGGTCCCTTTCACGGTCGCGTCCCCGCCGCTCGCGCCTCTTTCGCACAAAGTCCCGCAGAAAGTCCATCTTCCTGAAGAAGTCATTGTGCCCGAACTCGCCAGTCGGATGCAGGCGCTTCTGCTTGAGCTCGCGAGAGTATCGGTCCCGCAGGCACGTCCAACGACGCCGTGCGTCCGTCGTCGAGATATTGAGAACGTCCGCAACTTTTGCCCAATCCTCCTCCTTCCGCTGTGAAAGCCGGAAGGAGGGCAGTTGAGGATCGTAGAGCGACGGTGTGTCGCGAATGGTGCGAATCAGCAGGATGTCGGATTCGTCTAGGGGACGATGGTTGGAGCTCATGTTGATTATTTATTCTTTTTAATTATTATTTATGCCCAAATCCTTTACAACACTTGACACGGGCTTCTGCGCTGTGCAATACTGGCTGAATTCACCACGGAATTTACCACGGCTGTCCCTCAGTCTGGCAAGGCCAAGAAAAAAAAACCAAAGTTGCACCGAAAAATTCTCGCCGGAAAAGGTGGCAACGCTACCTTTGTTGTAACAAAGCAGTTTATGGCTGGACGTTGGCTCGGCGTTGCCAGATTTGAGATACATCGACTATCGCTATTTTTTCGTATCGATTGTCAAGGCAACTGTGTGGCAACGCTGTGGGCAAGGGCAGCCATTTTTTTCACGCTTTGTAGAAAATCTTTTTAAAAGTGTGGAAATCGCTGAAAAGTTTACAAATTAGCGTTCGGCGAGCTGTAAGAGTTTTTGGAGACCAACCAAAGCATGCAAATCTGAAGTTCGTGGGTGTCCGCCGTGAGTGAAACGAACAAATGAACATGGAAACCGTCGTGGCTTTCAACAATGAGGTAAGATGGATAAACGCTGGGAACAGCGCCGGATGGATTGTCGGATTGCCTGCAAAAGGGCTGCGAAGGGTGCAGCCTCGCCGGAGGTGGTTACACAATATCCGGCCAGCACTAGGCTGGGTAATGGTCGCCGCGGATGGAGATCTCTCCAGGCAGGGCCCAGAATTTTTCCGACAAGCGCCGCCCAGGGTTGCTTCGCGCGGTGGCGCAGCACCCGATAACGATAATCGCCAGTCCCGGGTCCCCTTACCCGTGCCAAATGCTCATGCCAATGCCATTCGCTTCCGTTGCAGCTCTCTGGACTCTATGATAGCCGGCCGCCCATTTCTAAGGCTAAGATGGCCGCAATCACCAGGTCGGCGATGCGAGCCATCAAGTTCTACAAGCACGTCGTGCAGAGCGTGGAAAAGTTCATCCTCAAGTGCAAGCCGGAGTACAAGGTGCCAGGCCTCTATGTGATCGACTCGATTGTGCGCCAGTCACGGCACCAGTACGGCACCGATAAGGACGTCTTCGCGCCCCGCTTCCAACGCAACCTGACGGAGACGTTCGCCAATCTGTTCCGGTGCGCGCCTGAGGACAAAAGCCGAATTATCCGGGTCCTGAACCTATGGCAGAAGAACAACGTCTTCAAGTCGGAGGTCATCCAGCCGATCTTCGACCTGGCAGACCCCAATCATCCTATCTACCACCAGATGCCGCCCATCGGTGCTGGCGGTGGCTCCGGCGGCGGCGTGGGTCCCGGTCCCAGCGGTAGCAGTGGTGCTCTCAGCCTGGCGGACATCTCAAGCGGACCCAACGGGATGCTTAACTCGTCGGGCATGAGTGGCATGGAGATCAGCATGAGCAGCGCCATCGGCGACGATAAGATGGGAGGAGCCATGCCGGACTTGTCGGTGAGTGATGAAATATTTGCTGGAATTGGAGTCTGCCTACTAACACACCCCCACACACCGTGTTCACTATCTGCTGCTTGTATATTTCTGTATCTCATGTCTTGCTAACTAACAACGCCTTTCGTCCTCGCTCAAACTCGTTAGCTGGGCCATGAGAAGTTCGGCGGTGGCGGCAGCGGCAGCTCCAAGCGCCACTACTCGGAGCAGCATTACTCCAAGCGCCAGTCCGGGGCCTCTTGCTCAAGCAAATCCAGCAAGTCCCACCACCACAAGAGGGAACACAGCAAGAGCACGCACGACCTCGATTACCGGGTGCGGGAGATTATCGAGGACGACGACGATGGCATGATGATGGCCGATGATCACCACTGCATGGGCGACGACTCGCCGCCCACTTCCTCCAAGCTATTAGACGTATGGCGAGCCATTAACTTCTTGCATTTCTATTTTTTCATTCACCATTATTCGTTTCCCTTTGTTTTGGTATTTCTGTTTCGTGTTAAGCCTTTTATTTATCTATTTTTTAGTTAAAATCCTTGTGTAATGTTTTCTTTTGGTAATTTTCAATTCCAGAACAACAATCTCAAGCAGCTGCTCAACGATCCCAACGTACTGCGGCAGCTGCAAACGCTGCAGAACTTTCAGAAGTTCAAGCAGCAGGAGGAGAACCAGAAGCACCGGTATCCGGACGAGGCTCTACAGCAGCATTTTCAAAATGTTATGAAGGTATGTATGAGGCGCCACTGTTCTTGGACTTTCCTTCTTTAATAATTATTATTGCAGGGCACTGCCGGCATGCCCCCGGGCATGGGGATTGGCATGGGCATGAATATGGGTATGAACCTCAATGACAGCATGGACCTCAACAAGGATGTGGAGTTCATATCGGAGCAGCAGACCATTGAGGTATACCTTTCGAAACTTCTTCCTATTTCTATCTTAAAGCTGTGGTGTATGCTCCTGGCCATGTGATCCGAACAGAATGGTTGGCCAGAAGCATAAACATGGCCCAGTACAATATCATTAGTTTATAATTGGAAGTCGCATCCAGATGCCACTTGTGCCTTGTGCTGACGTGCAGTTGAGCCGTAGAATAATATGTTCCCAAAATGTTGTTATAACCGATGGAATTTCGGCGTGTTCAGAAGACCAATTCGATTCAGTTAACTTGACAATTATTGTTATATTTGTTTTGTAATATGCCCTTGCAATTACGATTTGAATATCTAATGCCTTAAACTTAATCCTCCCTTATCCGCGCCTAAAAGTTAACCGAATGCTGTCCCCAAAGTATTTTTAAAAGCCTCATACGGCAATTGCCAATATCTGAATCTTGATAATATCTGAATTAGAGGTTTACGCCGATGGTTAAAGGCATCGGCGGCGGCGTAGAGGTCAAAATGACTCGGCGGCGGCGGCGTAGTAGTCAGAAAGAACCGGCGGCGGCGGCGCGTCAAATAAGGCAAAAAGGCCATTTTAATGAGTTATTTATTTTTTTTAAAGTTTTATAAAGAACAATGACACTGAAGGCCGCGCTGAAGCTGCGCCGATGCCGCACCAGCGGCGCGCCGCGGCGCGCCGTTATTTTCATAATTTGGCGGCGGCGCGTCAAATAAGGCAAAAATCGGCGGCGGCGGCGGCGTGGCGCGGCGGCGTATATGTCTAATCTGAATCAATGATAGAGAATTGATGGTTTTTTATAAAGTATGCTAAAAAGAAGCCAAAGGTAAGGTTTTTAAAGACCAGTAATGTCCGGCGGAACAACCCGTGTTGCCTGATGCTATAACAACGTTTGGTAAGTTCCTTAATATGTAAATTCAAGAACTTAAATCTTGCTCGAAAACGATAAATGAAAAATGCCTCGAAAAATACTCCAGAGAATAGAAATCGCCGAATTCTAAAGTGAAAGATAAAACAGAACCACACGTCAACACACGCCAAAGAATGCTGTCTTTATTCAGTCTAGTCCTATCTGCCACTAATCCCATCTCAATCCGAATCCGAATCCCAACTTCATTTCCGCTCCTGGACCCACTCAGATTTTTTAAGCTTACCGAAATGTTAACGTTTTTATCACGTATCCACTTCTCTCAAATTTTCTTGCAAACACTACCATCGACTCCAATAGGTGATCAACCTGGATGGTGCCGATTCGCGCAGTCCGACGCCGGACCGCGATCGATACAAGCGGAGCCGCCGGAGCAGTCGCAGCCGTTCTAGGTCGCCGCGCGGACGAGGCGCCGGTGGAGGTGGCGGCCCTGGAAACGATCGCCGGCGACGCAGCTCGCGGTCAAGATCCCGCACTAGATCGCCACGCTCCAGCCGGCGGCGAGGATCACGGGACAGGGATCGCATGGAGCGTAGCAACCGCGACAAAGAGCGGGATCGAGAGCACGAACGTGAGCGCCGCAAAAAGGGCCTGCCGGATATTAAAAAGGAGCACCTCAGTGGTAACTATTATTCGCGATCGGAAAATGGATCTCTACGAGTGCTCAAGAAGCTGGGCTCATTGAGATTCATCTATTCCATCGAACTTTTTTTTTAATGCTAATCCGAAAGATCCTTCTCTTTCTCTGCAGGCAGCTCCTTGGCTCAGTTGACGTGTGTGTGTGTGTGTTTTAGCTTTAGTTTTTCTTGAGCATATAAATTCTGGCAATTTATAAATCTATGTACCCACTCCCCATGATAATGCGTTTTCGAGCAAGATTTTTAATTGAACATGTACATAAGGAACATCCAACATACTCCTTGTACGATAAATAGGATACCATTTTATTAATGGAAAAATTTTAAAAATTAGAAAAATTAGATTTAAAATATCATAGTTAAAAAGCGTGACTTTGATTCGGCTCGCGTATTGAGAGTCATTAAGTAAACGAAACTGTTGGTTAGCTTTCATAGTAATTCTGCAGTAAACAGAATATATTTATTATAGTCAATCAATACTGTTTAATATTAGCCGAACCGTGCAGGCACGATTTTAGAACGATTTGATTACAACTTTTTAAATAGTCTTTCCTCTGCATATGTGTCAGAAAGAGCCAGATCGGGGCACTATATCCTATTACTGCCATTCGAATTATCGTAAACTTATTCGAAAACCTAAATAATTAAAATATTTTAGTCTACTAATTGTAAAAGTTTTAAAATATTTATAAATATCAGACGACTACATCATATAACGGTCATAAAAACGACCTTAAAGTATTTACCTAAATAATATTTGGAATGTATATCTTTGTTTTCTACCTAGTTTTACTTATTTCAAGTTCTGTAGTATGCACACAGATCAACGAGTCAAAGAAACTTCCAAACTAACTATATAAGTCGAAAAGGAAAATCCGATATTAAATGTATATCGACAAAACATATCGATCAATATCATATAGGAAATAATGTTCGTTAACTCAAAAAATACGAAAAATTAAAACTAGCTTTTGTGGTACGATATGTTAAGCAAACAATATATATTTAAATATCGGTCTTCTCGTCATCCCTACTTTCTTCAATACCTTTCCATTAAACCCCCTATTAATCGTTGTTTTTGGTTTTTTTTCTGTAACCTACAGTGTGTAGCACTACGTTGTGGGTAGGACACCTGTCGAAGCTTGTTTATCAAGAGGAGCTATCCGACACCTTCGGCGAATACGGCGACATAGTTAGCATCGACCAGATTGTGCCGCGAGGATGCGCTTTCATAGTAATGAACCGTCGCCAGGATGCCCACAAAGCGATGCAAGCGCTAAAGAATCACAAGCTGCAGGGGCGTGCCATCACCATCTCTTGGGCGGCCGGCAAGGGAGTGAAGAGTAAGGAATGGAAGGACTTCTGGGATCTGGACCTGGGTGTAACTTACATTCCTTGGTCCAAGCTGAGCACTGAGACAGACTTTGACAGCCTGGAGGAGGGCGGCATGTTCGACGAGGACACCATGCCCGCCTGGATGAAGCAGAAAATCAACCAAGTAAAAAATGTCGGAAAGGACACCAAGGGCACGCCCGTCGCAGAGGCGATACCCGTTGGTGTAGCGCCACCACCTGGCATGATCTTTGGAATTGACACAACTCAACCGCCCCCGGTGGGACCAGTGGGAGGGCCTGTGGGTCCGCCACCAGGACCAGGGGCGCCGCCACCTCCATCGCTAATGGGCATGGTTGGCAGAGGTCAATTTCCGATGGGTCCGCCTATGGGCATTAATATGCCGCCGCCAATGATGATGCCGCCAACCAATATGCCACCTCCGATGATGATGCCAACCACCAATATGCCCCCGCCGATGATGATGCCACCGGCGATGATGCCTCCCGGATTTCCAGGTAGCTACTTCAAATCCAATAGGGTTGCAGAACTGTACTAACGCATTATTTATATGTAAAATCATTTGCAGGCATCGGTGGACCTCCGCATCCTATGGGCTTGCCTCCAGGTAATCCCTTCCCACCACCTGGTGCCGCCATACCGCTTTCCATACCCGGCGGAGGCCCGCCAACGTCGGGAAATAGTGGTAACGTGAGCGACGATCAAATGGACATAGAAATGGATCTTGAGGATGCTCCGCTCCCACCGCCTTCCCAGCAGCAGGCGGGCGCTTTTAATCCATCGCCTAATAGTGTCGATGTAGCAGTCGCTGTTGTGGCGAACGAGATGTTCCAAAGGGAGAGGGAGCGTGAGCGGGATAGAGACCGCTCACGGGGCCAAGCCAACTCGCGCTGGGGCGGACGGGAGGATGTGGTTGAGCAGTCGGATCGTTGGCGTGCTGAGAATGGCGGCGGAAACGGGTCAGGTGGACCGGGACCGGGACCTGGTCCAGGCCCTGGACCGAACGCGGCATTTAATGAAGCACGAGCGCGTCTAAATCTAAATCCAATAGATCACGGAATGCCAAGGCCAGACTTCATGGGTAAGCTAAGATTTAAAAATTTTGCCAATCGATAAAAACCCCATTCTGACCGTTGCAGACTTTGATAATCGCGGAGGACCAGGCGGACCGCGGGGGATGGTGGGACCGCGTGGGAGCCACAATGGCGGACCAGGTGGCGACTTCTTCCCGCCCAACATGAATCACAATCGATTCAATCAGCCCACCAGCCTAATGCAAATGCGTATTCCGCCGCCGGCAGCCTTTAACCAGCAGCGCATGGGCGGGCCACCTGGAAATGGTGGTGGCAACGGTGTCGGGCCCATGTTCATGCGGAACCAAGGGGGCGGCGGACCAGGTGGTCCCCCAGGAGGTGGACGACAACAGGGACCAGGTAAGATAAGCGGTATACGGCGGAGCTCTGATTCAACAGACGAAGAAAATACTTATAACTATCCTTTCGATCCTGAAGAGCCGTAAGTTCGGACTAAAAAATATTGTTGACAAACAAATTTGTTTAACTTCGCGAAAAATCAAATAAAAGGGGTATCTCTCCCATTATCAATACTTAAAGTATATTACCCTATTATTCGTAGAGCATACAGATTTTGTAAATAACAGTTCATATTCGAAAAAAATATCGGAAATACTACAACTTTGATGGAATAAAATATCTAAAAATATCGAATTTATGTAAAAATATCGATACAGTATCGATAGATAAATATTTTCTGTCACTCCTAGCTCCTAATTTAACTATTTGTTTCTTGCAGGTTTCTTTAATCCTCGAAATCCCTTTAATGACAACCAACAACGCGGACGAGGAGGACCGGGAGGAGGAGGAGGAGGCCCAGGAGGACGAGGAATGGGCGGAGGCGGAGGAGGACCAGGCCCCGGTGGTCGAGGTCGTTGGAGCGACGATGAAGACGAGGGCGGCAACAATTTTAAGCGCCGTGGTGGACCCGGTGGTGGTCCTGGTCCAGGGGGAAACAGGTTCCGTGGTGATCGCGGAGGGGAAATGGCTGACGATCGCCGTGCCATGAACTCCCGAGGTGGCGCTCGCGGGGGACCACGAGAGGATCGTGAGCGTCCGGGCTTTGGCAACAGACGAGGCTCGCGGGACGACAACAACCGCCATTCGATAGGCTCCATGGAAGATGGTAGTAATAAGATGGCTCCGGAGCCGGAGCCCAAGCCCAATAATGCAGATAACGAGGATTTAGCGAACGTCGATAAAAGCGCACCACCCGCTCCGACGGGGGCGGCTGAGGACACCGAGGAGGATTGGGATCGAGAACTGCAGGACTACGAAGCAAGAATGGAGGCACAGAAACCAGCGGAGGGTGCTGCTCATCAGTCCGCAAGCAACGAGCCTCTTCAGGAGAATGAGCAAGCAGCGGTGGAGCAAGATTTTGCCAAGCCAGCTGAAGTGGCGAGTGATTCATCAGCCCCGAAACCACAAACAGATGCATCTCCTGCCTGTACACCCCTTTACGATGAGTTGCCACCTCCCACGTTCTCGGACCCTTCGTTCCAAGCTCAGTCTTCGAGAGAAGATGATGAAGTAGCAGATGCTGCTGCTCCTGCTGCTGCTTCTCCACCATCGCTTCCAGAACCGGAGACTATTCACATAGAGGCTGCGCCCAAAGAGGAATCGACTCCAACACCTTCGGCTGTTGAGACCCAAGCGGAGGAGCCATCGGCGGATGCATCAGCAGCTACTGATGCCGACACATAGGCAGGCGACAGACAGATCAAGTGAAGAACAAACGCATATTTGAGTAAATTCAAAAAGTGTAATTTATGATTTTCCTTACCAACTAACTTAAATGTAATACATGCGAACGAACTTTTACCATTTTTATCCTGAGATTACGCAGCATTTGTTGACGAGGTTGGGTCGGTCGCTTTTAAAATCAGAATCAGTTAATTTCGCGTAACACAACTATAACTACTCGTACGTACAATAGGAACCACAGAGAACTAGGCATGTGGAGCAACAGATTTACAGACAGATATAGCAAATAATTAGCAAAGGAAACGAATTGTATGGACAGGAAATCGACAGTAGAGTAGAGGTATCTGAAGCCCAAGAAGAAACAGATCAGCAATCGCAAGGCAACACTTGAAATGTTTATTATTTTGTTATGTATTTAGTTTTAAGAGTCTATTTAACACTCACATTGTTTATAATGCGCAGATTCTAGGTACACGCATAATAATGTACAATTCAAATATACCTATCTATATCGGATACTATAAAATAAAAAGTAAAAACATCAGTCTTTGGTATTATTACTCAATTTTACTGTTTCAAATGGATCTTTTGTTATCCACATGTATATTTTCGCCCCTAGCAAGCATTTTAAATAGGTTCCTTGTTGAAATGTTCAATACTTAAACGCCTTAAAGCATTTCTCATTAAAGTTTTGGTTTAGTTATAGAATAGATTTTCTTCTGCACCTGAAGAACTCTCGCGGTAGACTAAATATTTGACACTTTCTATTTTTTATCAATAAACTACATTTTCATATTTTTAAATATTCAAGAAACCAGCGGCTAACAGCTGTACAACGAGCGTTAAATTCAAAAATTCAGCTAGATTGAGAATCGATTTCTCGTCGAAATATCGATAATGACAATCAATACCTATCGCGAGAACCAGTTCCAGCAACTTAAAAATACCGGGATGGCAGCGCAGCAGTTCAAACAAACAAAGAGTTAAAGTTAAAAAGTTATTCTTCCTCTCGTCGCTCGAGTTTTTTTTAGAGTTTTGCTGCTTTCAAAAAAGCTTTACAGAATTCAGATAAGTGTAACCAATAAGGAAATATTCAACAAAATATCGATATCCGATATATTAGGTTACAAAAATATCACGATAAAAATATTTATTTTTATTCAAACATCGATATATCGATATTTTGATGTATTTTCACATCTCTATATTGAGTAGAAATACAAACTTTAAGTAAATCAATACGAATCCCGAATCCCGGAATAAATGCGCAACGGTCACGGTTACGGCGCGAGAAAATGCAGTGCTAATTTAGCGTAAGCATCGCGGCAACGCAGTTCATAAAGTGCAAAGAAAAATTTTCGGGTGCCAAAGAATCTACACACACCAGCGCACACACACGTAAGCAGCACATATACATACAAGCACACAGACTGGCACAGCGCAGTTGTGGGAAATGTGCAAATTGTATTAAAAATTCGCTTGAAAATAAATAAATTGGGTACCGAAACGTGTGGAGAGTCAAGTGAAATAATCAGACGCGAGTCGTGTGCGGCCGAATACGTCAAAAGCCAGCGCTAAATACTGAAAAACGTGTGCAATTTTGCAATGCTTCGAGTATTGTTGTGTTTGTGTAGGTGAGGAGTGTGAAAAATACACATAGGTGTCCCTGTCCGTGTGCCAGCCGCCAACCACTAACACCAACGGCAGCGTTCCGCACAGCACACACACACGCACAGGGGCAAACGTAACCGCAGTCGGCGCTGGCAGCGGAGAAGGATGCTTTCCTTCCTGGCAGATGTGGATGCTGTTCGAAAGCTCACCCCTCTCCCCGCCCGACCCCACCAATGCCACTCGAGGCATCGAACAACTTTTCACTTTTCGCCCGCTTCGGATGTTGTTATTGCTGCTCTCTGCCTGCACGAACATGCATACCCATACACAGGCACACTGATGTTTTGTTTTATTCTAGCTATTTTCGGAAGTCGAAGGTGATCGAGACCGGCATCAATGAGTGTTACTCGGTTTTTGTTGTTCGCTTTATTTACATTGCCCGATTCCGTATTAAGTCATTATTTTCATCAGATAACGTAATGCGTGTGTGTGTGTGTGCTCCGGCCGATAAACCAGACCCCGAATGTGGAGCGGTGGTTATCGCCAGATCCGTACGTTATGCAAAAAACCAGAAAGCGGCCACCGAATTTATATGTATAGCGAGAACGGCATTTTATCAAAGTTCTTTAGCCTTTCGGTGCGAGTGGAATCTTGTCCGCTCTCTTGTTGTTTTTGTTGTTTCTAAATGCGAAGCGCGCGACCGAACAGCTGTGAGTGTGGGAGTGTGTCAGCGCGATCTCGTTTTGGCCACCAAAGTGCAATTGGGAAAGTGTGAAAGAAACGAACAGCGTGAAGAAAGAGAGGGGGAAAGCGAACGAGAAATATCCAGCGGTTAATTCAACACGTAGTTGTCGCTAAAACAATTGTTCCTTTAAGTAATTTAGTCCTCAATTCGGTGGTATCCAATGAAACAAAATGTTAAGGCAAAAAATCGCACTAAATAAAGTAGTAATAAATTCGGTGGTATCCTAGATGAAGGACCGATATTATTTAAAACGGAGAAATCGTAAAAACAAATGCAAAATATTCTAATTTCTCGCTTTAATAGGTACTGCGTACTATTGTTACATACATATGTATGTGTTCCTGTGCTATTACAATATTTCTCATTGTTATTACCAAGGTAATGCTAGGAATTTCGAGTGTTTTTGTAACAGCGAGAGTTAAAAATGGTCTCCTGTACTGTTTTTCTGAAAAAAAGGCATTTAATGAATAAGAGAAGTCCAACAATTATCCGCATTAATATGCACGTAAATATAGGGCGTTGAATAAACATTATATTTATGCGTTGAATAGGTTTAAACTATTAAAAAATCCTTTTGTTATGCAGTTAAACCTGATGATGTTTGAGCACCGGATGCCTTAGTGGCTTATAGTTCCCATAAAAAGTTATCACAATTAGTTCAATTATTATTTAAAATGAACATATTTGCAGAAGGAGAATACTTTCCCATCCTATTGATAAACAATTATAAAGCCTACAAAATCAATGTGGGAAACAGCAAAGCGTAGCATAGCCCCCCTTTTGGCAATTATACATTCGAGACCTGATGGCTGCAGACAGGGGCTACAAAATGGCGGATGCAAACGGAGACATACAGAAGTATGTATGAATATGTTTGTACGCATACCAGCGAGCATTCAGGTGTCCATTTGTGGTCCATCACGGGATAGGGAATTCGACCAGGAACAGTGCAAGGATAATCAAGCAACAGCGCCAGAAGTGCCATTGAGAATCGAAGCTTCCTCGTGTGATGGATGCGCTCCACTTTTGGATGCTATTTATAAACCTTTTCGCCCGTATACATACACACAATTGCTGGCCGAGGACGATGATGATGATAATAATGATGATGGCCAGGCCACTGATTCTGCTCTGCTTCCTTGAAATCTGCATAGTTCCGCTTCCGATTGAGTTGGCGCAGTCGCAATAGACGCTTCATCCATTTCCCTTAACTTGTGCTGGCGCAACAGAGCGTACATGTGTGAGTGAGTGTGTCTACTCAGGTTCCACGATCCACGTTCCACCGAATTTACCGGGCAGCATCCACATCCACATGTTGAGAAGAGCACATATCCTTTTTGTACCCCCCTCCCTGACTCATCCTCTTGAGCAATTCCCGGATACGTCGTTACGCTCACAGCTCCCGCACTTTGCCACTCGTCGTTGCATTGATTTGTTTGTGTACGTGGAGCAAGTGTGTGTGTTTCCGTCTGCACTTGTGATATTAAGGCCTTTTCTCGAAATTATCGCCATCGATTACTGAGGATTTTAATTAACCTCTGCCTTTAAAGGGATCAATTTTAAGTTGGGTTTTGGCGGATGCGATTATTTGACATTAATTGGAATTTATATTTTATATTTAACAATTTCCCCATACCTCTTGAATACAATTGTATGTACATATATTTTATAGATTGTGGAAGGTATGTACATACATAGTTGAAAAATGCTTTCATGCGATTGAGTATCCCTAATCATACGCTGCCCACCTTACTGTCACGTATTCGAGTTAGTTTTCTATGGCCCACAGGTGTGCTTTCAAGGAATAGTGCATTTCTGCATGAATAATTAAGACTTGCAGTCGAACTCGCACTTTCACAATGTTATCTTCCAAAAGCCATTCGCCGATAGTCCTTAGAACGCTTTCGGTATTGCAATTTGAAGGTCTTTTGAGTACTAAACTTATACATATTAGCCGGCCAAAGCGATAGTGCAGGCAGAGCAGGCCTAAAAATAACTCTTTTGTCTTTAACGGAATATAAGTGGCGGTTGAGTGTAAATAAAAGTGCTGTCGACATTTGGACAATTTCCCGAGCAAATTCAATGTTAGGAGGCGAGAGCGCACTTTCTCACGCTCTCGTCGCCGCTCTCCTGGTTTTGCCACATTTCTCACAACCGACCCCCTCTCTCTTGTCTTGTCCCATATGCTTGCAGTGTTAAATCCTAAAAAGCCGGCTCAGCAGGAGGCGAAAAACGTTTTCCAAACGCATCACATGTAAATGAGATGCCGTCGCGTCGGCAGCAGAGGCAGCAGCAAGCAAAACCACGCCGACATCGCCATCGATGCCACCAGGAACATCAGGAGCGCCAGCATCTGATTATTGAGTGAAGAGTGAGTGCCGTGTGTAGTGAGGAGAGTGGAGAGTAGCGCGCAACGAGTGAAGGCGAATCGGTCCGTTCGACAATTGATAAGTGGATTAGTGAAAAGTAGCTGCAGCACAGGAGACAACGCACTGATCTAGCGGAGGCGGGAGGCGAGGCACACGCCGGGTATTCAAGATGAAGCGACGCAACGCGGACTGTGGCAAGCTGCGACGGCCGATGAAGCGCAACAAAATCACAGAGGGCATGTACGGCAGGTGAGTGATAATACAAATGGAATCTATCTTTTCATATGAGGTTTTTCTATAGAAAATCTCTTAAGAAAATTTATTTAAAATGTATATTATGAGTTCATGATTACTTAAAATCTAAAATTTAAATTGTGTCCAAAAGTATGATTCAAAACCCTTAATTTTTTTCAAATGAATTGATAAGCTTAAAACCAATCACTTATAAAAAAAACTAGATCTTCCACTATTGCATACACGTCTGGGCACAAAATGCCATTGATCTAGCTTTTTGAACTCAAATTTCTAGGTGTCACCTCCTTTTATTTAATGTTAATTATTTTGTGGTACTACAAATGCCTTAAAAACTTCAAAATATTGTTATATTTTCGTATAATTCAATCGAGCCGCCCCATCTTAATTGAGATAAACAGTCACAATTCGATTTATTGGCATGCGAAATGCCCCCCAAGTCAGAGCTCTTGATGATTATCCGATTTTCTGAGGCGCAAGAGAGCAGGCACAAAATTCCAAGAGTGTGTAAAAGCTCATACGGCTCTGTGAACTCGTTCTCTCTTCTCGCCTTTTTATTATTTATACGTTTGTTTACTTTTTGATTGCGCCTTATAGCTGTTGTTTTATGATGTTATGCATGTTTTTATTTGGACGCTACTCGTTTTGGCATTTGCTCTGCCCGACCGTCTCTTCGTTTCGTCACTTCTACTTAATCTTTGACATGGCCTGATGATAATCATATTTAGCATTTTTAACCGATTGAGTGATGGTTAATGACTTCTATATGTTATTAAATTGTCGTCGCTTATCGGTTTACTCGTGGATTTTAATAAAGAGAGCAATGGGGAGGATTGACAAGTTGATTTGGGAACTCAATAAATGAGTAATTGATTAAATTAAAAGGAAGTTTCTAAAAAATACAGTGACCACCCCTTAGGAGCTTTTTGATGAGTATTATATTATTATATAATTTACAATTTATCTCTTCCCTTGTTTAATTGCAGCACAACTGTCCTGTACATGAAGTTTTTGATACTTTGGGCCATTGTAATGGTTGCCGATTTCATGTTCATGTTCCGCTTTGAGTACTTGTGGCCATTCTGGCTACTCCTTCGCTCCGTGCACGATTCCTTCAAGTACAAGGGCCTGGTGAGTGGAACGTCGGTCCGCCTTCATTCCAAGCGAAACTCTAATTGGGGTCACTTACTTTTGCAGGCATTTTCCGTGCTGTTCGTGTGCATAGCGATAACGTCGGATCTGGTCTGTTTGTTCTTCATACCCGTTCACTGGCTGCTCTTCGTGGCCAGCACCTATGTCTGGGTGCAGTACGTCTGGCATACAGGTGCGTCATCCACGTCGACCATTGTGGAGTTGAAGTCGCCGGATGTATTCTTATTTACCCATCCATGGTTTTTTCCAGATAAGGGCATCTGTCTGCCGACCATAATACTCTGGATGTTGTTTGTCTATCTTGAGGTTGGCATACGATGGAAGGACAGTCGCCACATGCCGCACTTGGATCTCTGCCGGCCGTTCGCAGCGCATTGGTAAGAAGTTCATTCCCTGTCAACTAAAGAAACTCCTTTTAATCCTCCACCCCCTTATCTCTTTTTTTACCAGCATTGGCTATCCGGTTGTAACGCTCGGATTTGGCTTCAAAAGCTATGTGGGCTACCGTATGCGTCAGCGCAAGCAGCGAGAGGTGGCCAAGGACAACGAGTTTTACATGCAGTTATTGCAGCAGGCGCTGCCCGCCGAAGAGGCCACTGAGGAGGCGACAGGAGCGGGAGCGCCAACGCCACCCAGCACCGTCGTGGTGGCCAACGGTTCGGCCACAACGCCGGCTTTGGTCGCATCCGCAACCGCAGCATCTGCGGCGGCGAACGGCATTCTGGCCACTGCCACGCAAGCACAAAACCATCATGAGCATCATCACAGCGGCGGCGCCGGCGCCAGCAGCAGCTCGAGCAATAGTAATCATCATCATCACCACCATCATAGTAACAGCAGTGGCAGCAGCAGCCACAACAATAACAATGGCAGCGCAGGAGGAAAGGACAGCAGTTCGAATGACAGCGCAACGGTCGCATCGTCACCGACGTCTTCCGCTGCAGGGGCAGCGTCAGGTGCGTCAGCGGCTGCGTCCACGGGCTATGTCACGGCGTCGTCAGCGGGAAAGCAGTCCTTGTCGTCGTCGGCGGCATCGTCAGCAGCCAGCGCGGCCACAACAGGTGCAGCAATTACTACTTGTTCCACTTCCGTCTCAGCTCTTTCTGCCGCTATGACTGCGAATTTAGCGACACAGCAGCACTATCAGCAACAACAGCAGTCGGGGGCGGCAGCATTCCCATCTTCTTCTGCTTCTTACTCTTCTTCCGCCTCCTCCTCTTCTGACGGTGTCGATGCTGACGGTTGTTGTGGTGGTAATAATGTCCATAAGCTGCTTTCTGCTGCTGCTGCCCCTCACAACAGCAACAACAAAGAACCCACTAATTCGTACTACTTACTAGCCGCCACATATGTATGTTTCTGTATGCACATGTAACCCACGAATACCAAGACTTGCAGGCACAATATCTAACCCACAGCAACCACAGTCGGCGATCGAAACCTTCATATCATTATCTTCCTGCTGCCAAGCAAATCTAACTCTGGGTGCCACAAGAGAGAGAGGCTCGCTCTCCTAACAACTAATACGTCCCTCCCATTTCCTTATGAAATCAATAAAAATACAATTATTTTCTCCTATAAATAAACATGCACTTAACGCACTCTATTTATATAACTCTTTGCAGCCACCTCCAATGGTCACGCCGGTGGTTCAAGGAACCATCGACGCAGCATGGACAAGGATAACAAGCATCGCAACAACAAGGGCGACGCCGCTGCTGATAATGAGCACAACAATGGGTCGCGGCATGGGGGTAAAAATAGCAGCAACAACTATTCCCAGGCCGATGGTGGCGCTGCCACAGCAACCACAAGCGCCACATCAACTAATAGTAAGGATAAGGATAAGGAGAAGTCAGACTGGGATAGTAGTGGCAGCAACTATCCACAACAGCAGCAGGGCGGGAAGGAAAACAAGCACGGTGAGTGGAGGACGAGCGAGCTCTTTTGTTGATTTTATTAGCTTCGAAAGGTGCAATCTCTGATGACCATTAATCTTATCGTGCAAGTGTGTTTATTAGTCCAAGTCATTAAGTTTTTCAATCAATTTGCAGTCTTTTGATATCATTAATGTTTGATTTAATCAAAATCAAGCAATAATAACCCTTTCAAGATGTTTAACCTAACACATCTGAAAGGAAACCTACCCTCCAGCGTCGGCTCGTCAGAGGTAGTTGGCACGTTGATGAAACGTTCATGACAGTGGCTTATTGATTGATAACATGTGGTACTGCAGGGATATAACTAAAAATCTATGTTTACGTGAATATTTGCAGATAAAAAGGCGGGCCATGCGACGGTACCCAATGGAAGTGCTAATCATATAGAGGCCGACGAGACGGGCAGTGCGGAGCCAGCAGCTCCGGCTGAAAAGGCGCCCAAAGGTATGTCTAGAAGCAAGCTCAAAACAAAGGGTTATCTAACGATTAATATTTTATGCAGGGCGACGCAATCGCGGCAAAAAGGATAACAACGCAGCAAAGGACAATCACAGCCATCAGCATCAGCTGGCTCAACAGCAGCAAAAGGATAAGGACAAGGAAAACACAGCCAACAACAACAACGATGCCAGCTCGGTATCCTCATCGGCCAGTTCCACCTCGAGCAACAACGCCATCGCGCACATTGCCAGCAAGGTTGTATCCAAGATCTGTGAAACTTGCCTCAAATTGGAGGCCGATGTGAAGAAGTATCGCGCCGAAATCAGCCATATGAAGCAAATCGAAAACGAGCTGCGCCAGAAGCTGGACGCCAATCTGACCAGCAAGTCATCGCTGCAGGCCAAACAGAAGGAGTGCGACGAGCTGGAGAAACGGATCCAGGAGCTGAACAATGCGCGACACTCGGACATGTTGAACCTGCAGACGGTGGAGAGGCGACTAAACGAAGAGCGCCGGCAGAAGCAATCCCTCGATGCTCAACTGGCCAACGAGAAGAAGGCGCGCAAGGTGGCCGAGGAGAAGGCAGCACGTCCCGAGTGCAGTGCCCAATGCAAGCAAAGGCGCCAGCAGATGGACGAGGAACAGAAGCGGCTGCGTGGCGAGCTGAAGCAGACTGAGGAGGCCAAACAGTTGGCTGTGGAACACGGACGGAAATATGAACAAGAGGTGTGTATGAAAACAATTATTTTAATATATAGATTAAATAAAGTGACTCTTCTCAGTATCGCATGCTGGAGGCGAAGCTTCGAAGCCGTGAATCGTCGCAGACCGAATCCGAGATGCTGCTGAATGCCATTGCCGCCATGCAGGACAAGAATGCAACGCTCGAGAAGAATCTATCCGCAGAGACGAGAGTCAAGCTGGACTTGTTCTCGGCTCTGGGCGCTGCCAAGCGCCAGATCGAAATATCTGACAGTAAGTATTTCCCAAACATGGGGGGAAATAGGACCTCTAACCCTTTGATTTGCTTAACTTTAGACCATCGTCGCTCCAAAGAGGAGGAGGTCATTGATCTCAAGGCCAAGATTGCCCAACTGCTGGCCGTGATGCCGGACAATTTGTGCATGAACACTGGCCCACATGGACCGGCCAGTAGCATTCTGCGCATGAATGACACGCCACCACTGCAGTCGGGTCCCGGACCGTCCTCGCCCATGCTCAGCCTGAGCGCTGCCGCCCAGGAGTATCAGCAGCATCAGCAGCAACAGCATCAACAACATCAGCAGCACCAGCAGCATCAGCAACAGCAGCATCAGCAACAGCAGCAGCATCAGCAACAACAGCATCAGCAACAGCAGCAGCATCAACAGCAGCAGCAGCATCATATTGCCGTCTCCCAGCAGCGCCTGGATCCCAATGCCAGTGTCTACACGCCCAAGACTGGCAATATGATGGTGGTGTCGCCGGTGGGCATGAACCCAAACGGAACGGATGCCTGACGCCAACAGCAGTCCTCGTCGCAGTCGTCGTCGTCGTCGTCCTCGCACCTGCATCTGAGACGACAAGTTTGAGATTATTATACTTTATATTAATTAGGGAAAACAACAACCACAAACAGCCGTCGCCACAGCAAACGATGAGCAGCAGCAGCAGTTTGCTACCAATATCTGAATGTCCGTAATATACATAAGCAGTCTCTCCTTTCAAATTTCAAGAGCACTGAATGCAGGCCCCAAAAATTTCTAAACAATTCCCGTTGTACGTTGTACGTTTTACGTTCTACGTCTTACGTTTTACGTTTCAAGAGTTTCCTAATTTTCATTTCCGCAATAAATTTGGCATTCCAATAGAAATGTATCTTGAAGAAGGCCTCGCTCCGATTGTTTTGAGTCGGCTGCCTCGCCACCACCCGACACCACACCACATACACACACACATTCAGTATCTCTCCCTTCTATCACGAAAAGTAAAAGATTACTTTAACAAGATGATTTGAAAACTTGAATCACGAAACACAAATTTCTAAAAATAATAACAAATTGAAAATGGCGATTCGTATTTTTAATTGAACAAGTGCGAGAGAGGAGAAACTTCCGGAATCCTATGTTCTTCATTATTTTACCAAACGCTGTGAGAGAGTTGGACCAACCTTAGTGATGGCCTTTGATCTGGGGGGGATTCTCCCGCCCGACTCAATGGAATATATATTTTTGAAGTCTGCGCCCTTGATTTATTATCTCATTAAATTATTTTTGTTATAAAACCTTAAATGTATGCTATAATTTAGAGCCTATCACTTTTGAAAAAACAACAAGCTGCTAACGAAACGAGTTTCTTTTTAAGTTTTAATTTATTTTTGTTTAGTTTTGCTGTTCCTAAGAAAAAAGAAAAAAATCGAAAAGAAGTAAGAGAAAAAAGCTTAAGTTTATTTACGAAAAGCGAGAAGCGACGACTATTTTGTTTAATAATAAAAGAACAACAACTTTTGGCTGCGCGAAGCAAGCACCTTTAATTTTGTTTACTTTTATTTAACGATTTTGTTGATTCGACCCCACAAGCAACCCGTTCCCTACGTGTAACGTGTGTGTTTCGGACTTGTCCCCATATTTTGGGCTGTGTATTTGTGTCTACGAGGAAATCAAGAACTAAAAAAATCAATTACAAAATGTTTGTAAACGCTATATACGGTGTGCTGGAGGCCATCTCCTATGGTGTCTATACATTTGTGGCCACCATTTGGCACATAGAAGGTAAGTCACAAAAGACGTTCTTATAGTAACAAGATGAGTAACGCACTACACAGGAAAGTGAATGCATCTTGTTATTATAAGGTCTTTGGGGAATCATTCACTTTGCACGAAGACGTAACTGCTCTGCCCTGCTCCACAGAGGCCTTGATCAACCTAATGATGTCCACGTTCCTTTTGGTGCTGAGCCTGGCCTGCCACCCAATTATGGTCATTCCAATGATCTTGTTTTGCGCCTATGTTTTGCGTAACTTTTGGTACCGTCGCGCCATGAAATACAAGATCGATGATAAGGAGGGGGGCGATGGCGGACCGATGGCTGGAATCCGGAACACGCCTCGAACGCCGCGACTTTCCATCCCGTCCTATCGCAGCTTTGCGGCAAAACTTGCTGAGGCAGGCGCCAATGACACGGCCGTGCAAAATTGAACCAGCGCGTAGCTGCCCAAATTTCGGATTAGTTTGCATTTATTATTAAAACATTCACATGTCCGGACTGAGTTATCTTAAGATTACGTTTTTGTTTAAATAATACAAAGTCTTGAGTGGCATTGGCAGGACCTAAGGTTAGGGCTTGACTAGGAGGCTGGCGGCGTCTACTTTTCGCAGGGCTTCCCGGGCTTTCGCCAGCGAAGCGTTGGCCGTCGGCTGGGCTGCGAGGCCAGCCAAGTGCCGTACGTATCTGTCAATGTTGTCCACACTGGGGGGACCAGCAGACTCCTGTGGAGGCAGTTGGATTGCCCCGAGGGCAGACACCAATTTCTGACGCAGTCCTTTCACATAGCTCTCAAGGCGCGTGTTCTCAGCCATCAAAACGGCCACCTCGCCCATGACCTTGGCGTAGCCGGCCTTAGTGTTGTCGACATGCTGCTCTAGCACAGCGTTTTGCTGCTCCAGATCCGTCTTGGCCTTGCGCAGCGTCCTCAACTCGTTCTCCGTGCTGCGATTGTGCTCGATGAACTCGTTGGTGTAAATGGGGATTTCGCCTGGCTGAAGGGGTCGAAGCGGTGCGGGTATTGGTGTCATCATGTGGCTGGAAACGGGCTGGGCCGGCGAAGGTGCTGGTACTGTACTTATCGGCGGCGGTGGCGGCGGAGGTGTCGGCATTCGCTTCACTTGAGCCAATGGAACATCGTCCGGGTCTTCCTCGCTCTGCCTCTTCGCTGCTATTGGCTTCGCCTTGGCCTTCTTTCCCTTGCCGAGACTGGTGTCGCCGTTGCCGCCGCTCTTTGGAGTCTTCTCCTTCGGAGAACCCTCTGTTTTGGTAGCCTTCTTGGCCTTCGCCAGTTCCCTGGCCACGATCTCGGGGTGTTCTTTGAGAAAAAGTTGCAGCTGCTCCTGATATCTAGGAAACAATTGAAAATTGAACTGTTAAAAGGGGAACGAGCAATGCCACTTCCATGTCTTACACGGCCTTGTCCTTGGCGGCGGCTTCCATGTAGGGAACCTTGCGCTCCTCTGGCAGCTGGTGCCACTCCTCGCCAATGATTTTGGTGTGCTCTAGAGCCGTGCGATGGGGCTGTTCGCGTCGCAACTCTTCGCGTCTGTCGTTCATGAAACGGACGTAGCCATTAAGTGGCATCTTAGGAGCACCGGCCACATTAATGCGGCGCTGTGCAAGCTTCTTCAGCTCGCTCTCCACGTTGGCCTTTTGGCCCTTGGTCTTTTTTGGTGTCTTGGCTGGTGAGGGTTTTTCCTCGTCACATTCATCTAGCCTGGCCGCATCAAGGGATTTGGAGGCGATTGGCGTTGAGGCGTGTGCAGCTTCCGCCACCTTATCTGTGGTCTCCGTTGATGGTTCCGTCATTTTTGGGTGGAATTAATGGAATGTGTCCAATCTTGAGGAAGGTAAAATCAAGAAGTTCCCCAAATCCAGAGAATTCTTGTTTGTTTTTTTCAAGATTGTTTTGGTTTGGCTGTCGATAATGTGACCAGACCACTTCAGTTGGTATTGCAAATCTTCTGATTGGAACAGGAACTGGTTCCTTATATATTTAATTAATAAATTAATTATTTAAAAGGTGTATAGCGTATAAACTATATGAGATTTCAAAAACATGTTAATGCAGTTTTTTTTAAATATTTAAAAGAGCACTATATTTATTTTTGGTTACATTTTTAATACTTAAAATTAATTTTAAAAAAACTTAAGATATTGGTTTTCATTCACGAACTTATTTCTCATTCCGAACTCTCAACAAACTTTTCCTTGTAAACCTTATGGGACACAATGTGAGCTCATCAATTAATTAATTTCAAATTGAATTGATTTATTTTAATTTAAGTATGCTGCTAATGAAATATAAATAATTTAAATAGTCCTGAAACAAGAATATTGAATAATATTTGTGAAAGTCCAACACAAAACCAGTGATTTACTTAGAGTTTTATTTTGAGCATTAAAAAAACAAATAATAAAGGAAGTTCGGCACGCCGAAGTTTGTATACCCTTACTGTTTTCAGTTTTCAGACGTCCGACATATTCATATAAAAGTAATAGTTAGAATTGTCAAAAAACTACCTGCAAATATTCACTTAGATAACTTTAAAACTGAGGGACTAGTTTGTGTAGAATCGGCTAGATCGACTCGGCTGTTGACGCTGAAAATAAATAAATAAAATTATAATACCCCCTCGCTTTAATCAGTGAGCTAATGTACGTATATTTTAAGTTCATATACATATAAGTACTATAACGTTCCCAAGTATGATGACTCACGTTTGTTTGCTCTTTAACCCGTCACATTATCTACATATTTACGTCGTAATTACGTCAGAAAATGTGGCGTGATCCAGGGACCTGCGGAAGGTGGCGTGACGAGGATAAAACAAAGTAAATACGCAGTTAGGTAGTGGTGTGATTTGGTTTATATTCTGAATATATAATTTTTTCCGATTGGTTTCACAAATTCTTTGAGCACATTACAAGTAATCAGTAGCCTACAGATGTGGTTAGAGTGTTTAACGTAAATGGAAACCTACAACTAATCTTGGCGCTCTACGTCCGCGATAAATATCATATATATAAAGCCTTATTTTAGACGACGAAATTCTGTACAGCCTATCAACTAAAACAAACTTAAACTTTACGGCGGCCGGCCGAACTTAAGAGTAGAACAGAGAGAAACAAGGGCTTATATCAAGCTGGGGAACAGCTCGTCAAAGTTGCTCTGCCAGGGGAAATCCTCCTCGTCGATGGGCAGAGTAAGGGCCGTGGATGTCGGGGAGCCCAGTATGGACTCGTAGCCGTGATCCGAGGTGGCCGAGTGGAGAGACAATGCGGGGGATTTGGCCAGTGGGGAGATCGCCTTGACACGCGGACAGAGAAAGCGCTGGATGGGATCAAAGCTGCTCTCGTCGTCCGAGTCGTCCTCGGTGGCGTTCACCACGTTCAGGTAGACCTGCGACGGTGACGTCGCTGGCGGCGGACACTTCATGATCACGTCCGTCGTATCCTCGTCGCCAGCGGTGACGCCGTCGCAGTAGATCTCCTCGACGGCCTCGTTCACCGGCACCGCATCGCCGTCCATCACAATGGTAATGGAGTTCGTCTTGGCATCATAGGTGCCGTACACTGTGTCCGGTGTTGCCTGCAGAAGTGAGGCGGCCGCTGTAGCTGTGATTGTGGCTGTCGTCGTCGTCGTCGAGGCTGGCGCTGTCGCTTTTTGCTGGGGGTTTCCATTTACCTCCAACACCTGCACATTCAGGCTGTGACAGTGCTCCAGGGGTGCTTCGGCATTACTCAGGCCATCAGCTCTATGCCCGCCGGATTCCAGGCGCTCTGCTGCGGACCCCACCACTGGTCCAGGCAGTCGCTCTGCGTCGCCTGCATCTTGGGCAGCAGCTGGGCTGCTCGCTCCAGCGCCTGTCTCCAGGTCTGCTGTGATATCTGCGAGCAGACTTTCGGCCAGCTCTTCGAGGCGCTTGACGTCGAATTCTTCGTCGTCGCCAAGCATGTCTTGTAGAGAAGGCAAAGCGCCACAACCTTCCAGAGTGATGTCAGGCTCCGGCTGCTTTTCAGCTGCTCCGCCAGCAGACGCGCTGACGACTGTGTGTCCACTTGTTGTGTACCCTGCGGCAGAGGGTCAGCATTGGATGCTGCAGATCCAAGGATTGTGGACGCACAGCCCTCAGCGCCTACGCTGGCGTTGGATTGGCTGGTGCTCTGGTTGTTTGTGGCGGCGATGCTCTTGGCCGTGTACTGCTGCTGCTGCTGCTTCAGCTCGGCGAATTCCTGGCGCATGATCTCCAGTTCCGAGTCGAGCTTGTGGTTCTTGGCCAACAGCGACTCGTTGATGGCCTGCAGACTGTCGCACTTGTTCTGTAATATTTCCGTCTTGTCTGTGAGTTCTTTGATCTCGTACTCCATCTCCTCCATGCGAGCCTTCTTCCGGTCGCGCGAGGTTTGGGCGGCCACTCGGTTCTTTAGCTTCCTGTGGGACGGGGGAGACGAAAGAAACAATTAAACAAAGGTCCGACTAGCGCAAAGTCAGCTACGCTCTTACTTTCTCTGCACCTTCTCTTCCCAGGTGAGGTGGTCCAGGCGGCGCTTCTTGGCCTTGGGCGGCACCGTCGACAGGGTCTCGTCGTCCATGTTGGAGGAGGACGCGTAGCCCGAGCTCGAGGGAGTGGGCGAGGAGGCCTTGAGCAGGGCCGCCGTCAGGGGGGCGGGGCGCAGTTTGGGTAGCGTATTCGATGTGATGGCTGTCCGCGGCACGGTTATCAGCACTGCGTTCGCGGTGGGAGCCATGGCTAACTCAGGTAATGTGATAAACTGCTGTGTGTGTGCTGGGTTCCAACTTAGATTTGCATCGTTTCCGTGCGCTGGCCACGGGCACTGAACTTTATCTGACTCTCGCGATTTAGTTAAGTTGTCTCATTGGCTTCGACTGCGCTTCTCGGACGCTCTGCTGGTTTGGACCTCTTCATTGCCTCCTCTTCGGGCTTTTCTTTTCTCACGCAATTTTCTCATCCACCTTTGCAATGCAGAACGACTGGTTTTTCTCTGGGCTGACGTGGTTTTCTGAAAGCTGACGTGGACTTCGGTTCCTCTATAAAATATGTGTATACAGAAAAATTGTCAATTTAAGTGTGACCAGTGGAAATAAGAAAATCTGACATTTCCGCCTCCATGGCAGCTGGCCACACTAAAGTCCGCGGGACCCTTGAAATTTAAATAACAATTAAAAATGTATGAACTCATTTATTTTTTAAGTGTTTGCCAGCTTATAAATAGATGTTTTACATACACATAATTTAGAAAACCAAATCGACTTTTTTATGCTCCGTATTTAAGGCACCGGTACTGTTGGCGGGGGTTTTTTACCCTTCTCCTTTTCAGCCTGGGCCAATTCCTCCTTCACCACATCAGCTACTTCGTAGATTTTTGCCTTGTGCTGCAGGATTTAGATCGAAACATATAAGCTGGGAACATAATTCAGTTAAATGAGAGCCTTGCCTTCAGTTGGTTGATGTAGAAGGTGAAGGGAATGGTTCCGGTAATCGGATCTATGGCCACCGGCCACATCGCCTCCAGCTCCTGCTCCGTGAACGGCTCGCCATCCTCGGCCATCAGTTTGCCGAAGTACTCTTTGGTTAGGTACTTCTTGTTCTCCGGGTCCAAGGCTTCAAAGGCCTCCAGTATCTTTGCAGGAGACGCCGGTTCCATTCTGTGTGACAGTCAAAATCAATAACACATAAAGCCTTTATCCGAAGTGATCTTACTTGTGATCCATGAGCAGAACGGAGACGTGGGCCACGAATTTGGCCAAGTGAGCCTCTCCCGGGTAGTCCACGGAGTCTGTGGCTTTCATGACCTCAAGGACCTCCTTCTCTGTGGGAACGCAGCCCAGGAAGCGGAGGACGTTGCCCACGTTGCGGGTGTCAATGTACTTATCCCCATGCGTGTCGAAGATGCAAAAGGCTTCCGCAATCTGAACCTCAAGTTCGTTGTTTAAGGTAACTGGAAAGAGAGGAAGGTCTCAGGAGAGTAAACGGACAACCATACGATCCTTTGCTTACCACCAACTTCCATGCCGAAGGAGTTATTTTTTATTTTATTTAAAAAATTATGGATGCGTTTTACTAATAATTTTTCATCAGTTTGTTTTGTGTTTCACAGGCACTTTAACAACAATGTAACCGGCTACTACTTCAAATTCAAAATTTTTAACTTACAGAAGTTGCGCCAAAGCAAAACAACTCTGGTATCTAATCGATAGCTATTCGATAACCTTTCCAGATTTCCCGAAAAATCGTCGTCAAAATACAGCGATACTATCGCAAGTGACATCTCTAGCTAGCGTCGCGTTATTTTGTTTTCTGTTTTGTTTCGTTTCCTTCGTATTTTAAGTGCTTTTTGTTAATAAAGTTGAAGAAGAACGTTTAACTTTTGATAATTTTGCAAGTGTGTAAGAATTAAAGCGTCTGTTTCCTACTCCTGTAAGCGCAAAGTCAGTGCATTCGGTTGTTGTCGGTGTGCATTTGCCTTGCGCGTGTGTGTGTGTGTGCCTGCCGTGCGCCAGCAGCAACAGGTTTTTAAACTCATTTCAACGGAGCACCTCAGTTTTCATTTGTTTTCGGAATTTCGTCGAGTTCGGTTCGGCTCGCGTGGCTCGCTTTCCTCGGTGCACTTTTCCAGCGGGAAAATCGAATTGCAATTGAATGCGACTTTGATGGAAAACGAGCGTGGCCTGCGCAACCCGTTTTAGCTCTTCTACAGCAGGCTCGCAGGTGTGTAACGTCGCTCGTCGTCCAGCCAATAACAAGTTCAAACCTGGCCATATTATCACAGTTAACAAGTGCGAGTGTGTGTGTGTTTGTGTGTAAGTGCGCGCAAGTGAGGAAAACGCGTTGGCAGTTTTCATCGCCTCAAAACCAAAAAGTCGCCATAAAAATGGAAAGTGTTCGACGCTGATGATCAATGATCGATCCCTCAACTTCGTTTCGTCTTGTTTTCGTGCCAAATAGGCAAACAAACACGGTAAAAAGGTGCGAATTTTGAAAGCGGCTGCTGTCTGCTTCATAAGTGACTGAAAAGCGTCTATCTCTCGTTGACATTTTTCCAATATTTGCCCATGGCATTGACTGCCAATTGATAGAAAGTTTATCTATGATTGATGGCAATTAGGGAGGTGTGCTTGAAAAAATAAAGCCTTACGAAAGTATCTAGCATTTGGTTGTTGTTTCGCCCTTATTAAAATAATAACTGGAGAACTGTATTTTGGCCTTATTGTAGTTAGGATAATATTTAATTAATTGTCTTCCTTAATTCCAAATACACACAAATATCTTGTCCGAAACAAGCGGCAGATGCTCAACTATTTAGATACAAAGCCAATTTCTGCCCTCCAGATTCCTTTGCTGAACAACCTGAATATTTAACGTGATTGGCACAAGGTGGCTTCTATATAAAGTAGGCAATTCTAGTAGTTCTTTTTCCACAAATAATAATCGTGATACAAATGAAATAAATACCTAACTTCCTATAAACAAATCTCTCAAAGGTTTAAGTCATAGAGCATGTCTTAAAAGATTGCCATGTAACAAATTGGCTCGTTTTCTTGACAACGTGCCACCAGCACATCTGCATCTCCATCTGCATTTGCATCTTCATCTCCACTTGCATCTCCATCTCCATCTGTTTGACGCGGCGCTCTATTCGCAGAAAACCTTAGGCGACCATAAACGCCAATGATGAATTTCACCCATGAAGTGAAATTGTTGGCTATGGTTTGGCTTTTCACTCGTTTTGCAGTTTGCGGTTGCCGCGCCCCTCGTTGACTTGGTTGGTCTGGGGGATATTTTCTGGTCGTGCGCCGCCTGATTGCAGTCGAAAGTGGCTTCGAGCCGCTACCCTTCACGCTCCTGCCACGGTCTTCCTCTAATGCTACCAAACCATTTCTGCCTGTCCACCAAACGACGACAGGTGGCTGGCTGATTTGCGGTTCGGCTAAGGTCTCTGTTTTGGGTCTGTTTTGTAAGGCAAGTGTAACCACCACTATTGCCAGAAGATCGCTCCTGTTGTGCAGAGAGAAAAAGTGCTAAAAATAGTTTAATGTATTAAATATTAAAGCAATGCCTTAAAAAAAGAGGACACTTAAGTCTTTGCGTTATTGTAATAAGATAAAGATTTTGTAAAAGACAAGGTGAATATGTATTATTGTCTTAAATGCTTATCAAATATGTAAATATAAATCTATAATCAATATAAATCTATGCAAATCTGAATAGAATTAACCTAAAATAATAGTTTCCTTTTATTATTGTCTTACAAACAAACGTGCCTAGTACCAGGACAATTTTGAAGCAATATGTTAATGTTTTTTCCCCGTGTAGTTGTGGGGGTTGCCTTTCAGTTTTTCAGTTTTCGGTTTCTGGCGATCTGCTGGCTCGGTCTGAAAAACTTGTTTCTCGCATTTGTTGTTGTTGTTCTGCTGGCTGTTGCTGGAATTCTTTGTGGCGGTGCCCGCAGCTCCCTTTGTGCCGCTCAGTGTGTTCTCCTTCCTAGTCTTCATCGAGCAGCGTCGTCTTCCGTTTTTTTTTTCTCATTGGAGTACATTTTTCGCTTGAGGAATTTTATGTGGCTGTCGTGTTTGATGCCCCTTTTTTCGCACAGTTAATTTTCGTTTTTTTTTTCCCCCTGGATCATAATTGTGTGCCGTGAGTCAACCTCTTTGTGTTTCTCTCGGGGAAACCATCGTTCCATTTAACTATCTATAAATGTTAAAATGTAAATTTGCCAGAAGCGAGAGTTACAGAATTTGATCAGTGTCTAAACCCGTTTCTTTTCAAGTAGCCTACTGCAATTAAACAAAGAAAGTTTTTGCATTAAAACGAAATACGAAATGCTTAGCTATATAAATGTCATTAAAAAACATTTCATGACGGACTGCAATGCTGCAGAAAATGTTAAATTATTTCAATTGCCTTAACTGGCGAAAATTTGACATAAAAAAAACTCACCATGGAATGTGCAAGAAAAATAATTATAATTACACGTCTGCCATGGGAAAGTCCAGAGTAAAGTTTTTTTTAAGTGCAATGTCAACAATGAGCGCGAAGTGAGGTGAGGCTGGCCGGGCTCCTCTAGTAGCCCAACTGAACAATCTGTCGATGGCCACCACTTGGTTGTGCAGTCTGCAGCGATCGTGTCTGGCCTGGAGCTGTCTAACTGGATAGTTACTGCACTTTGGCTTAAAGTAGCCGCTGTGCAGACCCCAACAATGTTAGACATTCAAAATATTTGACTATGGCTCTGAAGCATCTTACACTCAGTCGAAGTTGATCAGATAAGTGATTGGGGATAATAAAAAGAATTTGTGGGATTTCCGACAAGCCCAAATTTATAAACTTTGATATCGATTTTTGACGATATATATGTACTCCAGATAATTAGAGACTAGACTTGGTATCAGATTTTCATGTACGTCGCAAAACTCATGCGATTTGTTGTGGCAAACTCCAGGTCGCGGAGTTTAATAATTTTTGTAAAAATATTTGTAAAATTGAAACCTAGAAGTATCGTTTGGGAGAGTGTCATGGAAAGAGGAACCCAACATATTTATATTTTGGCTTTATTTAAAAAAACATTTGATAACAGGTATCTAATAGTCCCTCGACAGTATCTTTTTTACTTGTCTCGAACAACCTTTGTATTTTCTAGTCCTTTGAAATAAGTCTTTTAGCCAAAATAAAAGAATTAACTAAATTTAAGGCACTAATGCATTATCTTCAAATTTTTGAACAGCATTAAGCGGTTATATCATAAATATATATAAGCGGTAGATGCTAGTTTAGAACTAGAGTTATATTTGTTTATTTGTGTTTTTGTTTTGTATATGCTAAAAAATGTTTCTGTTGAAGTCTTTATCAAGCTTATAAACTTAGTGTATAACAAACAAAGCGTAATTTATTATAGCTTCCCCAACGCCATCAGTATCTTTTTCAGTATTGTCATAACCATTTGTTTATTTTTATATTCGCGGTAATTGTTTATATTACTTTGCATATTGCTAATTAATGGCATTTCGTTTGATTATTCTGTTTTGCAGCTGCCCCGAAACTGCCTTGGAAGCTCAATGACGAATGAATTAACAAAGAGACCCAAGTAAAGAAGCATTCAAAGGTTAGCTAATCATTCCCGCGAATACGCGAAACAGAAACAATTTCAAAAGTATTGAATAACGAATCTCGAATGCAATGGCAAGACTAATCGCCAGTGGTTAAGGCGGCTCGGGAACAATTCGTGAGTGTGAGAGCGTGATAGAAACTAAGATAACCGTCACAGAATGCCAATAATCACGGCCACGACAACGACGACAGCCGGCGGAGGAGCAGGTGTGGCGACCAGGGGCGTGACTGCCGCCAAGTCTCCCACCGATTACCTATTGCTCCAGCAACAGCCGCCGTCTCTCCACCAGCAGCAGCAGCAGCAGCAGTTGGCGCCTCCAAATGCTTCCCACCAACACCAGCACTCCCATCTACATCCACATTCACATCCACATGCACATCCTGTTGCTACTCCGACCAGTTTTGCAACATTTAACGGAAACTCGAATCTAAATGCTAGCCTTGCCAACGGAAGCAGCAGAAAATTCAATTGCAGCCGCGACAACGTGGACGAAGCCGCCGACGTTGCCGCCGTTTCCCAGACACTGGCCGCCGGCTCCGATGTGGTTGGTAACGGTAATGGGGATAAACTTGCCGGTCTACCACCACCAGGTGGCCACCTTCTTCGCCCTCCGCCGCCGCCGGCTGTCAAGAAATCTGTCGTAGCCGCCTCAGCAGCTGGGAACTCCGCCTCGCGCGAGGATGTCGCTTCGCTTAGCGGCACTTCCTCACTGAACAGCCAGATGTCAGCGCCCAATCACTTCATCCCCGGATTACCGAGCAATGGCATCGGCGGCAATGGAGCCACAGTACCCGGACGAGGTGCTCCACCCAGCAGTATTTTGAAAGGCAGCAAGGGTAAGCGAAAGAAAGCTATAGTAATGTCTTATAAAATGTCTAAAAGTAGTGGAAAAGCTATAGTAATGCTTTATAAAATATCTGTAAATGCTGGAGAAAATTTACCAAAACTCTACTCTTAAATTGAAGTGGCTTAAAAATTTCTGTCTATATTTATTTTGACTTAATCCGACTCTAAACAAGACTTGCCAAATCTCTGTAGCTCGGACCCATTAATTATGTAGTCTGTTCATTGAGTGGCTTGTTCCAAATCGAGTTTCCATTTTCTGTTGGCCTCATAAAGTATTGAAATTAATTAGTACTGACCCAGCTCTTAGAACCAATTTAGGGCGTGCATCTCAAGTGACTCATTTCCGCCCTCACATGGTCCAACCACTCACAACCCACTCCTCATGCCGCTTCAGTTTCAGTATCAATTACCATTTCGGTTTCAATTTCAACTCGAAATGCACTTGCAGGGCGATGAAAGTAGTTAGCTCGCAGCGGGAAATTACGGAAAATTATAAACACAAGTACTGAAACAGCGGGTGGAAGTTTGTGTGGCATGGCAAAAGGTTTTTGTTTCTGATTCGGTTTCTTTCTTTCTTTTCGGTCGTTTTTTATTGCTCTTGATAGACACGTGCCGAAGCAGAACTGCTACAAATGTTTCCATGTAAACTAAAACCCACTTTGCACTTTACACTTTTGGTTTCTTGTTAACCTTCTTCTTCGGCCAACTGACTGGTTGTGGGTCTTCGCACTTAGCCAGTTCTTAGAGGACTTAGCACTACACTTTCAATATTACAGTCGGTTTCACCTTCTTGGTTTTAGTCTACTCCCGTTTCTTTTAATCCGTCCGCCTGTCATCACTTTCTCACAGCTCCGGCGGAGTCATTGAAGCCCCTGAACTTAGTCGATCCACTTGGCATCTAATTCGTGAGAGCTGCATTGTTTCCCGCGCAGCTCGTAGACTGAATTATCGTAAGACGGCCCAGAGAGCTGGTTCAGTTTAAAGCCAAATGGGTAACCTCGATATTGTCGCTGATTGGCTTTGCCAGTGAGCTTGCGGGGGCGTAGGTAATTGCTGGTCTAGATGATGTGGGAACTTAATATTCATAGAGCGAGGAAACGACTAAATTATAGCCCAAAAACTAAGCGACACTAAACTTGTAGGTGTGGATGTGGCCATTACGCTTTAACTTAACTATTGGTGGGTCATTAAAAACATGATATTTCCATATCTGCTAATGGATTGCTCAGATCGGAGACGAATCTTAAGAATTTCATAACCTTATTAGACCGCAACTCGCAGTCTAATATTAACTTGTTGGTGTTTTGTAAACACTCCAGTTTCACATCATCTTCCAGCTAAAACCCACTCACTCTTGTGCTCATTTCGGTATATATTTCGAGCAACACCATCTAGGTGTGGATGGGAAATCGCTTTCGGAAGTTGGGCAAGACTGCTAGCTGGTTAGTATGTATCTGAATCATCTGTTAAGCGTTTGCCGCTTGGCTTAATATCCCCTCCATTCTGTCCCATTGTTAGGCGGTCGCTGAATTTGGTAACTCGGCCTCAGACTTTTGGCCATCCAAATTCATCAGACTTGAGAAACTCAGTTAGAGGACTGTGATTGCATAAATGCAAGACCCTTACTCATTAGGGGGGGGTGTTGATTCTGGTCGAGGAGTCTGCGGTGTCTCAATGGTCTCAAGTGGTGGCAATGAACTCGTCGTGGCCTCGAATTCACCCACATGGAGAACGCGCTCACCTTTCCCCAGCTTAGACTGTATCTGCCTTATCATTCACGCCTCACGTCAGAGGCAATTAGCAGTGGAGAGTCTTCACTGGCGACGGAGTTGAAGTTGCTCCACAATGTCCCCATCTAGCCGCCCTGCATCGCACTCTCTCGCCTGCTGCGATTATTAATTTCTTGATTACGACAGCAGAGGGTAACTCTGGTTTATGGCGTGCCATGTAAGCCAAGTTAACGAAGCAGCAAAGCCAATTAGATGCAATCATTAGGCGGGGCGGCGCAGGGAGTCGTCACAAATGACATAGGGATGGGTCTTTGCCTCCCTTTTTATTTTTTTCCCTGCGAGAACAAACAAAGACGTTGACTTTGCTCCACTTCCTTATGCTCCGCATCATCCGTGGTTCGACTCCATGGCCTGCACACGTGGCCTGGTCTTGGACCGATGCGTTGCTCTCGTGCAGAAGGCGACGCATTCCAATGCGGGCGGAGTAATTGCCGGGGAGCATTCAATGGACCCGCTACATGCCAGGTCCGAGACCGAGTAAATTGCGAGTTCTGTTGCAGTGCTGCCCGCTAATTGAGCACCGACATGGAGTCATCCGAAGTGGTCATTGCGTAACTTGGGACTCTAGCGGGCCAGACAGGATAGAGGCGATGGCGATGCAACAAGCATCCCATTACCAGCTAATTTATGTTGACGTTACTCGGGAATTATACAAATTAAAGTGGGATCGCCATGGGTCTTTCACTATGGTGTTTGCAAAAAGTTCTCTGAAAGAGTAAAGAAAAATTATGGAAATCAACTGAAATGAATGTGAGTGTACTTAAGATTAAACGGTTTAAGATGTAGAAATATAGCTTCACAGTATATTATCTCGGGCTACGGGTATTATAACTTAGTGCCAGCCGAAAATATATATAACCAAGAACCGGGATATAAATTTCCAATAGTTTTTGAAAAATTCCTATACGCCAGGTTTTAGAGATATCCCATCTTTTGAGGTGCTGTAAAGTCAAAAAATTTCGTTAAGTTATCATAAAGTACTATTCTTTTACTTTAAAATCAGTTTTTAAAATTTGGAAAAATCTTTATGCATTGAGTTTATATCGTCATTTTTCCATATATAGAGACTATATATCGGAGACAAATATTAAATTCTATCGAAAATGCTTATTTTTTGACAGTATATTGTCAAATTCGACACCCAAAAATATATGAAAATATATCGATTCTAGAGACAAGAGCTGAGATACCAATATTAATTTTTTCAAACTTTACGTTGGCACTTGCAAATTGCAACTCGACGCGTAATTAGGCAGAGTTTTCGCACAAAAACTGGAAGGCACACGGCCGGATCTCAGACGACGCTTCCAATCGATAATCACACACACCGCCATCCATACACGCATCCACCCGTGCACACCCGCCGCCACAATGGATCCCAACTGGCAGAACAGTCTGACCGAGATGAAGGACCGCGGCAAGTATCTGCTCCACTCGGAGAAGTGGGCCGACTGCCGGTTCCTTGTGGGCTCGGTGCCGAACCAGCGTCTAATCGCCGGCCACAAGCTGCTGCTGGCCATGGCCTCGCCGGTGTTTGAACGCATGTTCTACGGCCAGTTACCGGAAAAGACTGACCCCATCGTGATACCGGACGTGCAGCCGAAGGCTTTCGAGGCGATGCTGGAGTACATCTACACGGACCGCATCACCATCGGCAGCTACAAGGCCTGCGAGCTGGGCTATGTGGCCAAGAAGTATATGCTCCCGCACGTCGTCACGTGTTGCACGCAGTTCCTCTCGGCGGATCTCAGTCCGAAGAACGCCTGCCGCGCCTACGAGTTCGCCAAGCTGTTCGACGAGCCGCGCCTGATGCAGAGCAGCATGGACCTAATTGCGGACAATACGCGCGAAGTGCTCTCCGATCCCAGCTTCCTGGACATCGAGGTCTCAACCCTGATAGCCATTCTCGACCAAAACCGTCTCAATATCGACTCTGAGCTGGATCTGTTCAACTGCCTGCTCAAGTTCGCCAGCGAGCGGGGCATCCTGAACGAGAGCGACGGCGGGCAGGAGGATGCCGGCGACCGGGACGGCGAGGCCGGGCTAGCGAAAAAGTCACCCAATGATTCTGGCGGACATGTGATGGTTGAGGTGATCAAGATGGAGCCCGATGTAGCGGCCATGGTGCAACACATGCATCAGGACGATGAGGGCGACAGCTTTGAGACGGACGCCGGCATGGCTTACACTTTCACTTCGGCTGCAGCTAATGCCGCCGCCGCCACTGTCCCTGCAACTGCCTCTGTCTCTGGCTCGCCGCCCCTGGATGTGGCAGCCGGCTCCGATGACCTGGTTATCATCGATAGCGATGCTTCCGGCGATGCCGCTGCCAACATGATCAACATTATGGACGACCAGCGTACCATTCTCGATGGCGCCATGCTGCGCCAGGCAGTGAAGAAGATTCGCTTCCTTACTATGACGGCGCAGCAGTTTGCCGAAGGACCGGCACGCTCCAAGCTACTCCAGCAACACGAAGCCCTTGCCATCCTTATCAAGATCTCCAGCCCCACGCTCAATGACTGCCACATGCCCGAGGGCTTCTGCGTCTCGCGCAGCACCCGCACTTTCTCTAGGCGTTACCATCCTTGGCGTACAGGTGCCCACGCGAGGTGCTGTACGCCCACATCCAGGACACATCGCTGCTAGACATCACCTTCGACCGGCCAGTGTACATCTACCGCAACCAGATCAGGACCACAACCGCCACCTGGTGGACTGAATCGGTAGCAATACCCTAGGCCTAATGGATTTATGTATTTTCGATGTGATAGATTTAGGTTGGAAATCGATGGATCTGCAAGCTGAACTTTGGCAGAAAGTCAGCCTCTTCCGCAATCTTTTGTACATCGAATCGTATTAATCATATCACCATAAAATATAGCCACTAAATTATAATTTTGCATTCTAGTATAAATTTATAGGTTTTTAGATCCCTAACGATTTCCCCCAATTGCCGTAATTATCACCCACCGTTTCCCCTGAATTCTGAACTTGGTCTTGTCAGTCAACTTGTTTAAAGATCGTGCTGGAAGCCACGATCTTAGTGACAACTTGAAAGTGTCGGGCGGAACGTGCCCAACAATTAGCTCACGAACTTAAGTATATCAAATCTGAAAATGACTTTTGGGGATCAGGCAAACCGTGTACCATAAATGTGAGTGCATACATTTAAGTGGATAACGCCGGGCATTAGATAATTGTACTTTTAACAGCTTTTACTCCAGCAAGATCTAAAAGGCGAAAAGCGACCGAGGTCGCAGGTCACGCCCCCTGACCCTGTACTCACTTCACTTATGACCCGACACGCCTCCCGCTCGGCCTTTTCATTTGCGTTATACTTTTGTTTTCCAAAGTCAATGAACTGGTGCTCTAAGACTTTACGTAATTTGTGGGCAGCACGTTCGTAAATTGTTTATGTCTGCTTCAATTCTACCACATGTTCGCCCGGTACTTGCTCTTTGTTGTATTTTCTTTTTATTATTTTTAGACATTTTACCGAGGCATAATGCACTCCCGATCAGCGATAAGATTGAACTGGCCTCTGATGTGATCTCGGGTGAACGGTTCCTCGGATTACTCTTCGAATCCCAGGTGCAATTAGCCGCAATCTGTGGAAATAATCGTTTGTCAATCATCTTCGCAGGCACCGGCTATGGCGATCCCTGTAATTATGAGTAATGGATATTCTTTGTGTGGCAAAGAGTTCGCTTCGCATTTTCGTCTCTGTCTTTTTATTCGAGATCCATGCGAGGCCGACATTGCCAGCAGATGAGTCACTTTTCGAGCTGGCTTGCCAGATATGCGATCTACTGGACCGGGTTGGCAAATCCTACAGTTAGGTTCATGATTTTAGTGCTCTTGGCAGGAAAATATGTTTCCTTAAGACCAAGAATATTGAGCAAAATTAAAGCTGAAAATTCTTTCAGAAAATTAAGAATATTAGGTTTAACTACAAGAAAGGCTTCCTTCAAAGAGTATAGTTCTATACTCTTTGGTATCAGTTACCTACGAAATTTAAAGATTAATTGCATAAGCCATTGTTTAGCTCGGAGCTTTGGAGCCCTATAACTAAGCTTTAATTTTTTATGCTCGTTCAAAACATAATTCCCTCCAGAAACGTAGTAGGACCGGTGGTGGGGCATCTAAGGATCTTTTATTACCACAAATCAATGGTAAATTTAAATTATAATTTCTAAATAAAGAAACATTCTTTAAAAGACACAGAGATGTTATAATTAAGTATTATTAATCTTCATAAATAAAATAAATAATAATAATAATAGAACCTCTAAAATAAAATACCATGGAGTTCGTTTTATAATTTGTAGGTTCTCACCAGAAAATAATTAACTTACATAAAACCCATAGTAATATCTCTTAATGGCTTTTCAGTGCTATCAGAGTCTTAGTTATATAATTCTTGGCCGCGTTATATCATCTTTTATATTTCGCGTACACTTTTTTTTCAGCTATATGCTGATTCATTAGAAAAGTAAACATTTGCATAGCTTATCGGCACGAGAGTCAAGAGAAGCGATAAGAAAACAGCGGGCAATAAATTTTCAGCATATGCAGATATATGTACATATGTCTGTGTATCTGTGAAAATGTGTGCCGCATATTTGTTGTTTTCTTATTTGTCAAACAGCAAGCGATAAGTGTAGATACATAGCTACTTATGTATATGGTACGTAAGCCGGAGTGAGATGGCCAGTGTAAACAGTATTTAGTCCAGATTCTAGTGTGTGGCAGCCCTGGTCCATTCCATATACAGCTGTGAGCATTATTTGTGTGCTACATCTGGTGATCAAATACGCCCTCCTGCTCCATACCCCCTCCCCCCCTCTGGACAAAAACAAATATTTACAAGATGCAAGCAAGTGAAGCTGCGAACGAAGCAGCAAAGGAAAATAAAGGGGATAGAAGATGGGGCAAGGCAAACTGTGCCGCCAACAACTTCCGTGCTGGGAACACTCCCTGCCCCCCATTCTGCTTGCCGTCTCTCTCGTTCGTTAACACTTTCTGGATTATGCAGACTCCACCAACACAAACACGAATTTCCACCGTGGACTGCATTTATTCAAACGAGCTGGGGAGAATCCCATGGCACTCCCACCTCCCCCCGACTAAGCCTGAAATCAAACACGAGGCGATGGCGCTTTTACCGTTCACAGATGTGTCATCTTTCCCAGCCTTTCCCGCCTCGTTTCATGCTCCATTCGCAAATGTTCTGGGCATAAATATTCATCTTTCTATGCAAATCATTCGCTCGCAATACGTTTTGAATGATGCTCAGGTGGGTCTTTCGGTCGCCGTCATTCGATTAGCCCAACCCACTTCGCATGTGTGAGCAGGGGCATGCACCTCGAAAGGGGTTAACGACGGTCCAGAGAATCCAGTTCGCGCTTTACTTCCATTTTCTAACGAACGTCAAAGCATATTTTAGCATAATAACATTCTGGAAGCGGGTAAAGATTTTCTTAGGCTTAGTCTTTGTGCCCCAGAAAAATGGTCTAAACGTTTTTAAGGCAGGCTTTTTGTTTAAAAACAATTATAAGAGATTGTCAACGTTAGAAGCGCTCTTTTTAAACATATTCTAAACATTTTGGAAGTCGGTGTATATACTCCACCTATGTTTTGACATTTGGAACATAACTTCTTTAACTAATTCTACAGGTATTCACGTAATTTTATGTAATTTTAAATTTTTCAAAAATCGGTGTTTCAAATTTTGATAGAAAATCTGAAAAAAATTCAAAATTAAAAAGCCACGTGAATGCCTTGGAACACTTTATCCTTTAACTAATTAATTATATTTGTTTATATCGGATGATTCTATGGACAATTAAGATGTACACAACAAATTAACATTTTTTTTTTAAGGTTTCACACCAAATTAACCTTACCCCCCCACCTCAAACAAAATAGGTTAGGTCACATCACACTATAGTACATATAAAAAATATAAAAATATATTTCGAAAATACTCTCTACAGTCCATATCTAGTTTGAATACTTGTTTATAGCTTGTGTTTTTATTTACGACGCTTTAATTAAATCCAATTCAACGTTTGGAAAGCGGCTTGGATCTTAGCTCTGCTGTTCTGAAGAGATTTCGAAGAAACCTGACTCATTCTTAGGGCTTATCCGACGATCATCTCATAACGGTTGTGCCAAGCGAAATCGCGTTGGCCTTGGTTAATTGCATAGGCCATTCATTCATTCACTTCTTTCACTTGGCCGTAATTAAAATTCCCCATTACTCATCCGACTTGAGTGGGGAGTTCGTTTGAGCGCTTTGTGGCGCCCAGTCGCATTAGCTCCGTGGGCCAGGAAAGTAGGTCATAGCCTGGCCAGAGCCTGGCTAGCAGTTGGCAACTGCTAATAATAATTATTATTCCGGCTTGCCCCAATCGAAAGAGCTTAACGCTTCAGCGAAGCCAACGGGAGCAGGTGGAGGCAGCGGGGAATGGTCAATGGCAGGAGATGTGGCGATGGGGCGCTGGGACATTGGCGTTGCCTTTGTTGTTGTATGTGGTTCGATTTCAAAAGAGACCACACCAAACTATTTTCGGCTGGCTGAGCATTAGCTCCAACGACTTGTTTTTGTCCAATTCCAGCCTGCAGTTAGTTGGTTTTGAGTTCATTGAACGATTTGAGGCTGGGTTTCTTTGTACCAAATGCAAACAATGATTAACGGAGTTACCTCTGATTCACAGAGAACCTGCTGCAGAACACATACTACAATGGCGAGACCGGTGACAGCAGTCTGGGCAGCGAGTGCGGAGTGGGGGATGTCCAGAATCAGCACCACGAGAACCATGACGACCCGGGCGATGGACTGGGGCCCCTGCCGCCCAAATGGGAGACTGCCTACACGGATCGCGGCGAGCTCTACTTCATCGAGTGAGTTTTTTAGAGTGTGTTCTTAAGACCTGAACTAACCATTACTTTGTTTTCTGATAGTCACAACACCGGAACCTCCCACTGGCTGGACCCAAGGCTTTCCAAGTACCAGAAAAAGTCGCTGGAGGATTGCTGCGAGGATGAGCTTCCCTATGGCTGGGAAAAGATAGAGGACTCAATGTATGGGATGTACTTCATCGACCATGTGAACCGTAGGACGCAGTATGAAAACCCAGTGCTGGAAGCTAAGCGAAGAGCTGCGGAACAGCGCCAGCAGCAACAACAACAGCAGCAGCAGCATCAGCACCAACAACAGCTGGTGCAAGAACAGCGCTCAAAGACACCCAATATACTGCCAGAAACCATACCCTTAGAGGCGGCTGTGGAGCAGGAGGAGGAGGACGAAGGGGTGCTCCCTGTGAAGCTGCCCTACAAGTTTACCCGCAACCCAGCCGAGCTTCAGGGTCAGCGCATTAACACCACTCTGGTCAAGTCATCTCGTGGCCTGGGCTTCACCATCGTCGGCAGTGACGGTACCTCTGGCGGGGATGTGGAGGAGTTTCTGCAAATCAAGACAGTGGTGCCCAATGGTCCGGCCTGGCTGGACGGACAGCTGCAAACGGGCGATGTGCTGGTCTATGTCAATGACACCTGTGTGCTCGGCTACACGCACCACGATATGGTCAATATTTTTCAGTCAATTATGCCCGGGGAAAGGGCAGCCCTCGAGGTGTGTCGAGGCTACCCATTGCCATTCGATCCAAATGATCCCAACAATGAGGTGGTGACCACCATGGCAGTGGACGGGCGCGAGTCGGACAAGCAACGCCGCCTCAACATGGATGGCAACTACAACTTCCTGGACTTGTCCGGCGACAAAGCCAGTGGCGCAGGCAGCGGCTTCATCCTGATGAAAAAGCCCGAGCTCTATACATTCTCCATTATGAAGGGCGCCATGGGCTTTGGGTTCACCATCGCAGACTCCGCCTGCGGTCAGATTGTGAAGAAGATCCTAGACCGAAATTGCTGCACTCAACTGATGGAGGGCGATGTTCTCCTGGAGATCAATGGCTTGAATGTGCGCAGCAAGCCGCACTTTTACGTCGTGGAGCTACTCAAGGAGTGCAGCCTTACGACGCCCACTGTCGTTAAGATCCAGCGGACTCCACCCGATCAGCCGTCCAGCAATACGCTCACCCAACTCAGCCAGGTGGGGAATGTGGCCAAGCTGCGCAAGAACTTTGTAGGCAGCGGCCTCTTTCGCAGCAAGACGCCCACGGCGGACCTGTATAGCACCCAGGTGAAGGAGGTGCTGCCCATGCGCCCGAAGACTCCACTGGTGGACACGAGAAGGGCACGAGTACAGACGCCCAGCAATGAGGTGGACGGCGAGGCTGGAGGCGACGCTGTAACCAGGAGCGAAACGGAGGCGCGAAAACCGCTGCAATTGCATTCGCAGGGCAAGTCAAACAATAGTCTGCAGGAGCTGGACGACATACCCTACATGGACCCCTATCCCAAGATGGTCAGTCGTCTGAGCGAGCGTCTGGCGGAGGCCACTCTTCAGGGAGATGCTAATGGTGGCATATACGGACTGCCACCCAGCATGCAACCACTTCCTTTGCCGCTGGTACACCACGAGTCCTGCTACTGCTACGACTGCCAGGCGCAGCGCTATCGCCCCGGCTACTATGTTCAGGCGCAGCAGGCCGCGATGTCGGCCACCGGCAGTGGTCAATACTCTCCGCTGCAGACGGCGCACCTCCAGAACGAGCGTATCCAGCGGCGGGTTAATGAGCTGCTCAGTGATAGAAGGCGCGTTGGCTTTGCCAACCTCGATCCTCCCCACCAGCAGCAGCCGCAGATTCAGCACTCGCCAAGCTGGCGCAACGGAGCTCTGTTGGACGCTTCTGAGGACGCGGACCGTTGTGAGCTCACCGAGGTGACGCTGGAGCGCCAGGCTCTGGGCTTTGGCTTCCGTATTGTTGGCGGCACCGAGGAGGGCTCCCAGGTCACTGTGGGCCACATAGTGCCCGGCGGAGCTGCGGATCAGGACCAGCGCATAGCCACCGGCGACGAGATTCTCAGCATCGACGGCATTAATGTGGTAAGTGAAGCTTCATAATTCTTGTAATACGTTTTTAATCTTTTCCTTTTTTGTAGCTTAACTCTTCGCACCACAAGGTAGTATCCTTGGTGGGCGAGTCTGCACTGCGGGGCCAGGTTACCATGATACTGCGCCGACGCCGAGCTTCGCTTCTGCAGCAAGCTCTGCCCTTGAGCTCTCAGCAGCGACCTTATCCCTACGATGTGATTGTGAGCCGGCATGAAAACGAGGGATTCGGTTTTGTTATAATTTCGTCATCGAACCACTACTACGGCTCGACCATAGGTGAGGAAGGATTATATGAACCTGTGTTCTTAATACTTACCTTCAATTTTCTGTTTTTTTTTTTTTCTTTAGGAAAACTAATACCCGGCAGTCCGGCGGATCGCTGTGGTGAGCTGAAAGTGGGCGATCGCATTGTGGCAGTCAACCGGATCGAAATTGCCGGAATGTCGCATGGCGACGTGGTGAATCTCATTAAGGAGTCCGGTCTCCATGTGCGCCTTACCATTGGATGTCCGCTTAAAGAGGGTGGACCTAGTCCCGGCGGCAGTAGCGCCGGTCTGGGCAGCAACACACCGCTCCAGCCGTCGCCCAGTCTGATGAAGGCACCACCACCTGCTCTCTCCCACCAGCAGCAACCGCAACTTCACCACCACCACCAGCAGCAGCAATTAGAGATGCCGATGTCTATGCCCATGCCCAATCATGGCAGCTACTTGGAGCGACCCAGCAACAATATCGCGGCCACTCTGGCCCTGCACCAGCAGCAGCCGCAGTTATGACTCTGAGACCTACGGATTCGGCTCTACAAGAGCTTTCTCTAGTGTTAGATCGATAGTAGGCCCCAAGTTTTAGTTAAGTTCTAGTTAAGTAACCCCAAAGACTGAATTTATTAGCATTTGTAGGTGGATAATGCGAGTCTCGAGCGTTTCGTCCGTGCGTGCGCCCTTTAAACCAGTTTTATTAGATCCCATTTAGTGGCATAGGATAGATAGGTTATAAGCTCAACAGTAAGGGAATTCCGCCAGTTTTTGTAAAATACAACCTAAATTATACTGTACAAATGTAAAGGACTTCAATATTTTATCATTTTTTGTGTTACTCTGGATATTATATATAACCTTATAAATATACGCAATACACAGTCAACCTGTTGAGCTTCAATTGAGTTGGCAGAAATAAAACATTTTTCAAGTTTTTAATCGTTTCCTTCAATTTATTTTGATGTGAACTTTTACAGCAACTTGGAAAGGGGAAACGAATCAAGGATAATCAGCCATCAAGTTGCATGTTCCCGACCATTAGATCACTTTTGTTGATATCTATGGTTGATGTTGACGTAATTAAAAGTAACCGTGTTCGGTTGGCCATTGCCGGACAACGCACGAGTGATCTGCTGGACCTCGGCAGCAGCCATACGATTGTTGGCCTGAATTTGGCGAGAGGTCACCTTACTCGGCTTGGCACATTGATTCGAATAGGTTGTCTGCCGGTACTCATACTGGTGGCTTTGGCCTCCGTTATAGTTGTCCAGTTGACGGCCACTCATGGTTGAAGGTGGTGCTAAGGCAAAAAAAATTAATTAATTTCAACACAATTTGAAAACTTTTTTTTATACCCACCAAGTTTATTTTTTCGGAATAAGCGTCTGTACTCTTTCAGTTGCTTTAAGCTACTGACTCCCATTTCCTCGACTGCCAAAGATCCGCGTCGTTCGTCTTGCCACTTCAGCAGCTTGGGGTTTTATATACAGATTCTGGCTATGTACTCAGGCGCTCGATTGAAAGCGTCTTGGTATACATATATGTACTTAGGACTCGGGCCATATCTTACGAAGCGGACTCTAAATATTATAGCTTTTCTGCTTGGATCAGCTTACGTAAATGGTCGAAGGGAAGAATGACTTAAATTTGATTGGTTGACGATCACTGCGCAATTTTTCATTTCCTTTGTATTTGCATTGCTATAATCGACTAAAAAATACCCTATACAAATTATAAATGATCACGAAAATATACATTAAATTTAATTTAAAGAGTACAAGCTTGGAAGCAAAAGAAGTATTACACAGGTCAACAGCTTTTTAAAATGAAAAATCTTAAAGATCGGTTCATGACCATTAAACTCAATTTTTTTAAATTTGGAACCCAAGTAGGTGAAAGATTTTTCTATATATACGGGGGTTATAAGAAACACCAAAAGATGTGTTCAGCGAAAATTTGTATTGGTAAAAGATTTATTATACACCAAGAAAGGCAGCTATCTTGCAGAATTCGAATTTTATATTCCTTTGCATTTCGAAATCGATTATAACTAAGCTAAAAACGGATTACTTGCAATTACAATTTTTGTTTATAATTTTGAAAACAATTGAGTAAGATTTTTTCTAGTGGACATGGCTAGATCGACATGACTGTTGATGCTGATCAAGAATATATATAATTTAAAGGGTCGGAAATTACCAGCTTTTGACTAAAACTATAATACCATGCAAAGGTATAATAGACTTTAAAATGAACAAAATGAAATTATAGTTTAATATGTGCACAAGCATTTGTTAATTTCAAGTTTATTTTAGTTTTTGTAATTGTGATTGATATTTATGAAATTGACAACGATATTTTTGCCAGGTGGGACGATTTTTGAAATGGCTGCTTCTAATGAAAGCGCTGAGCTCGAGGAAGGCACCACTTCTAAAGACCCTATTTGATCATCATTTACGGCCTGGGTTTGTTGCCGGGAAATGGATTGCTGATTATTGCTGCGCCCAGCATTAGATTTGCGCCCTTTTCCATTGAAGCTCCTGGATGAAGACTGATTTCCTCCGTTGCGATAGGAGTTAGATTGGTAGTTGTTATTGGAATAGGAGTTATATTGATCCTGGCAATCGTACTGATCCTGATAATCGTACTGATCCTGATTTTCGTACTGGTCCTGATAACCGTACTGGTCGTCAGAATCGTCATCATCCTCATAATCCCAACGACGAAGACCGTAGCGACTCATGATCTATAGAGGGAATTGGATTGTTTAAATTAAATTTAGAACTCTGAAATAAAAAACTTACTTAAACAAAAGTTTCACTGCTGTGACCGTTTGCCTTCGACTGCTTCTGCAGACTAACTTCAGACACTTACTCAGACTTTATTCAATCCATTTTTAATGTCAACTCAGCGAGTTCATAAGGGATCCTCTTTAAGTATATGTATGGATATATACCAAAGTACATAAACATATATTTGTATGTATGTACTTTTAACCATAACATCACGGTTTGGTACTCTTTGCTCTTACATACAAATGAAATTTGATCGAAACTTCCACATAAACAAATCTCAGTCTCCACAAATTACCACTCGAGTATTTTAGCTGAGCATGAAATAAGGCCTTATGAAAAATGAATCCACATACGTACATAAAAACATACAGATTCGATTGGTTCTGGTCAAGATTTTGTATACAGAAACGTATATATATTTGTACCTATCTCGCGGTATAGGATAAACACACACACAGTACGCAGTACAACCAGCGACAAAAAGTCCGATTCAGCTTTGCTTTAACTTTTCTTTTTCTGTTACTGAATTCTATGAATTTTTGTTGAATATGTTTATAAACATATTAAATTTCTTATACCATTTCCTTTACACAAACTATCAAATCATTGTGAGTTTACTATATTAATAAAATGAAAGTAATATTTGGCGGCAGTATCCCAGTTTTATTTTAATTCTTTTTTCTGCACGGAATCATCCATTATTTGCTTAGAAAAACAAAAAAAAGTAAATCATTCTCCATTGTCGTTATTTATTAGATTTGTTGATTTCTTTCACTTATCCAGACTTCTCAAACTGTACACAAGAGTATGTCATTAGAGCTAATACGGGTACAAGTATTGTAGATTTCATTACAAAAAATAATAGGCTTACGATCAAGTATGTCGCTTATATTGGCTTGATCTTGAAGTGCAGGCCGATGAGTGAGAAGACCAGGCACTTGAGATCCTGCACCAGGTAGTAGAAGCAGCGCAAGCCCTCGGGGTCCTTAGATCGGTTCACGTCCACCAACGAGCCGGTTTTCGAGGTAGTGAACGAGATGTGTTCATCGCCAATGACAATCTCCAGTTCCTGAAACGCATCTGGTTAGTACAGCCTCCACATGCGGTCGTTCAAAGGAACACTCACCTGGCGACCAACACGGTCTGGTGGCGGCCACGGCAGGTCGTCCTCCTGCATAATCTCCGAGTCGATAATGATGCGCTTCAGCTCCTCCATCACGGACTGATGCACAAAGGCCTCCTTGCGGATCATGGTGTCATTTTTGTAGTTGGAATTGTTGGCGTAGCGCAGCTTGCCGTCCGGCCGGAACTCGAACTCCAAGAACTCGTGCCCGAACTTGCCCTTGTGGCCCACGTAATAGCGCAAGTAGAAGTCCTCTGTAGGCATGGCAATGCTAGATGTTTCTCTGTGATGTTTTATTAAATATCTTGCGAAAATGCTATTTATTTTCTCCACTTTTACCGAAAACGCGGTAGAGGTGGAAGTCACTCGATATACCTATCGGCCACCATTGGTCGTAGAGATGGGAGCCGGCAAATCTTTAGTGTCACGACACGAAACTCACAACGATGTTGCATTCACATTCCGAAGATACATATTTTCCTTTCATTAAAATAAATGTAGTTATTTGTTAAATTGGTTTTCATGCGATAATGCCTGTAAAATCAAACAGAATATATTTTAAAATCACGAGCCAAGATTCGTGTTTCGTGTCACGACTGAAACACGCGACCAACTCCACTCGATTGTCCGTGAAGAGGAAGCAGCCGACAATCGTCTATCGATAACACAATAACAATCCATCCCAAGTCGCTCTGATTTGTGTTAAAATGTAACTTAATTTCGTGGCCATGGATCTACCTCAACAAGTACTTCGCTCCCGCGCCACGGTAAGCAGCTCCCGCTGGCCCTTTCAACCACATCAGCAGTGCGTTTTCCAGCAACATTGTAAATAGTGCAAAATTGCAACAAAGTTGTAATTTCGGATTGTTTGCCCCTTGTGACTGTTTGGGTGTGTGTGTGTGGCCACCGCCGTTGTAATGGCGTCTATGCTAAAATGGGAGAGGACGCACGGCTAGCTCTCCGGCTCCGACTCCGGCTCGAGCGCCAGCTCCACCTCCACGGCCAGCGCCATGTTCGCGCCGTATCTCGGTCAAAGTAATTTTACAAAAACACAAACGTCCATTAATTTTCGCCGAGAGAGCGGGAGAGCGTTGAGCGCAAAGAGAGGCGGGCCAAGTGAAAGTGCAAGGACTCGCGGGCTCATGCGCCGGACTTGGCGGGAAAACGGAAAACGGAGCACGTGCGACCCCGGTCGTCCTTCGGGAAATGTCGGTCGTGCAACAAAGTTGCGCTCAGCTGCGACTCCGGCTCCCAGTCCAATCTGCTCCGCTCTGCTCCGACTCGGACTCGGTGCGTGCGCTCTTTACGAGCGGTTACTTGGTGGTGGTTTGTTTTGACTGTCCGCCCGAAAAATCGATGACATTGAGTGCAACAAAGTTGCCGCCCGCCGAGCTGCATCCTCCTCCTCCGCCAGTGTGCCCCGCCTAGTAATGCTCGAGTCGCATTGAGTGTCTTCTCCTCCAAGTCCCACAATATTTACAGCAGTTTATGCAAACAAATCGCACTCGCTCTCGCTTTGCCCCGCTCGGGGCTGCAGTTTCTCGCCGCTCTCCGTCCGGACTCCGGATCCTAAGGCCGGAGCTCTGTCGGGCCGCAGTTTACAACTTTGTTAACTTCGGGCCTTTGTGTTAGCAGTCTGTATCCAGGACAGTAACCGGGACGGAGTTACTTTGTTGCGCATTAATTGATTTTTTCCGCAATCAGTTTTTGTGTCTTTGTACAACTTCAAGTTGTAATAAAAACAGTGTCAACTTTGTCATTACTAAGAATCCCTTGAGCAGCAGGGCAAATCGGTGAGTGCCTTACATCGAAAGGAAGATTATGAAAGGGAGTCGGCTTCTGCGAAAGTAAAGTTGTTGGGGGTAAATTGTGTGTATCCAAAAATTTGGGGATGGGGCGTTTATATGCATTGTATAAATATTATTGCAGTTTGCTTTGGGGAAGTCCCATTAATAAGCCAGCTCATTCCCCTTGCAATTTTATAGCATACATTTGAGGGTCTTCTTTTGTTTGTTTTTTTTTTTTTAACTCTGGCATTCTGTAAGTAAAGCTAGTGAGTGAAGTAAGCACGAAAACCATTTGCTATCTAGATTTGCAGTCAGCACGGCATGCTAATAATAGTTTATGGTTCTCCCATTTGGACATTTATTTCAGACCATCTAGGGACTGCCCTCCTAGCCTGCTGCATGCAACGTTTCACCGCCGCTGACGGAACAATTATGGATACATGAAACGATTCACGAAGTAACGCGAAGCCAACATGTCAACGAACCCCAGCCCCGGCACCACCAGCATGCCTCCCCACCCCAATGAGAGGGATCAGGAAGTTAGGGCATCGAGCTCCTCCTCGCAACGCAACCTGCTCGAGTTCCTGTGCATCTGCGTGGCCTGCATCGCCTGCTATTACAACAGCACCCAGTGCGGCCTAGTCTTCGATGACATCAGTGCGATAAGGGATAACAAGGACTTGCGACCCCACACGCCGCTGCGCAACGTCTTCCTCAACGACTTCTGGGGCACGCCGATGCGCAAGGAGCAGTCCCACAAGTCCTATCGGCCGCTCACCGTGCTGACGTTCCGGTTCAACTACTTGCTGCATGCGCTGGAGCCGTTTGGCTACCACTTCGTTAACCTGCTGCTGCACTTATCGGTCTGCCTGCTGTGGCGTCGGGTCTGCCGGCTCCTGCTGCGCCAGTGTGCATCGCGGGGCAGTAATGCGACCTCGGCCCCATCTGCCTCGCTTAACACATGCGCCTTCGTGGCCTCGCTGCTCTTCGCCACTCACCCGGTGCACACGGAGGCCGTTACTGGCGTCGTCGGTCGCGCTGAATTGCTCTCTTCCATCTGCTTTCTGGCAGCCTTTCTCAGCTATGCAAAGTCCGTTGCCGATTCGGGTTCGGGCGGTTCGCCACGCACCCATTGGCTGCCACTGTTTTTCTGCTTTGGCAGTTGCCTGCTGGCCTCCATGCTGTGCAAGGAGCAGGGCATCACCATTGCCGGCATATGTGTGGTCTACGAGCTGTTCGTTGTCCAGAAACTTCGGCCGCTGCATCTTTGTCACTTGGTGCTGCGTCTCTTCGAGGAGCAGCAGCCCGAGCAACAGTCGCCCAAGCTGACGAAGTCATCCGGCATTCGACGATGGTCTTCCTCGGCGCTGTGGAAACGCCTGTGCTTTCTGGCTGGCATCACGCTGGCCCTTCTGGCGGGACGGGTCTATGTGATGGGCTCCCAGCTGCCCATCTTCACGCGCTTTGACAATCCAGCCTCGGCGGCAGAGACGCCCGAGCGGCAACTTACCTACGGCTACCTCATTTACCTGAACTGCTGGCTACTGCTCTGCCCCGCGCAGCTCTGCTGCGACTGGACCATGGGTGAGAACTGCATAGAAGCGCAAATTGAAACCTGTATTAATTTCAAACTATTCCAGGTACTGTCCCGCTGCTGGAGGGATTTGGGGATGCACGGAACGTGACCACACTGCTAACATTTGCTGCACTGGGAGCTCTGGTTGTAAAGGCCTGCTTCTCACGAAATCTGGCCCAATCACGAACGCTGATCATGTGTCTCGGCTGGATGGTGCTGCCATTCCTCCCGGCATCGAATCTGTTCTTCCCCGTTGGCTTCGTGGTGGCCGAAAGGATTCTATACATGCCATCGATGGGCTACTGCCTGCTGGTGGCCTACGGCTTTGAGCAGTTACAGAGGCGCCTCGGAGGCCGACGGTTCGGGCAGGCAGCCCTGGCCGTCCTCTTGCTCTCACACGCATTGAAGACACATCAGCGTAATTGGGACTGGCGCACCGAGTACTCGCTGTTCATGTCCGGTGTGCATGTGAATCAGCGCAACGCCAAGTTGTACAACAACGTGGGACATGCTCTGGAAAACGATGGCAGATTCGAGGAGGCATTACTGTACTTCCAGCAGGCCGTGCGCATACAGACGGACGATATTGGGGCCCACATAAATGTGGGGCGAACCCTTAACCATCTCAAGCGTTATGCAGAGGCCGAGCAGGCTTATGTACAGGCGAAAGCACTGTTTCCCCAGGCCAAGCCTGGCGTAAGCTACCATGCGCGCATCGCCCCCAATCACCTGAACGTTTTCATCAACCTGGCGAACCTCATAGCCAAGAACCAAACGCGACTGGAGGAGGCGGATCACCTGTATCGGCAGGCTATAAGCATGCGGAGCGACTATGTCCAGGCTTATATAAATCGCGGCGACATCCTGATGAAGCTGAACCGCACGGCCCAGGCCCAGGAGGTCTACGAGCAGGCTCTGCTCTACGACAGCGAGAATGCGGACATCTACTACAACTTGGGCGTAGTCTTCTTGGAGCAGGGCAAGAGCCAGCAGGCCCAAGTGTACTTCAACAAGGCCATCGAACTGTATCCGGAGCATGAGCAGGCGCTGCTCAACTCTGCCATTCTGCTGCAGGAACTGGGCGGGGAGGAGGCTCGCCAGCTATCGCGGTCTCGCCTGTACAAAGTTCTGGCCAAGGACGACAAGAACGAGAAGGTATACTTTAACCTGGGCATGCTGGCCATGGACGAGTCAAGCTTCGACGAGGCTGAGCAATTTTTCAAGCGGGCCATCCATTTGAAATCGGACTTCCGCAGCGCTCTGTTCAACCTGGCGCTGCTGCTGGCGGACACCAAGAGGCCCCTGGATGCGGTGCCGTTCCTTAACCAACTGATTCGCCATCATGCCTCGCATGTGAAGGGTTTGATCCTGTTGGGCGACATCTACATCAACCACATGAAGGATCTGGATGCAGCAGAGACTTGCTATCGCAGCATCCTTCAATACGACCCGCACAACACCCAGGGCCTGCACAATCTGTGCGTGGTCTTCGTGGAGCGCAAGAGACTGGCCAAGGCGGCCGCCTGCCTGCAGTATGCCCAACGCCTGGCCCCCGCCGAGGACTACATTGGCCGGCATCTGCAGATAGTCCACGCTCGACTGCAGAAAATCAACAAGTTACCTGATACGGCGCCAGAGCGACAGCTCGCGTACGAGGACTATGATCCGCTTGAGTTCAAGCTGCCTCAGGACCGGCCTACGCACAAGCCGCGCAAGCGATCATAGCAAAAGTTGGCATTGGCCTAAATAGCAGTTATGGACGTGTAAAAAGTCATAAGTTGAGTGTTGATGGAAAGATAATTTCCGAATTCTGTGAACGGTGCAGAGTCTGACTAAGATAACATACACAGAACGTGGGGAGTGCTCCACTCCAATTAATTCCATTGTACTTATTAGTTATTATAGTGAATCTCAGATTAAACACTTATTTTGGAAAATGTTTATACAATTTATTTTTACGGTAGAGCTGGGAAAAAATTGATTCTCGCAGTTCATTGACTTTTTGTATATTTTAGATAAAGTAAACTAAATAGATCAATTCATATTTCGGTATTTTTCTTACAAAAATGTTTAAATATTCACAGTTTCTTTCAAAACCCCGAAGAATCGTTAGTTTCCCAGCTCTATTATACATACTTAAGGTCAGATCTGCAGACTTCAACTGACATTAGTTTTGTAAATACATTTTGTAATTAACAAGTAAAGGGCCAGCAGTCTTGCATTTACCAAAATAACGTAATGACATGTACTTAAAGAAACGAATAAAAATAATGGTATACCATAATTAAAACAAAAATTTCGACGATCGTACTCTGTTTATTATTATCTTCCGTTTGCATTTGTGTGATATTGACTCTTAAATACGTAAATAGACGAATCTAAGCTTTCTCTTACAATGAAAAATAAATCTTTGATCGATAAGAGCTCGGCACGCTCTCTTTTAACGACTAATAGTAATCGCATTTGATATAGTTTACATAATATATTCGTTCTCCAGTTGTTGCTATATGCAGACTATAAAATTGATATTTCTTTTGATGACGTTTACCGCGATTCGTGAACTTATCGCTAGAGGGGGGCACATTAAGATTTAGAAAATAATTTCTTATAAAATCGGTGAGCACATTCTGAATAAATGTCATACGTAATGGGGGCTACCTCAATAGTATCTACTTATACCTCAACCGATTCAGTGTTCTGCGAGTGACTAGATTTCCAAGACTTTTTCCAAACTATGCCTCCAGATAGCTGTACATAAGGCAGCGGGTGACCCGATACTCCAGGCAGGAGCAGGCTCACTCACAGGCTATTTTGCCGTCGAAACTGCTCAGCGCTATGGCAAAGGCCTGCATCGCACACAGGGGATAGCGAAAGTCCATGGTGAACACGTCCTCCGAGGTGCGACCGAACTGCATGACTATGTACTCGGGATCGGAGTCGTGGACCAGCTGAAAGTTTTTCACCGATGCCTGGGTGACGCGTCCGTGAAAGTTCAGTACATAGGACTGGGTCTCGTCGTTCCACACCGGCGTCTTGTTGTGCAGCTCCACAATGTTGTCCATGTTCTGGAGATGAGAGAATTAATAAATCAGTCTTGGGAATATATATTTCGTTATTCTCAACTCACCTTCATCTTCCACAGGTCGAGAATGCCCTGTTGCTTGGGATCCGCCGAACTGATCTTGACCCGCTGATCGTCCTCAGTCATGCCAGGCAGTATCACAGTCATGTTGCGGGGTCCCTTGAAGCCCAGAATATTAGTGTCCTGCAAGAAATCGAAATTATAAGAAAGTTATTTATGGACTTAAAGGTCACAGAACAGAGCAATTACTTACATAAATAATGACCGCCAGGTCCAGTCTAGGACTTTCCGAGCTCTCCTTGTTGCCATTGTCAAAGACAGTGAAGGAGGTGCCAAAGACATTGGAGCGTAGCTTGCCACAGAAGCCATCGGCATTGCGGGACAGGTCCGTGGGATCGCAGCTGACTATGTAGTTCGAAGTCTTGCTCTTCTTGCGTTTCCGACCTTAAAAAAGAAATCAAGTGAGATTGATAGGAAAATAATTTAAAGAATAATCGCAACCCACCTCCAAGCAGGAATATCTTCTTGCCGTAGTCCCGCTCCAGATGCAGGTAGTAGATGGGAAAGAGGCCCCGGTCCATGCCTTTGCGGTCGCGTGTGATGCGACACTTGTAGAGGACACCCTGCGGAGCTGGCTGCATCACGAACTGGTCAATGTTGCCAATGACATCACCCTCGGACTCCCCACCGGCTCCGTTACCCGTTCCATTGCTGCTGCCGTCCATCGTCGTGGCATCCTTGAAGGGTGACGAGGCCAGGCCGGCGGGACGTACAGGCGCCGCACCCGCCACATTGCGATTGGTATAGTCGTCCTCGTCGAGGGTGTCGCTGAAGGAGTGCTGGCGGGCACGCGGTCGCTGTGATTGAGTCGAGTTGGCGCTGTGCGGGGCGGTCTGCTGCTGCTGCTCGATCACAGTCACCGGACTACTCTCGTCGTCCTCCAGCTCGTGTGACGATATCTCCTCGATGAGATCAGCTGTTGGGTTAATTACATGGAAACTTTAGAGTGCAATTCTTATCACAATTTTTGCAAGTGTAGGGGACTTACCCTCCTGGTTAATGGTGCTCAGGCTGCGCATGTTGTTCGAGTGGTTGCGACTCGTGTTCATGGCAACTGGAGCCCCGCCCCCGGAACTTCCGTTGGCCAGTATCTGGTCCGGATTCTGGGGCGAGCTGATGAACTGCATGGGTCCGTCGTAGGCGTGGAGCTCGCGGCTGTTGCTGCGCATCCCGGACATTGGGCGGTTGATCTGGAGATCACTGGCCTGGACCATGCCCGGCGAGGCGCGTTTCTGGCGGATGTAGGCCTCCATCAGCTGGCGCTGCAAGCAGATAAACCGAAAGAATTGTTTACTTCGCGCTCTAATCAGTGGCCACTCGAAGAATGCAACCATAAAAATATCTTCGATTAGATTGGAAACCACCTTAGCGGAGGTAATGAGACAGTAAATCAAATAATTGCGATTGCGGCTGTGCACGTCCAGGACAGCGGTTGGCACCGTAACCGTAATTATATTTGATTTTCCAAGCCACTACAATTCGCTTGTGAATTTTTGCATATCCAATCCAATTAGGCGGCCCAGTTTCGAGTTGCAACAAATTGCAACAAAACTGCATTTACACCCACGGAGCAGATAAATAACCGTAATAAATGCCTAAATATTTGCATATGCATGGATACCCCTAATCCCCGCCAGCGGAATGCACAGCGAGCAGCAGGTAATTGGCCGCAACGGGGGGGAAAGAGTGCCGAGAATCGTGCTGATCCATCAGCACCACCATTGCCATCGCCCCAAGCTCCATCCATCCTCCACATTTCCCATTTCCATTCTCCACTCGCGGGAGCTCTCACTCAATGGTCTGCGACTGGTAGCTGGTGGGTGTGGGTGTGGGAATGCGAATGCAAATGGACGCGGGTACGAGCCACCGTCAAATGACATGTGGGACAGCGGTTGATGGCAATGATTTCATTAAAGATTTAAATTTCAAGTTCACGTTCATGTTCACCAGCGCAAAAACAAGAGGCGTATCTGTCAAAAGTTGCGCTGAAATTGCGCATATAAATCAAAGGGAATATTCGCGCCCTTTGTTTCTACCCCTCACAGGATATAAAATTTGATATTAAGATTGGCTTCCCCTCAAAGCTCGAGAGTTGATATATTAATGCAGCAATATTAAAATGAAATATTTGACTTACAATAGGGCTTAGGTTATTTTTGTATTGTTTTTTCTTCAAAAAGATATAAGAAAGGATACTAAAGGATTCAATACTAGGAAGACCAGCCTAAAACATGAGTTACTTTACTATATATCCTATATCCTTCATGAAAAGTCGTTCTTATTTTAATCGCGTTTATTGCTTGGCTTAAATATCGGTTTTTTTTGGGGTTACACAACTTTGGTTTTACAGGAGGTTAACGTTACTCAGAATGCTCTCAACGGTGGCGTTCACTTCGCGCTCCTTGGCCACCGGATCGCACTGGAGCTGGAAGTAGTCCGGCAGATCCTGCTCCGCCTCGAAGGCACTCGTCCGATTAGCGCCCAGCCAGAGATCCAGCCGGTCGTAGATAACACCAGTGGGTCCTTGCTGCAAGAACGAGTCAATGGAGGTGCGATCCTTGAGGTCCGAGCCCCAGAGCAGGACAATGGGAACCTGGGCCTTGCAACGTTGCACCAACGAAGGGTCCGCCTTGAAGAAGACGGCATTGGGCGAAACTCCACCCAAATCGAAGGCCTGGGCAAAGTTTACGCTCTGCTCCACAGTGCTGGCGCGCGGATCGCTGAAGGCATTCTCCTTGCTGCTGGAGAGGAAGAGCACCGGGTACATGTGCTGCTTAAAGCGCAGCAGGGAGCACAGGTCCGCGTCGAAGCTCTTGATCACATTGAGCCGTCCGCAGCCGTGTCGTCGCACCACCGCCAGGATGCGGTCCACAAACAGGTTCTTGTCCAGCGTCTGCTCGCTCTCAAACTGACCATCTGCCTTCTGCTGGGGCCACTTGATCTCGATGTCGAAGCCGGTGGTTTGGTTCACGCGCTCGAAGAAGTCCTGCAGGGTGGGGAAAAGGCGCTGTTCCGGCGGTTCCACGTTGTTGTGCGCCGGATACTCCACGATTTTGTTTCCTACAATCTGGTAGGTCTTCAGCTCCTTCAGCTGCTCGTATTTGATGTCCTTCAGTAGCACCTCTGTCAGGTCGTCGCGGCTCGTGGGCGTCTTGGAGTCGATGCACACGCGGATGGAGAAATCATGGTGAATGATGGGCACCAGGTCGCTGGTGAGCTGGACGTCAAACTCTACAAAATCTGCTCCCAATTCGGAGGAGGCCAGCATTGAGGCCACCGTATTCTCTATTAGGGGAGCCGCATTCGAGGTTACCGTCAGACTCTTGCCCAGTCCCCGGTGGCCAATCTCCAGAGCCGTCCAGTTGCTTCGCCAGTAGTTGGCGAAGCTGGTGCGCAGGTCGAAGCCGTCCTGTTCCATGGGTCGGATGAGCAGGTACTCCAGTCGGAGCACGCCCACCACTCGCTGCCAGAGCGGAGAGATCAGGGTGACGGAGAGAGCACCATCACTACCAGACAGGGAAGTAGGCTGCAGATGGGCGTAGCCCAGCAAACGAACCAGGCTTTCTTCAGCCTGCTCGGCATAGACTTCCACCAGGTAAGCCACTTGTTCCAACTGCTCGAGACCCACGTGGAACATCAGGATATCTGCGGCGGAGAAGGGCACTCCGTATTCCGGTTGGACACGCAGCTTGCTGTCCCCGTAGGACATTCGCACGTACTCCACATTGGCGCGAGCCGAGCTAAGGATGGGTGCCAGGGTCTTCGGATCCACGGGCTGCAATCGCAGGCGCAGCTGGCCGCGTCCCTCCTCCGGTTGCTCCTCCAGAGTCAGGACATCGCGGAACACCTTTAGTTGGAGAATGCTGCCAGAGTCCTGGAGCCAGCCACGCGACAGCTGTCGTTCCGATCCAATGAGTCCAAACTCGTCGCTGCGGTTTCCAGGAAACTTTGTGGTGTTAAAAGTCCTGGCCACGACATGCGACTCCCAGCGACGCACCTGAACCGCGCCACTCTGACCCACTGCAGCCGCAAAGAAACGGTATTCCACGCTGCTGTTCTGGGGGATTTCTACGGACGCGGTCCACACGTTGTGCGTGTCAGTGCGATTGAGGAGAACAGCCTGGCCTGCCTGCCAGGCGCCCAGAACAGGCAAGTTGCCCACCAAAGCTGGGCGCTCAAAAGCCGCCAGTTGACCTTCAGCTGTATCCGGCAGCGTCAGCGTAAAGTTGTAGAGCAGCGGGGCATTCCGCTTGAGCGGCACATAGCGTCGGGCCGCATAGTACTTCTCGTAGTAGGAGGTGTCGCAGAATGTCTCCACGGGCAGCAGGCACAGAGTGCTCAGCCAGGCGACGGTGAATGCCACGAAAGTCTTTGACCAGGACATGGACATATCGAATGTGTCCGCCCTCGACGGCGATCGCGGTGCTACTGACGAATGTGTCCGCGCTTTTGGGGAAATCTAACCAAGCACTTATCGCTGGATCGCCGGCAGGAGATTTATGGCAGTGGCCACATCTTCGATCAAGTTAGCGACGCGATAAGGTACCGATGGCTATCGGAGTCTCGACGCGAATGCGACTCGTCTGGCCGGCGGTCAAGCCCGTTCTGTGCTCGCACGTGTGGCCTAGACTCGTGCACCCATCAGCTTCAGATAGAACTATAGATACAGATACTACATATAGACATACGGATACAAATACAACTAACGATGCAGATACATCTGCAGATACTGCGACGTGCTCATCAAAAGCTTTTGGGGCACACTGCCTACGTCATCGTCATCCCGGGTGGCCATAGTGGCCGCTGTTTTAAGTGGATTTGATTCCCCGAGAATTGCGCAAAAGCTTCACCTTCAGTAGCTGCGGTAAGAGGGGTCAGGGAATGGCTACATACTCATATAGCTCCCCCTTATGTGGTGGCTGACCCCCAGTCGGGCAATTTACATGGTGAAAGTTTGTCAGCGGCCGTGTAATTTATCCGCTTCGCTCAATTACGGATTTCGTAACGTTTTTTTTTTGTTGTTTTCCTTGAGCGTGGAAATAATAATAACAACAGCAGGTACAGTTCCGTCAAGCGCTCGAAGGGTAATCAGCTGAGAGCGCTCGTAATTACATTGACTCCTCCTGGCGCTGGGCCATCTTTGAGGTGACTTTGGCAACTACTACCCCTCTGAAGCACGTCCTTCTTCTTTGTCTACTGCTCTTTTTTTATGAGAGAAACGCGATTATGTGAAAATTCGAAATCAGTTGGTTGCCAAGAAAAACTCTGGCACGTACGGCACACATACTCGCAGAAGAGGAAATGCAGAGGAGCTCTTGGGAGGGGGACAAACAAGAGACGGTGCCTCCGGGAGAATCGGAAAAAGTTGGAGAGGCGAAAACTTGCATAAAGTCGAAGTAGAGCACGACACAACAACACAACTCTTCCGCGGGGCTCGTTTATGGCTTGACATAAATAACGAGTACCGAGTACCGGAGAATGCATAAAAGTAAGCTCAGTGCGGCGCTTCTAGCTGATGGAGCAGTCAATGGTGCCAGGCATTAGGGGTAACTTTGTAGCACTGTCATCTGGCGCATCTCCGGCCACCATAAAGAACGTAATTTTATTACTTTCACATAGAAGGGGTGCCAATTTTATGGTACTTGTCCTGTGTTTAGCAGGAAAAATGTTATAATCAAGGAAAAAGAAACTTATAAAGATAGGATTTTATTAGAAGTTTCAGTGTTATTTAACGAAATATGATTAAATACATTTATTAACATATTTCAATATATTTGTTTACTTATAAATTCAATAATATATCTCCCTCAGAAATATCAAACCGCATTAAAACCAGTGATCTTCAAACCTAATCCCCCGCATAGCACATATAATAATTAGGTTTTATTATTTATATTAGAGTTTTGAGTTGAATATTTCATAAATCTTACAAGATTTGAGTGTTTTTTAAGTTAATATGAAAAATTAAATTTATTTCGATATTTTAAAACATTTTTTCAAAAACATAAAATAAAATATAACCATAACTTATCAATTGAATATTATATCTCCCTCTAGAGCATTAAGTCGCCAGAGCTATTAATATCTCACAAGATTCGATTGTTATTTAATTAAATTTGGATAAATATATTTATTTAAATATTTCAATATATTTTTGCAAAGAAATAAAACACAACATAAACAAAATAACTTATCAATTCAATAATATATATCCCTCAAAAACATAAAATCGCCATAAAACCCGTGCTCTTCAAACCTAATCCACCGCTTAATACATATAATAATAAGGTTTTATTATTTTTCAATTTCTCACACACACACACACAAAGTCAAATTAACGAAAATATACGACTGCGGGGGGCGGCGGAGTGTCGTAAACGGGGAAATGTGCAAATGTTTCTCAGCAACTTTTTGGGTTTTGTGCTCAGCGCATTTATTTTAATTTGGGCCCAGACAAATTTGCGTATACGTAACGAAGGGGTCGCCATAAAAGACATGGGCACACACACACACACACACACGCACCTTGGGGAAGGTCAACTGTTGTTCGGTATGTAGCATACTTTCGGGGGTCGCGTAATAAAATGATTACTCATACGCCCCGTGCGCAAAACAAGGAAATTGAGAGCGTCAGCAAGGCAAACAGGCCGGAATGTATGGCATTGTGGCTCTTTTGTTGTCGCCGCCGTCGCCACTGCTTGTTTGTTGTTTGTTGTTTGCAAATACGACAACAGCCGGGAAAGGCAAATCAACCCATTCGTCCCTCCCCGTCATCAGCCAGCTCTTGAGCTGGCAAGGACCGGCTGCTGACGGTTGATGTGTTTTGGCATAAGGGATTATATGCACGTAATACTGGGGCTTAAGTGAGCTTCCGCAGGGCCAAAAAATGCGAAAGGCAACCAGAAAAAAATGATCAGAAAGTTTCTCAATTTAGCAAACAAAGTTACTGAATATATTTAAAGGCATTCTCTCGTTTATATTGCTTCTAGTTTAATAATGAGATTAATTTCCTATTCATTACACAAATACTTGAAAGCAAAAAACAGTGTTCGGGCAAATGCAGATCCTTGTAGTAAACAAAAAACCTTAATAGAATTCGGCAAACCCTGATAGTCAAGCCAAGTGTAGAACTTACACTTACGCACATCCAATAGCCGATGGCCTGGAAAAATGCTCATCAATTTTCAGCCTGGTCAACAGACAATAGCAACAGCCTGAATGTGTCCACGATCCGGCCATTAACCCCTGAAGTGCGGCGGGGGGGTTCACGGAACTGGAACTGCGTGAAAACTATTACGAGGGACATCATCATAACAGCTTTTCGCCTTTGCCTTTGAGTCCTTCCCTACCCCCGCTTCGGTTGGTTTTAGCCATATTGACATTCATTTACGTGCTCGCTTCATTAAGCCATAAGCCGGGGTCGTGTTGGGTCGGGTGTGTCATGTCCACACAATGGAGAGACAAACCCAAACACGAGGATGCTGCGAACCCAATGTGTTACCGAAATTGGATAAAGAGCTTGCGGACATTGGCTTATGGCTTTGGCAAACGGAACAAACTGCTCAGTCATTTGTAGCTATAAAAGTTTTTCAGACAAGTCCTTACAAATATTATTTGGCACCAGAGCGAAGCTTCAGCAGGACCTTGCGGTTAGTCAGTGGCCTTTAAATGTTTCCCTGAATAATATATGTCCCTAGCCAAACGGAGAGTCCTTAAAAATGAATGTGTGAAAAAAAATTAAATAAACAAAGCTGACCAGTTGAAGCATTTCAGCAAACTGAAACAAAACTTTCGAATGCACATAAAATGGTATAAAAACTATGCAATGGCCAGCTTCCGGTGGCAAACAAACCGTTCAACTTTTGATTTGTATTCATCGAACATGCGGCATATTCTTCCCACAGTTTTACATCGTGTGTTTGGTTTCTAAATATATATTAACACATGACTGAACCCCCGACCATTCAATATTTGCTAGCTTTAAAAATTTAATGAGCCTGCTGTGATGTATTTTTTGTTTCTCATATCAGCTTTGGTCCCTTGTGTTTTTGAGGTCAGGTGAATTCAATTTCCGGCCCGACTGGGAAACAAGTTAATTCTGGGATCCACTGACCGAACTCATTTGGTTTAGGAAACATGACCACAGAGAGAAAAGCCACATTCAACTAGCCAAGGATGTGAATGCTTACGGACAGATGAACATTAGAGCTGGAATAATATCGATAGAATTGATTGGATTTTGGACTTAAGAAATCAGCGATTTATCTGCTTAAAAAAATAATTATTATAAATATAGTCAGAAGTGCAGCGCAGTGAAGGAAACATTTCCGAAAGTGATATATTCTAAATCATCATTAAAATCTTAATTAATTTTTAATACAAAAATTTTAAAGAAATATATATAGTAGCTAATTTTCCTAATTTTAAAATAGGTTACATTAATATTGTGAAAATTTATATCCCATTTGCTGGTTTGTTAACCAACAAAGAAAAGTTCTACAATTTAAAATAAATGCATATTTGGCGCAGTTTTGATTGATTTTAAATTCTCTCCCCTGGTCCAATTGCAAACTCCAAGAGTATACAAACTTTGGTTTCCCGAAGTTAGCTTCCTTTCTTGTTAAAGTTTATTTAACTGAGAAAACTTTTAACTGTTTTGCTTGTATGATATCCACTAGCTCCTACGGTTGAAGTTTAAAAATAAAAAAGTATAATATAAAACACAATAAACTAAAGTAAAGTATATGCTAGATCAATAATATAGTTCATCCATTTCCAAATGCTGTTGTGTCATAGCAATCGATAATATCGATATCATATTTATTGCAGTTATCACTTGCTATCGTAGACTGTGTTGTGTCAGCTCTACTGTAACTTCTTCCGCCTTTTGAATACAGCCAACTGACATGCTGCTTTCTGCTTTGTCCATGTTTGCAGTTGTATGTTGGCCAACCGCAAGGCAAAGCAACAAATGGGAACAAGAAAATTCTACATCCTTACCCCCCAATCGTCCTCGTTTCCCTCCCCTTCTTCTTCCGCTCAATGTTTCTTGGCAAGTACTTTGATTTCCGTCTTCGAGGCCTCCTGGCAAGTGCAAATTCCTTTGCTCACAGCCCACTGACAACGTTTTTAAGACTCGACAAAGCCACTTAAGGACGCAAAGTCCTGTCACAAAATACATTTGAGACGCGTGAGATCCTCGGGCGCAAATTAGTTACGTTTTTAGTGTAATTCTCCCCCTTTGCAGGCCCCGTTTGTATGCAAATTCCGAACAATAACAAGGATAACAACAAGAGCCAACAAGGAGACAAGAAGCGACATTGACTGCGGCTTTGTGTGTGAGCGTGCGAGTATGCCCCCCATGTGTGTGAGCCTAGTTCTGTGTGTGTGCGTGTGTGCCTGAGAGTATGCAGTAAAATGCGACGAGGGGCAAGTGCCACGACAAGTGAAAAGGAATAGAAAACAATCAGGATGCCAACGCGGCCACATTGAGTTGAGTGTTATGATATTTTTGAAAAATATAGAAACATTCATGCTCTTGACTTAGTGGGTTGCCAAGGCTTCACATAGCTGAACTTTTGGACTATTTAAAC